ATGCATGGGAGCAGGGAAGAAGTTGAGATAAAGAAAATATGGCACATGTACACAATGGAATATTATTCAGCTTTAAAAAGCGGAGAAATCCTGTTGTTTGTAGAAACATGGAGGACATTATACTAAGTGAAATAAGTCAGACACAGAAAACAAATACCATGAGACCCCTTCACCACAATAACCAGAGCAAAATGGACTAGAGGCTAAGCAGTAAAGTGCCTGCTTTGCAAGTGCAAAGCCCTGAGTTCAAACCTCAGTCCCACAAAAAAAAAAACATATACCACATGATCTCACTTACACATGAAATATAATAAAGCTGAATTCACAGAGGTACACAGTAGAATGATGGTTACCAGGGATGGGGGGAAGGCAGGAGGAAAGGAGTTAGGGGAAATTGTTGATCAAATGATGCAATATTCCAAATAGACAAGAGGAATATTGAGATCTATTACATAGTCAATGATAATGTGTTATATATTTCAAAATAACTGGGAGTAAATTTCAAATGCTTCCCCATAAAAATAAGTAAAATGAGGAATATGTTAATTAGTTTGATTTAATAATTCCATGTTATATACCTGTATCAAAACATCATATTGTATCTTATAAACATGTAATTATTTTGACAAATAATATTTAGAAAAATAAATCAAAAAATAAAATGAAGTCCATTTCTCAAGTTAAAAAATATTCTGTCTTTGTCTTCTTTTTAAAGATGGTAGAAACTTAAATATGAGTATAAACTATCCAAAAGATATCAGTAGAGAAGATGAATTTTAAAATAAAAAAGAAAGAAGATGAAAGAGTGAGATACTGGAGACACTGGTGGGGGGGTGGGTAAGATCCATGGCTTACATAGAATTGGTCACCTTAATTTAACAGTCTGAAGGGATGGGGTGAGGATAAAGAGAGGAGTATGTGAGGTACTTAAGTGGTGGGAGCAGGGAAGAAGTTGAGATATTTCATGACTAGTGATCAATATTTTAAGTCATTTATTTATTTATTTTGGTGGTACTGGGATTTGAACTCAGGACTTCATACTTGCTTGGCAGGAACTCTATCACTTGAGCTACTCCTCCAGCCATTTATTTATTATTTTTGGGTTTTTTTTTTAATTTTTTGGTGGAATTGGGACTTGAACTGAGGAGTTTTTGCTTGCAACACTGGTGCTTTACCACTTGACCCACACCTCCAGTCCATTTTGCTCTGTTTATTTTGAAGATGGGGGTCTCATAAACTATTTGCCCAGGCTGGCCTCAACTGACGATAATCCTGGTATCAGCTGCCCATGTCATTAGGATTACAGGCATAAGCCACTAGTGTCCAGCTTACTTTTTGAGAAAGGGTCTCACTATGTAGCTCAGGTTGGCCTTGAACTCAAGATCCTCTGCCTTGGCCTCTGAGTGCTGGGATTGCAAGTGTATACCAGCATGCCTGATTATCATTTTCAAAGTCTTCATTTGGAGAAAGGAAGGAGGATTAGATTGCAAATAAGAAAAAATCTTACAGGGCCGGGTGCCTATGGCTCACACCTGTAATCCTATCTCAAAAACATCCAACACAAAAAAGGGCTGGTAAAATGACAGCCTAGCAAGGGTAAGACCCGGAGTTTAAACTCAGTGCCACCAAAAAATAAATAAATAAATAAAAAAGAAAAGAAAAATTACAAGATAAGTACTATCCTGTCATGAATGTCTATTGTATTACTATTGCTATTTACCCAACATCCATTCTGTTATTGGTAATAGCACATCAATTTTCGTTAGAAACCTTTCCCTTCCCACTCTTTGTCCATGTAGGATCCAATTACTTCAGTGACTGGCTCCTAACCCAGAACTTGTCTATCAGAGTCAAAGTGATCAATTCAAAGATTGGCGCATGACAAAATTTGAACCAGTGAAAATCAGATCCAGTAATTTTCCTGGAAATATCAGGCAAAAGATTTGGTAGAGTTTAAGTCTGGTAGACATCTTACTACTGGGAAAGATGAGCCTTCCTAAGAATGAAGCCAACCCAAAGAAAGCAGAGTTCAGGGACTGAGAAAGACAGATGCCTGACAACATCCATTTAATATCTATATTTACCTTTGCCTGAAATAAAAATCTGCCTATAGATTCTCTAGTTACATAAGTCAATAAATTTCCTTTTTGCTCACACTACTCATTACACAAGAGGTAAAACACTAAGTTTTATCTCTTGCAAGTAAGAGTTATGATAAGTATGAATATATGTGGTGGATATTGCCTACTGATACTCATCCCCATACCCACTCTTCTATAATCTCCTCTGTACCCCCAGGGCTGGGAATCTGAAAAGCATAGTTCTCACACTCCCTTGTCAGGTAGTCTCCAGTTAAGTCTGAAGGTGGGAGAAAGGGGAAAGCCACTCTGTTTCTGACAGTGCCTCTGGTAACGTCTGCAACAGTGGTTCCACAAAAGTGGAGATGGTTCCAGCAGCATCAGTAATATAAACTAGTGTAGATTGTGGGCTCCAGTTTCTGGATCTAAAGATCCAGATAACTTTTCTTCCTTTCTCTCTTCTAAATCAAGATTGGTAGTAACGTCCTGATCTCTGGGTAATCTTGCTTTCCCTCTTGTGTATCTCCAAACTCCCTTGTATAAAATCCATGTCTAGTTGGAGTATTTATCTTATTAAATAGTGATTGATGCAACATACATTCCTATTTTTCATACACATGCAGAGCTCACACACGGCAAAACACAACACACACACATACACACAGAGCTCAGAGAGATTAACGTTCTCACCCCTAAAGAGTCATTAAGAGTTTTAATTGGGGTTGGAAGTTAGACATGGCTGTTTCAAAGTTCTCTCTGACCTGTTGTTGGTTTTTGCTGTTTTCTTTCTTTCTCTCTTCCCTCCTTCCCTCCTTTCTCTCTTCTCTCTCTCTCTCTCTCTCTCTCTCTCTCTCTCTCTCTCTCTCTCTCTCTTTCTCTGTAGCTAGATAAAAGTTAAAGTATAGTAGAAAAACAAAAGCATCATTATGAAAGTTGTTCTGTCAGGTATGGAAGTTCATGACTGTAATCTTAGCTATAGGGAGGCAGAGGCAGGAGGATTATCAGTTCAAGACCAACCTGGGCAAAGTTAGTGAGATCCTATCTCAAACACAAAATAAAAACAAAAGGGCTGGGGCATAGTTCATGTAAGTAGAGCTCTTTCCTGGCAAGTGTGAGGCCCTGGGTTCAATCCTCAGTAACACACACACATGCACACTCGAGCACACACACACACACACACACACACACACTTGTTAAATGATCAATCCTGGTGTATGGAAGTCATGCAAATGCTGAGACAGTTTCTCACTCCCTGGGACAGCTACAGGAAAAGGAAGAGAGCCTTGTCTAATTTAAAGCTGGTGGTAAAGAGATAAAGAAACTTATTAACCACAGAGTATGTAAAGGATATGGGGAAGCTTATTAGACATCGATTGTGAGTCTGAGAGCACCATAGTGGTCAGAACTTGTCAGTCTACTACTTTATACACCAAAGTCCCACAAAGCAAGAGGTTACCAAGACAAGAGGAGCAGACCCTAAACCTGATGAAGCTATAGGTCATAGTCTTGTCTACTGTCAGGGCCCTTCCTGAATCCAAGGGATGGCTTGTCACTGAAGGGTAATACTATACCCATTTTAAAGAAGAGGCAATTGAGGCTTGGACATGGAAGCTCATAGCTCACAATAAAGGCTTCCTGCTAGAGGCTCAGGATTTTTTTTGTGGTACTGGTATTTTAAGTCAGGGTCTCACACTTGCTGGGCAGGCACTCTACAACTTGAGACACTTCACCAACCCATTTTTTTATGTTGGGTATTTTCGAGATAGGATCTCACAAACTATTTGCCCCAGCTGGCTTCGAACCTCAATCCTCCTGATCCCAAGTAGCTAGGATTACAAGCAAGAGCCACTGACACCAGGCTCTTATACTAAACTGAGTCCAGGACATAGTCCTACCGTACTACATAGGAATATGTAGATAGACAGATAGATAGATAGACAGATAGATAGATAGATAGATATAGTCTCTATAGAGATAGAGAGAAAGGACTATATATACTAAATGTATATATATACACATATATATATATATAGTACTATTTATATACACACACACATTTAGTCTAAAACAAATCAACCTCCAACATAAACTGGGTCTGAGGATGAGGAGGAAAAAAGTTTCACCTAAGGTCCAGTTCCTGGTAGTCTAGACACAATACACAAATGATTGTCAGCAAGTTTAACCTAAACCTTTGGTCAATTTATGACCAGAAAAGAATCAAGTACTGTAACCATGCAAGTGACATTTGCTGGCCTAGATAGTGAGATACCCTGGAGATCAAAGGGGTAGATCAGACCTTGTCTGCCAGCAGAGTTCATGAGGTTCCAGGCTCTACCAGGACCCTCCACGTGTGTTCTGCAAATGTGTTTCTTACTGCCAAGTCTTTGAATAATTTCTTTTCTCAGCCTGCTTGTCCCTGACATATAACTGATGAGTTTGTTTCCCTACTTCAGCTTCATTCCACTTATTATGCCTAATTAATGGCAACTAACGGCTCTCTCTGTCTTCTGCTTGGACCATCTGGAACCACAATTTGAGGTACCCCATAGAGGAGCCCTCCCATGGTAATTCTGAGCCAACCTACTTTGCACATGCATAGCTGCTCCAAGCCCTATGATACCTGATGCCTTGGAGCCAATCTGTGGTCAGTTATTAGCAGGTTGGTTCAGTCCTTGCTCTGCCTTTACTTGTTGTGCAAGCTCAGAAGTACTACTTCTTACTCTGGTCCTCTTTTTCTCAGTATGTAGTCTCAGTAAATAGTCTGGAAAAAGTCAGTGGTCTGGATTGATCTATCATCTATGCAGGTTTTTCTCTTAACCTTTCCCTTCCTTGTTTGACCTTGAGACTCTCAAAAGAGAAGTGGCTTACTTTTCAACTCAAAGAAAGAAGATGATTCCACAACCAAAGCCTCATGGTTCACATGAAGCAGCGATGAGGCTTTATTAGGAGGAAAGTGGAGAAGAGTATGGAGCTGGGCCAGACTCTCATCAGGGGCTCCTCAGTGACTACAGCCCAGGAGGCTGGTTACTCTTTGGGGCTGGGGAAGGGTTTTGGCTGCATTTAGTTTCTCCACATCACTGTAGCAGTACACATTGGGGCCATGGATGAGATATAAGCTGGGACCATTTGCAGAGCATGATCTGGGGCCAAGAGACTTTTCTATACACAGGGCCCCATCAACCTTCTCATGGGCCCAGGGAAGCTCTGTCCACGTGGCTTGAACTCCTGACTTCAGATCCAGCCACCATAATCGCCGTCCTGGAAATAAGACACCAAACATAAAATGGCTTGCAAGTCCTGGGGATCCTGACTTAGCCCTTCTCACACCCTGGTAGGGATCAATACATAGAGAGATTGCAAAACAAGTCACCCCTTAGCACTTGGAAGTCTCTCACCTGCCATGATGTAGAGCCTAGAAGAACCAGGGCAGGTAAAGGCTGCATCCACAGTCTCAAGGTTGATTCCATGAGGGCTCCCAAGTTCTTTCTCCAGCCGCTTTGGATAACCACTTACTAAGGTATAGCCTCTCTTGACCAGGAAGACATACACCTGGGTTCCCTGGAGGACAAAGGACAATAGTCAACATAGAGCTGGATATTCTTGGTCCAATTTCCATCTCAAGTCTTTCTCCCAACACACACCTGGATCAGATAGAGTTTATCTTCCCAGGAAAATGCAGCGTCCACTGTTGAAGGACCATTGGGCCACTGATGGGCAATGGGCCAGCTATGCCACCCATCCTGGCTGGTATCCAGACGCCAGTAGTGGGACCCTGTGGGGTTTCAGAGACAGTGTTAGTGCTGGTAGTAAATCTCAGGCAGTGAAGATAGTAGTGGCAGATGTAGAGAAGATTCATGAGTGGGACAGAATGCATCCAGAGGGCAAAAAGGAAGAGGTCAGGTGAGAGGGAGAAGTAGGACAAGACTTGGTCAGTAATATTAGGAACTGTGCTTCTAATTCATTTGGAACTAGTTAGCAGAGGCCAGACAAAGAAGCAAGCATGGAGAACAGTGGTCAAGATTCTAGGTAAAGTCAACATCATGGGGTTTGGTGGCAGTTCCTTACATGTCTCATGTGTCCATATGCAGATATATGGTTGTAGATAATGAGATATAGTAGTCAGAGGATGAAACAGAAGCACCACTAAAAGAGACGCTTCCACTGAGTTTTCTCACTCTGGCTGTGTTTACTAACCCTGTGAGGTGGCAAGATAGTGAGGGAGTAGCCAGGCCAGCACCTGATTTTTCTATTCTCCTTTCGTAACAACTCATTAAAGGAATTGTTGAGGTTCCTATTTACCCTTTTTACCCATTTTTCCCCCTCAGTCCTCTTCAATTACACTTCTGTTTCCTTCCTCCATTGAAACTGTTCTTATCAAGGTCACCAGTATCCTCCAAATCTAATGATTGATTTTCTGTCTTCACTTGATTCGACTTCTCAGCATTTGACTGCTCACCTCTCCCTTTTTAAAATAGCTTTTTTGGATCTTGACTCCTGGTATACCAGATTCTACCAGTGTTCCTCTTCTCTTTTTGACTGTTCTCTTCAGGCTTATTTCCAAAGGCTGGAGTCCCCTTGTTTGGGCCTCTTTTCTTCTTCATAAGCCCTTGCTCCCTTGGTGACCTCACTTAGTCCTCAGGCTACATGCTGAGGACTTCCAGTTAGTTCTCTTCTGCTCTGACTGACATCACCTTTGAAACTTAGGCTCAAACTTAACTGACTACCTGACATGTTCAGTTGATGCCATTAGGCATACCAAACCTAACATGTCCAAACTGATTTCTGCCTCAGCACCCCCACTTCCCAGTGCTTCCCAATTTTAGAAAAGAAACCACCAGTCACCCAGTTGCCCAGTCCCAAAAAACTGAGTTTTTCTTGAAACCTTTCCTTTTCCCTTCCCCACTCCCACCACTATTCAATCTATCATCTGATACTGTCAGCTCTACTTCCAAATACATTATGGTGACCCCTCACCAACTCTGCTGTTATTATCTTAGTCTGAGTTATCACCACCTCCAACCTGGACAGCTGCGAGAATTACTAGCTAGATTCTCTGCTTACACATCATATCTTTACTACTGATGCTCCACAAGCAGCCAGGACAATCTTCTAAAAACTAAGTCAGAATACATCACAGTCCTGCTCAGAACCTTCTCTTAGCTTCCTTTTATAGCTGAAAATCCTTACCAAGCCTATATGACCTGGCTCTGCTTTCCCCTGTCATTCAAACCAGCTACACTAGCCTTCTTTTCTGATACCTCAAAGTATTTGCTGTTCACTCCCTCAGAAATGCTTTTTCTTCAGGGCTTTGTGTGGCTAACCCCTTTTCATCACTGAAATATTAGCTCAGAAATCATCTCTTCAGAACAGTGACCCCTCATTCTCCTCACCTCTATCTCATTAACCTGTCTTATGTTTTCACAACTCCTACTGCTATGTGAAAGCATTCTCATTTCTTCTTGCTTTCTTATTGTCCTCTCTCCCTCTAGTGGCTTTCTGAGGGCAGATGTCTTATCTTTCAAGTTGACTGTTGTATCTTAGTCCCTAGAACAATGCCCAGTGCCTCTTGGGCACTTTTCTATGTTCTCATCACTTACCCTACTTTTGTAACTGGTCATGCATATCAGTACCTCTCAGGTGCTCAATAAATATTTGTTGAATAAATACCTGATGTTCTTGCCACAAGCACAAGCTCTCTTTATAACTGTGAACTGACTTGTCACTATAGGTGACTACACATTCACCTTCCCCTCCTGCTGGAACTACCCTGCTCAGGCCCCAAGTTTTGAGAACAAGAACCATGATGCTCTTTGTGTAGAGGAAATAAATGATAAGCCCCCAACCCATTTGTAGTTAATGTATAGGCTGGCCAGCAACCACATTAATGTGAACTGGTTTGAAAATATGGGGCTGTGGCATTCAGAGTCCCTCTTTGGAAATCAGATCAGGAGAAGAAAACAGCATCAGGAATTGTCAGTTGGATATAAAACTGAAAGATCATGAAGTACAGAAAAGGTGGAAAAGACCCAATGCTTCACCAGGCAATCTAAAGTTACGAGTAGCAAAGAGGGTGAATAAGGCTATGAGGCAGAGAAAGAAGACATTACAGAGGAGGGAGCTAGAAGACAAGCCCCATGGAGAGTAGCTATTCTCATGGATGTTTCCACCAACACAGTGTATTCTCACCTCAGCTGGGTGCTTTTAATATAATGGTGTTCTCTCCATGGCTGTGTGTCCTCTCAGCAATATGGAAAATACATAATACTTTTAATTTAGGAGTTTTTTATAGCCATGTGGACTGGAAGTTCTGTGTTCTCTCCATGACTGTTTTCTCTGTATTTGTGAGTGAGTCCTGTGGCTCCGTTTTCTCAACCCAATTCTTCCCTCCTTCTCTCCCTCCCTCCCCCTCCTCTCTCTTCCCTTCTTTTCTCTCTCAATCTCTCTCTTTCTCTCTCTCTCTCTCTGTCTCACACACACACTCACATATACAATATAGTCTGTGTGACTTTCCGGTGGTTCCATATTCTCACTATAGCTGCATATTCTCCTGATATTTATGTGTTCTATGGTACCTATTCTCAGTTTAGCTCTGTATTGTCATTATACGTGTGTTTCATTCTAGCTGTATACTTTCAATACAGTATATATTCCTGCTGAGGGTTTATGGTCTCCATGTAGATGTGTATTTTTCAATAGAACTTGCTAATCATAACTTATCAGATTTGTCCAGGAGTTAAGAGCAAAAGAGTATTTTCACTCTTCTATTTTCTCACCACTTTTGTATCTAATCATACATATATCTTAGGTTGAATATAATGTGATTGTTCACACCCTCTCTTGAAGAGATCCTCAAGTATGGAGCATGATTCATCACTATCTGCCTGACTAATCCTAGAACATCCCCAAGTATCATTAGACGGCTTTTATCAATTGATGTCTTCACTGGACACTTAAAGGAGAAAACTCCTTAAAGCCATCTTCTAAAAGTCTAGGTTATGTAAGACTTCTTGTCTGTTTCTCAGCAATTGAACATCTCATGCTGAGCCCAGAGACCTTAAACATAGAAACTAGGAACCTGGGAAAATATGGAGTTCCTGAAAATCAGTTCAGGGAGAGTCAGAGTACTCAGAAAGACATACAAAGAACAAAGGAATACAGAGAGGAACAGAGCATCGGAGAAGGGTAGGGGCAGTAGAGTGCTTGCCTAGTAAGTTAGCAAGTGTGAGGCCTTGAGTTCAAACTCCAATATGAGAGAGAGAGAGAGACAGAGACAGAGAGACATAGAGAGAGAGTGGGAGAGCCAGAGAACTGAGCAGGGGATTGGACAGGGAAGATAGAGGATATACTGGGGCCCAGAGAGATCCACAGAAGACTCAGACATGAGAGTAGATGATACTGAGAGGTAAACAATGGATGAAGTTACAGACTCAGGTAATGAGAGACGAGGTTGAAAATATGCATCAGAGGGCTCTGGTGACTCACACTTGTAATTCTAGCTTCTCAGGAGGCAGAGATCAGGAAGATCGTGGTTTGAAGCCGGGGCATAATAGTTCACGAGACCCTATCTCAAAAATACTCAACACAAAAAAGTCTGGTGGAGTGGCTCAAGGTGTAGGCCCTGAGTTCAAACCCCAGTACTGCAAAAAAAGTGTATATATATATATATATATATATATATACATCAGAGGAGGTGTATATATATATATATATATATATATATATATATACATCAGAGGAGGTGAGGATGCAAAGAGGCATGCTAAGGGTAGCAAGCAGAGGGAACAAATTATACAACATAGTGATGAAAATGGAGGAAGTATGTCAAAGATGAATGACAAAAGTGAAAGATAGAAGGACAAAGATGGAGGATTTGGGAGAATCTCTCACCACTGAAGGCGTAGGTGGCACCATGGTTGTCAGACATCAATGCAGACAAGACAAGATCTGGGCTACAGCGTGTATGCTCAAGGCCATGGTGGGTGCCATTCCCGTGGCCAGTTCCATTTCTATGTCTACCATGACCTAGCGAGAGAAATAGTAGAGAAAAACAAAGAGGGAGGTCAGAGGTCAGAGTGGGGTCTGAGGAGAAAGAGATGGCTGGGGTTGTGGACTTCCCCTATATGAGGATAATGGGAAGAGTTTGAATGAAAACAAGGCTAGGATAAAAGCCCATGTGTTATAACACAGAGTTATGGTGGAGCTGGGGCATAAGCTCAGAGAAGGTTAGATGAATTCCAACAGGAGTTTCTCACCTCTGCCAGGGCAGGACATAAAGTAGTCTCGGGCATCCAGAGGATATTTGGGAGGCACTTCTCCCGTGACAGGGTTAAAGCGCAGGAACTGGTTCCCCTGGAAGCAGTAGTAGCGTTCAAGCCACCTCAGGGCGGCAGTGCAGTTCCCAACAGCTGGCCAGAAACGCTCCTTTTTGGTTCTTGTAGCCAAGTCCCAGAACCACTTGCGGTTACCTTTGTCCAATAAATCAAAAAGTATTCAGTAAGGTTGGGTTATACACCCTTCATACTTGCACTAGGGCCCAGAATGGGTCAGATACAGTTCTGGCTACATGTAGTGCTACAGAACAGCAGGGAGGCAGTAAGAAGAGTGATCATGAAACAAAACTCAGCAGCAAGGTGCACATGATCACGCAGCAATAGGGAGAGCCAGGGAAAACTTCTCGGGGCAGGTGATACTTAAACTGAAATAAGAGGTAGAAATTATAAGGCAGAGAAGAAGGGGAAGCTGGAATTCTAGAGAGAGGGAAAGGAGCCTGAAGCATGAAGCATAGCTATTGTAAGGGAGTATAGAGTATTGTTTACAGTTTCTGGAGCTTAGTGTTCAAGGTAAGGATATGACAAGAGTCAATGCTGGAGGATCAATGGAGGTTTGTTGTTGGTGAACCTTGTAGCTAAGACTATGAAACATAGATTTGTCATAGGATCATAGGAAATAATGGAGGACTTTTAGCTTAATTACCTTCATTAGAATGATTTTCTCTCCTTCCCCTACTTGACCTGTAGACCATAACTAGCTTCTTTATTTTCCTTTTATAAAATCCACATAGTGGCTCAACCACCACCACTGACAGCATTACTATTCCCTTACCATTCTCCCACCCCACTGCTCCAGGTTCTTAGATACCAGCCCTGACTGACCTTGGAAGAAGATGATGCCTTCCTCTTGACATTCTCTATGGTGACATTCTACAGCTGCATCCAGAGGGGATGGAATCCCAGGAAATTCATCTTGGAGCAACTTTGGGTATCCATTCTCCTTCTTTTCAGGTGGGTACACCCAGACTTTGTCCCCCTGCATCCAAGAGCACTCTTTTAAGCTGTGCACTCCCAGATACTGTCGCTCTGCATTCACACACAACATTGTTTAATCTATTGAATTTGTAAAATATCCTCCTGAAACCCTACACTTTCAGTTCATCTATGGACAACAATGTGCTGCCCCTTGTGTAATGCATACCCTGAATTTTACTGTGCAAATACAGTCACTATTACAATAACACACACAAATACAGTCACTATTACAATAACACACACACACACACACACTCTCTCTCTCTCTCTCTCACATACCCTCTCTGGCTATATATAATCAGGCACTCCTGTGGTACACTTAATTACAACACTATCAATTTTGGCAGACACATCCACAAACAGTTATCCTGCAATTATCCATCCATTCATACACTCATTTGTTCATGTTATTTATGTATTTATTCAAGAAATAATTACTAAATGACTATTGTATGCCAAGTGTTGTGAGAGGCACTGGAGATCAAGGAATGAAAGATTTGATCTTTGACTTCAAGGGGTTCACTGAACCAAAGCAGAAATATTTCCTATAATCCTAACCACACAACCACCAAAGCAGAAAGCAGGCAAAGACCATTGGAAATACAGGGGGAATGCTTAACTCTGTCCAGAAAGTCCTGGAAGGTCTTACAGTGGACAGGAAGCATTTGGCCCAAAAGTTGAAAAATGAACAGAAATTTTCTAATTGGATGAGTGAGGAAAGCAGCATGTAGAGACCCAAAATGAGGAAGCACAGTGTGCTCAGAAAACTTTATGTAATCTCATGTGACTGGCACACAGTGAACATGGCAAGAAGGAGATAACCAAGGGCTGGATCCAAGAGACTAATGTCCATTTGGCTTGTAGTAAGCAAGGTGGTGTCTTTGCTGAAACAGAATACAAGAGGAAAGATTGATTTGCAAAGAAGATGCTAAATTCATTTGGGGGGACACTGGATTTGAGGTGCCTATGGAACATCAAAATCAGAGATTCCTGTTAGGAAACTGTAAAGAGATTATCTGGATCTCAGGAAAGAGAAATTTAGACCTGGTGTATGGACAACACAGAGAATCCTCAGAGGCATGGCAATGATTGATACCACCCAGGGAAGTATGTGGAAGGGCTTGGAGTGGATTCCCTAGGAACATTTGGGGACTGCCTGAGGATGGACACCTGGGAAGAGAGGGAAAAGATGCAGGAGGGAAAACAAAGCTGCCAGTTAGGGCCATCCCTACCACATAGCACCTTTGGCAAAATAGGAGAAGGTGCCCTTTACTCTGAGCAGACCCAGCTTGGGCCAGGGCATGGGACATAGTGAACATAGTAGTCTGTACTTCATACTTCACTCACTCCCTTGGCCGAGTGTCATTGTGTTGGAAACAACCTGCCCTGCATATGAATGAATAGGACCTGATACAGGGTCATGGCAGCCAAGGGGGGAAGTTGCCATAAGGAAAAAATGGCCCACAGTGTTAGGAGTAGCAGAACCACCTAGAACTAAGATTAAGACTGAACAATAGCCACTGGATGTTGTGCTTTCCAGGTCCACATGCATGCATACTTCCTTAGCCTGAGCTTTTTTGAGAAAAGAAGGCACAGGAGAAAGAAACTTGGTATCTGTCAGTATGAGCCCTGCTATAGTTTGAATGTGTCCCTCAAAGTTCAGTTGTTGGAGACTTCCTCTCAGTGCAACAGTGTTGGGAGGTGGAGCCTAATCAAGAGGCGATTACATAATCAGGGTTTGTCTCATGAATGGTTGATGGCATTATTGCGTTAATATGATAATGGGAGTGTGTTACTTATCACAAGACTGGTTTGCTATAAAAGCAGGTTCAGACTCCTTTTTGCTCTCTTGCTGTAGTCCTGTCTTGCCTTGGTGCCACCTTTCCACCATGCTATGACGCAGCATAAATTCGCTCTTGAACTTCCCTGACTCCAGAACCAGGAGCCAAATAAATTACTGCTCATTAAAATTATCTAGTCTCAAGTATTCTGTTATAGCAGCAGAAAAAGGACCAAGGTTTCATATCAGAGACACTTTAGGAAGTCTCATGTTGATTTCAGCCCTTTCTGGCCTGGTTCTGCTCTTGGTCCAGCAGTACCTTGATCAGGAAGACACTGTCGGAACCACGACGGAATGCAGCATCCACGGAGCTGGTGGAATTCTTCCATCTCTCTGAGATTAACTCCCGAGTCCATGAGGGACCCTTCCACACAAATTCCCCTGCAAAACACCACAGTCACAGAAGGACCCAGAACAAACCTTGGCCCAGAGACAGAGAAGCTATTGGTGATATCACAGACATTCCCTGCACCCTCCCACAGATGGAGATATCCTCTTCGAAGGGGCCACATCTGAGGTCCCAAATGCTCCAACCCCAGAGCCCCTCCTACTTTTTTTTTTCTGGGTTATGTAGCCCAGAATGGTCTCAAACTTGTGATCTTACTGTCTCAGCCTCCCCAGTACTAAGATTACAGACATGAGCCACCACACCCAACCTCCCTCCTACCTTTAAAAAACAGCATGGTCCCATTGTCATCCAGGGTGGTAGCATCAAAGCTCCAGTTATCTGAGCAGTGTTCTGGGGTAGCAGTAGGGAGATAGCAGGGTAAAAAACTAGTAAGATGATAAAATGCAGACACACACCAGATAGACAGACTCAGGGAGTTGGGGTCTCACCAATCACTTTGGAGTCTGATTTGCTCCCACTCTCACTTTCAGCAACATTCCCATGGGCACTAGTCCTAGTGAGAACACAGATAGATGTCTGAGTCTGTTGGGACCAATCCTTCTCCCTTTACTCTTGATCCAGGCCTAAAAACTGACCTTATCTTACTCAAGCCCAAACCACAATCTTCCATCCCTAGTCCCAGCTTTACTCACGAAGGAAGAGGGTTGGCAATAGCCAGAGACCAGCACAGGCCCAATAGCCCCAGTGCAACTGGTGCTCCCAGTGTCCTAGCCATGTTGAGCTAGAAAAGTCACAGGACAGCTCTGGGCCCTGGGTAAACTTATATAGAGTTGGTAGCAACGCCACCCCCACTCCCAACCCTATTGGGAATGAGCTGTCTCTCAGGACTACACCAATATTGGCTGATTGCATCATTGCAAATAAGGGCAAGGTCTGGAAAGAAATCTGAATCCACGACTCCCTCTTCCCGGCAGTACCCCATCCCCCTTCAACAACTTTCCAGCAGTGACTAGCCTATGATGTTGATGTCCACTGTGGCTCTCACCACACTGGCAGTGGTCTAGGTTCCCATAAATCAGTGAAGGGGGTAGACTGACGATCACCTTTCCATGGTTGAGTTTATCTCTACAGTGAGGGAGGTGAGAAGAAGAAGGAAATAGTATTTTTGTGTACTTAGTGTCAAGCCCTAGTCAACTAAACCCTAAGACAACTGAAGAGACTGATATTTCTATGCACTTAGCAACCACACACAGAAAAACTTATTTAGAAATACTCAGAACTTTTTCCAAACTCCAATCATCAGGGGTTTTTCTGGGGTATCCCCAGTCTTTTTAGCTTTGCCATTGAATAGTGATTTAGGGGACAATAATCTCTCACTATTGCCAAATGTCCCAGCACCAACTCCTGCTGGCAAAGAGTGTTGCAAAACTGCCTGGAAAAGAAGGGCTGACAGTAATGGGACTGGAAGAGGAGGTGTTTCTCTTCTAAGGTACACTGCTACTGCTAATAATTAGTCTTTCTCGGTATTTTCCACCTTAAGGGAAAATGCTTTACCCATTTCAGAAGAAACAAGACTGCAACAGGTTTCACAATATTTACAGCCAATTTCTACTTGTTACCTTCTCAATAAATGCTTTCTTGACCAGCTTATCTAGATGTTTCAGACTCATGCTTGTTTTCTTTATGTCACTTAGTAATACTTGAGATTATTTCATCTGTCTACTTACTTGGTTGCTTTTTGTTTGTTGTGTTGCTTTGTTTTTGTTTTGTGGCACTGGGAATCAAATCCTAAGCTTTACACCTGCTAGGAAAATATCAATAAGCCACATCCCCATCCCTGTTTTTTTGTTGTTGTTTTTTTTTCACTTGCTTTGTTTTATCTGTCTTGTTTCTAAGTATCCCTGCCACCTATAATAGGTTTGATAGTTGCTGAATAAATGAATTTAAAAATGCATTTCAAATGCTGACTAGTGTTGCAGTCAAATTTTTGACAATTTCCTCTCTTCTGGGGTAAGTGGAATATTAGTAATGGGGTATGTTATGACAGGTGGCATACTGAAATCTAAGGGTCAATGATTTGCTTGTCACTGCCCTTTATCTGATAGTCCTGTTTCTCTCCCTAGTGCTCCAGTCTCATACCCTTTCCCTACAGGAATCTCACTTGCTATCTGTAATACCAGCCATCCTCAGTCCTTCCTGGGACCTCCCAAAGCCTGCCTCCTTTCCATCTGAGGTTTGGCTATGGTATCACAAGAAAATTATGGATAGAATCAGCTATGAACCAGGCTGAGGTTCCTGGACCCCTGTTCCCAGCCTTGCCTGAAACGTTCCTGATCCTTCACAGATGTCCTATGATAGTCCCCTATGTAACATTAGCAAAGATTCCCAAAATTCCCACCCCCACTCCTTTTTTTGTGTGTGCCGGGGATTGTATCCAGGGTCTGTGTGCATTCTGAGCTCATACTCCCTGAGATCGCTTTTCTAGTCTGCAAAGTTTCCTCCCAACAGAAAAACAAAGATTTCTGGAACCCCTGAACCAGACATCTGCCACTAGGCTCAATGTTCTCTTTTGACTTACAAATGAAAACATGCTGTTGACATCATTCATTCCTCAAAAGTCAGTGAGCAAAGTTGGACTTCCCAAGGATCAATGATACAGCTTCCACAGCTGAGGCCTGATACCCATCTTCTCCCTACTGCAGGGCATCTCCACCCCAACTACTGAGCCAGGGCACTGGGAGCTGTTACTCCTAGACTCTTTCTTCTGTTTTCTTTCCTTCCTAGCCTCTGAAATCTTATATAACCCTCCTGAGCACCCATGACCCTCCATCAGCAATCTCCTCTACAATTCATTTCCAGCTGCCAGAGCCCCGTCTACATGTCCTTTGGTGTTGCTGAGCCTGCCTGGGGAGATGGAAGCTTTCACCTCAAGTCATAAACCCCACCACCACCCCTTAAAACCCATAGCGAAGGTCTTCAACAGTCCTATTATTGACTTGTAGGTCCAGGGAGCAGTATTTATCTGCCCTAGCAGGGCCTTTTGAGGAGAAACAGCACATGTACTGGATGATAGATTTTCAGGTCGGTCTCTTCTTTCCCATACACCTCTGATCCCTTTCACAGACACCTAGATCCATCATCTATTCCAAAGAGTGATTTATGGACCCTTTTCACTGTTGTTTCCTAACTCACATGTCTACCCTAGGATAAATTATCAGAACCTCCATGCACCAGCCCTCCAGAATCTTCAGCATGCAGGCAGACCAGATTAAAGCTCAAATTCTGAGCAAGAGCTAAGAGGTAGAAGATTGTGTCCTTTTGGGAATTCAGGGCTATGGATATGTTGGCTACCCTAGTGCTGGTCTCAGGGCATAAGGTAACTCTTCTCAGGCACCCAAAATAAGGCTGACCTTGCTTCTATTCCCCTCACCGGGAAGGGTCTCCTCTGCTTATCCTGAGTCCTTCCTGTCCTATGGGCTAGGCTAAGAAGGGAAGCTTGGCCATATTTGGGCCCAAGCGCCCCCTGGAGGCTGCAGGAACCAGTGCATTCCCATGGTTCAAATACAGATTAGAGACCAGTTTTGTGTCCCAGACACAGGCTCTCCATGGTCTTATTCTCTGGCTCCTCTCAGCCCTGGCTATGAGGACTTAGTGTGGCACTTTCCCATTTCTATGCTCCTTTCCCTCCCTCAGCAAACTTCTGCTGTCTAACCTCTTGTTTTATTTCCTGGCAAATTCAAACCCAGAAAAATTCAGCCATCTCCTTTTTGGTGTAGTCTTCTCTGTGATAGCCAGCACCATTGTGACTCCCCACCAATGAGAGTCTGAAAGTGGGCCTGCAGATGTCTTCATGGACAGAGCTTCCTCCCGCATTTCCAGGGACCATGTTTAAAGATGGACATTGGCCCATTCTCCCTTGGGATGGCTATGTCCAGCTTGCCCTGATGTTGTCCTGAGGAGCTCTCTGACCTCAGTCATTTTTCCTGGGGCTCACTGAGTGCTGGGTGTTCTGGGTCTGATGACTTGACTGTGTACTCCAGAGCAGAGACTGGATTCCCCGCTTCTTCAAGTTAGAAGGCTTAGGGATAAAGCTCAGGCAGCTAAAAAGAGCTTACTGTTTCCAATTGACTCCAACATAAACATATTCTCTGGTTCTTTCTATAATGAACCTTCTGAATAGTTCATTCTTATTTCTCTATGAATTAATAATAATAAGCAATGATAATTTGCTCATATCTATTGGGAACCTGTATGTGTCTGGCACTATGTAAACATTTGATATGGATTGCCTTATTTCATCATGTGCGTGTGCGTGTGTGTGTGTACATATGCACACACCCACACACATACATTACTTACTTTGCTATGATTTGAATGTTTTTGCCCCATCCAAATTCATGTGCTGGAAGTTTAATCTCCAATGCAAGCAGTGTTTGGAGGTGGTACCAAATGAGAGGTGTTCAGGATAATGCTGCTGTAATGTGGGGGCCAGGGGGGGATTCTTCCTCTTCTGCCATGTGAGGAACAAGAGTTCTACTTCACCAGACACCAAACTACTAATGCCATGATCTTGAACTTTCCAGCCTTCCAGCCTTGTGAGAAATAAAATTCTGTCCTTTATAACACCATAAATGGACTAAGATGGTACCATTAGTCCTATTTTATGAATAAGGAAACCAACATTAGGTATCTTAGCCAAATCACATTGTTAGCAAGTGAGGAAGCCCTGATTTAAACCCTGGCTGCCTGACTACTTGGGTGTGTTCCATGGAGTTCCTATGAAGGAGTGTGCTGGTAAATATTAAATAGCTGCTTTCCAGTGGGGAAAGCCCTGATTTGCAACATTTGCAATTCTGTGATATAAATACTCCTATCACCAATCAAGTTACCAATGAGATAACACCAAACATGGAGTTGGGAAGAGATGTGCAATAATGGACTATTATATGGTATTCTCACTACACGATGATGCAATAGATGTAAAGAAGCTCAGATAAAAGTAAAGTGCAGTAAGATAATGAGGAAATTATGAGTTTTGAGTAAACATCAGTTTTAACAAAAGGGGTATAATGTTAAGTGCCTATAGTTTTAACTTTTAATAATGGCTGACTTTTAACAACCATCTTTCAAAATCCCTGAAAATTTGATCAGGTTCCAGCACCAACTGTCCACCATACTACCTGAATGTACAAGGATTTGCACTATTGTTTTTCACTGCTATATCCTCAGCACCTAGAACAAAGCCCAAAATACCATATATATTTCATAAATATTGAATTGTGTGGTTTATACTTCCTACTTATACATGAAATATATCCCTTTCTGACTCCTTAGTAGTACAAACTCTATATTTTCTAGTCTGCCCACTGAAATAGCCTCCCTGCTTCTGCTTCTCTGCAACACATTCTGCCCCTCTGAAACAGTTTTCCTAATAACTACAGTGATCTCCAAAAGCGTATCTGAGATCTCCTTATGCTCCTACTTAATTTTTTTTCTTGATGATAAAAATGATTTAACTCTAACATAGAGACTACTACTACGTTAGTATTCTCTAACATAGAGAATACTACTATGATCCCTTATTATCCATTGCAGCTTTTTCTACTCCTACAACATATTCCTTTTTTTTTTATAAAAAAGATAAATTATAAAACTTCTTTTTCCTTTCTCTCTCTCTCTCTCTCTTTCTTTTTCTGGCAATACTAGTGGATGGAACTCAGGGCCTAGTACTTGCTAGGCAGGCACTCTGCCACTTGAGCCATCCCACCAGCCCTTTGTGTGTTATTTTTGAGACAGGGTCTTGCTGTTTGCCCAGGTGGCTTGGACTGCGATCCTTCTATTTGTGCCTCCTTGCATAGCTGCGTTGCAGTGGTGTCATCACTGCAGTAAGTCATTGGTTGAGATGGGGGTCTTTCGACTTTTTGCTCAGGCTGGCCTTGAACCGAAATCCTTCTGATCTCAGCCTCCTAAGTAGCTAGGATTACAGGCTTCAGTCAGGCCTAAAACTTTTTAAATAGTATTTCACATCTCAGCATTAATTTTCTTTTTTTTTACTTTTTTATGAAAAATGTTCTCATTATGTAGTTCAAGCTTGGGATGGAGGCATGACTCAGCACTTGCCAAATCTCAGTACTAGAAAATGTGTCTTTGCCAGGCATGATGGCCCACTCATCAGTAATTCCAGCTACTTAGAGGGTAGAGATCAGGTGGATCATAGTTCAAGGCCAGCCCAGGAAAAAAGTTAGTGAGGCCGCATCTCAATCAACAAGCACAGCATAGCTGTCTATATATGTAATCCCAGTTATTTGGGAGGCATAAATAGGAGGATTGTGATCCAAGGCCAGCCCTCGCAAAAATGTGAGACCCTATCTGATAAATAACTAAAAAAGCAAAAAAAGAGATAGAGGCATGGTTCACTCAGGTGGTATAGCACTTGCCTAGCAACTGAGAGGCCCTGAATTCAAACCCTAGTACCACCAAAATAATACCTCAAAACAAACCAAAGAAAACAACCAAACTTATGTAGCCCAAGCTAGCCTTGAATTTGTAAATTTGTGATCTTTCTGCTTTAGCCAATTCTGGGATTATAGATTTGTACCACCCAATTTACACATTATAATTTTTAAAATGTGCATATGGTTCCATTATACGTCTTAGCAAAACTTTATATAAACTATTGTCTACTGATGGGCATTTAGATCTTTCTGTGATCTTTTTGCTATTAAAAAATAAAGGTGTGATAAACATTGATACACACACTTGTTTGTGCATTTGCCGGATTATTTTCTCAGAATACATTCCCAGAATTGGAAGAATATAGATGATTTTAAGGTACCCAGTCTTCAAGAGGACTTTAGAAAGTTGCATTACTCAGTTTTCCATTCTCATTTCTCTTCCTACCTCACTGTCCAGCTATCAGTTTGTTTCATCTGGCAGCCCACTTATCCCTATTGCTTAAACTTTTCAGTGGTTTACTGTTATATTCTGAGTCAAATCCCAAATCTTTGCCTGAGTTAAATGATCCAACTCAAGTCCTAACTTTTCAAAATGGTTCCTTTCCTCTCTCCAACACCCTCCCTCCTGATGCCACCCTGACCTCCTTTCAAATCCTCAAACACACTAGGACCTTTACTCTTGGGACCTTTGTGCCTGTTCTTCCTTTGGAAATCTGTCTCCTTTTCTCAACATGGCTAATTCCTTACCCACTCCTTCCAAATTTGCTGGTTGCTGATTAGAGGCTCTCCTAGTCCATCTTATTTAACACTATGTTCTCTATCATTGTACAAAACAATAGTTTTGCTTCACACTTGAAATCAAACTGTGATCACACATTTAATTCCATGCCCTTTATTTTCTCACTAAACTATAAGCTCCATAAAGACAGGGACCATTTCTGTCTCTATTCCCAGGGCCATTGTGCTGTCTGATCAATAGTTCTGAGCAGTAAGTGCTCAGCAAATCCTTGTTTAATGACTACGTGGAACTGTAGGCCACATATGGCCATAGAGATGATTACTGAATAGTGCTATGTCAGTAAGGTGTGAGCCCATGCAGGACTTTACAAAAACTTTCTGATCTATTCCAGCAGAGGCTTTGTGGTGACCCCCAAGTCTGTGAAGATCATTTATGATGCAAACCAACTGAATCAAGGCACAGCCTCCACTGCCAGGCATTACTTATACCTATTTGGACCCAAGGTCTGAATTGAAAGAAAATGCCCACTGTTGGATGGATCTACGATGAACTGAAAGACCTCAGTTTGAGGCACCTTTTGCATGTCTTAGGAAGACTACCTGATCTAGTATCTATGGATCTATGGAAATCAGTGCTAGCAGCCTGTTCTTAGGCTGGTATGGGAGCCACTTGAGGCTTCCCACCCAAAGAAAAGTCGTCCTTATCACCATTTGATTCCCCTGCTACCTTTAGGTGCTCTGAATATAAATGAGAAGTTGAGGGCTGGGAACGTTTCTGTATCACTGCTGGCGCTTTGCTCAAAGTGGGAGTATGGGGGAGGAACAGACCATCATCTGAGAGCTCTCAAGAAGACTCCACTGGTGTTGAGTGATTGATAATTGAGCACTTCTCTGCTGGCCAGGGCATGAGTTCAGGCAATTCTGCTTATAATTGGAACAAGAAATGTAGGCCCTATAAGAACCTGCTCTAAAACCTTCAGAGAATCTATCTGTTCCTCCCTCTGCCTGCTAGGTCTCACAAGTTGGGGACAGAGAACCAGAGAGTTATGTATAACTATATTTCACATAGTCAAAGTCATGTCCCTTTGACCTGACTTTGCAAAGATCCCCAGGTCCCCACATGTCTACAAATAGCCCTTCCTATCCTAGGCCCAGGAATTATGCTACATAGGACAATGTCTTTTTCTCTTTTATGACTTCTCATGACAAATCTTCCCAGGTCCATCATTCCTCAGATCTTGTTCTGTGCCTTCTCTGCAAGTTATCATGCTACTGAAGGGCTATAACTGGTAGGACACTAACTTACCAGTTCGGAGTATGACAGCTACAGATTCCAAAGTCTGGGCTCTGCTCTTAATCAGCAATACGAACTGTTTCTGGAGCTTCAGTTTTTTGTAGAGAGGGAGAAATCATAATCCCTACCTCCCAGGTCACAGAGTTCTGGTTTTAACTATCTCTAGAATTAGCAGATGAACTTTGAGGGGGTGTGAAGACCTATTTCCACTGTGAGGAAGGGCAATAATTTTGGAACAGAGAGTAATGGGATGGATCAGGGATCCAGGGTTTTAGGACTGAGCTCTAACACTGGTTATGAAGTCTCTCACACAGTTTCCCTGGGCTAGCCTCAAGTCCCTTGCCCAGGTTTGGGTTTCAAGGATTGCTTTCAGACCCTGAAATTGTTCTCCCTATAGCTGCTGATGTGTTCTGGGCAAGAGTCACCTCCTGCTCCTTCCTAGCCCCAGGAAAGATAAGCAAAAGTCTTGCCTATATCTATATGAGATGCACAGATGCAGGGTCTGAGGAATGGGGATTTGACAGGTGGCTCAGGGTCCCAGACTCACCCTCTCTTGCTCTTCTCTCCTGAAGTTTCAAAATACCAGGCCATATTGGGGAAGCTGGGTCCCATGTCTGCCTGATTGCCCAGCTTTTAGTCCACAGTTAGAAGCAACACCCCATCCCCTCATGGCCCCACCCCATAAGAACCCAGCAAAAACATCATGGTGAAGACATTTATTTAATACGGGGGTGGGGGTATTGCTGTCTCTGTCAGTGTGTTTGGGGTGGTAGGGAGACAACCAGAGGGACTTCTGTCCTGGAGTAAGAGGCTGTTCTGGCCCCCAGGCTGGGGGGCAGAGAGCAGACTGAGGGTATAGGGGAGGTGTGTAAAGAGGGTAGGGTGAAGCTCTGCACACATCCTTGGGACCATAGTCCAGGCCCACCCAGTCACCAAAGCAAATACCGAATAAATAAAGTGCAACCGTGGGGTTGGGGAGGAAAGGGAGGGCACTGGGCACACCCATGCCCACAGCCCACATTCAGTGCTGCCAAGTCTGACCCACCTCCCAGCCAGACCCTCTTGTCCAATCACCCCTGTGTCCGTCCCTCCATGAGTCAGGCAGGGCCCCTGTGCATCTATTGAAGGTAGCGATAGGCCTTAAAGCAGTGGTTGCCAGCATCAGCCACCACCACGTGGCCATCCGAAGTCAGTGCCAAGCCCTGTGGGCCATACAGTGGCTCTGCAGATGTGTTGATGTAGGATAAGAAGGAGCCAGAGCTGTCGAACACCTGGGGAAGGAGTGGAGAATGGAGGGAGAGGTGAAGTCAGGCAGGTGAGAGGCTGTTTAAGGGGTGGGAGTGGGATACATGGGAAAAGCAGGAAGCCTCACTCTCATGTCATCTCTGGGCTTTACTCACCTGGATGCGGCTGTTGCCCCAGTCAGCCACGATGATGTTCCCATTGGAGTCTACAGCTACTCCTGTGGGGGCATTAAACTGCCCATTGCCTTCGCCGTGGGAGCCAAACTTGAAGAGGAACTCTCCATCCGCGCTGTACACCTGGCAGGGGAAATGGCTAGGGACTGGGGACTTGTCCTCAGACAGAGGGCAGGACCTTGGAGAGAGTGGGGTGAAGCTCCAGGGCTAAGGACCCCCAAATCTGTAGCTGTAGCCCAGAAATTCATCCCAGGTTTCACATCCACATTCCCTACTGCCTACTAGACATCTCAGCAATGTCCATTAGGCATATCAAATCTAATAGTACATCTTCTCTGGGAAGGCAGTTGTTCCAAGTTCTCTATCTCAATGACTGGTACCACCCAGCTGGCATGAGTCATTCTCCATTCCACCTTCTTCACTGCTTGACAGCCAAAAAATTAATACAACCTCTGATTCTGTTTCAAATCCCTCTCTCAGATCTGTAGCTATATATATATATACTGTAACATCTTTACCTTGGTCTAGGTCCTCATTATTTCTCATCTGGATCACTGCAAAAGATTGGTCTTCCTGTCTCTAGTCTTACCTGAGTCACAGTGATCATCTTTCTAAGACTCAAAGGATTGTATCACCCCTGTCTGTAATCCTTCAAGGACTCCTGGTAGCTCTTGGGAAGAAAGCCAGCCCCTTAACAGGGCACACAGGCCTCATTCTCATTTTATACCAGTCCCCCCCCCCAAACCTAGACTGAACTATCTGTGGTTTCACTATACTGGTATCTACCTCCCATTCCTGGTTCCTCCTGTATCCTTTGCTTCAAACATTCTCCTCCTCCTCTACCTTCTGACTAATTCCTACTTGTGATTCAGATCATCCCCTGAATCAAATGCTTCTGCTCGGCTCTCCCACAGTTCCCTGCACCTCCCTATCACAGAATTTATCACATCATATTGTAATTTCTGGGTTACTTTCTTCTCTTTCTTAACAGACTCTAACCAAGGAGATAGGGAATGTGCTTGCTTTATTTATCATGGAATCCCCAGCTTCTAGCATAGTGCTTGGGACAAAGTAGCCATGCCAAGAATGTTTATTGGTTCAATGAATGACTTTGGGCGTGGGGGAGGTGAGGGAGAAAGGAGTCTTGTGGAAGAGGTAGGGACATCAGGACAGTGATCATGGAGGGAGGGAGGGAGGATACTAACCTTTACTGAATGGTTGTGGAAATCTGTTACTACAATCTCATTTTTGTTGTTCACAGCCACAAAATGGGGTCCTGGAAATAGAAAAGTGGTCTTTAGGTCATTAAGCTAAGGTACTCAGTAGGACAGAGATGAATATTTGCAATAATAAAGCCAGAGTGTTAGGGATCTCTGAGGATAAGATAAACAGTCTCTGGGATGATGGGACGAGGGTATAGAAACAGCTCTAGAGCCAAGATATAGGAGGCAGGGTCTTTAGAGTTAGGGTGTCTAGGGGAGTTTTTGGGACTGGGGAATCAGGATAGGTCTTGGAATTGTCCTCCCATACCTGCAAAGTGGCGGTCAGTGGCCCCACGGCCTCCAAAACGTCCAACCAGCTTGCCATTGGGCTGGAAGGTGAAGACACAGCAAGACTTGTTGTCGACCACAATGATATGTCCATTCCGGTCTACGGCCACTCCCTTGGGCCCCATGAGGCGGCCTGCTCCAATCTTGGTCTAGAGGAAGGGACACCACGAAAGGGGCTTTATCCAGACTAGTAGAGAGAAAAATCTAACCCCACTATCAAAGCAGAATCTTAAGCTGGGGATAAATCAGAGAGCAGGAGGAGGCAGAATTGGACCACTTTAGGCCCTGACCACAAAGAAACACTAGCATGGTCAGCAGAGCTAGTCAGAGGGGCACAACAACAGCAGAACTCACCTTGAACTTGCCCTCAGGGGAGAAAATGCTGACCCAACGGTTGTCATAGTCTGCCACAATAATATCTCCATTGGTATCCACTGCCACACCTGTGGGACGCTGCAGTTGCCCAGGTGAACGCCCTCGGACCCCAAAACGGAACTTAAACTGGCCCTCATTGGAGAAAACCTGAAGCAGAAGAGCAAGGGAGGGGGCAGGGAACAGGGAAAACATTGTGGGCACAGACAGAAGGGAGCAAGGTCCTGAGGGAGAAGACCCCCTGCTTATTCAGTCACTGACAAGCACTCACTGACACTATGCTAGGGGTACTGAGGAGTGAAATGTGACACCAGACCTTAGAGGACATGCAGCAGAGGTGTGAAGAGGACAGTGAGAATATAAAAGAGGTCAGGGGAAATGATGAAGAAAGGTACCAAAGAAGGAGATAGTTGAGCTAACAGCCAAATAAGGATGCCATTTAAATGATGAACTGAAATCAGCTAATGAAGGAGGATAAGTGGAGTGAACAATTTGTGAAAAGCACAAAGTCCACTATGGGAACTGCTTGAGGACCTGTCCAATGTGGCTGGATTATGGGGAGCACACAGGTGAGCAACAGGAATTATGTTTTATCCTTGGGTATATGAGGAGTCACTGAAAACTTCTGGACAGGGGAGTGACAAGATCAGATCTGCTTTTCTGAAAGAGTGCTCTGGCTGCAGGGAGGAGTTAAGACTGGAAGTTAGTCAACCAGTCAGAGGTTGTTGCAGGAGTCCAGATGTGAAATTATTATGGTTTAGACCAAGGAAATAGGTTGGAGGGGAGACGGACTCAAGAGAAATATAGGAGGAAGACTCAAACAGGACTTTGTAGCAGACTGGAAAGGGGTAGGTGAGAGAGGAAAAAGCATACAGGTTACTCCACTCAGGTTATGGGCTGACAAGGTAACTTTCCTCCTGGACAGGATGAACTTTTCTACTTCTCTTCTACTTCTTCCACCTCCTCCATCTTAGCTACCCAAGAAGCTCAGCAGGTCTCTCCATCCTAAAAGAACCTCCTTTAATCCTCCATCCCTCTTAAGCTAAGCCTTCTGGCTTCTCTTTCACAGCCAAAACATTACTCATTATATAATTCTTATACCCTGCTTTGTTACAGGATCTGGGGACACAAGACGAGTTGGAACCAGGAGCTGCTTGGAGAACTCAAGTTGTGGGCCTTGGCATTAGTTTGATCCAGACATGTTCCCTCATTAGTGGGCTGGGCTCCATATTCTGGTCCTTCTTTTATGTCTATGCCTAGAGGGCCATTTAAATTGGTCACACCAGAAGACACACACCACTTCCTCCTGATGTGGACCTTCCAGCATGCTCTCCCTTGGCCAACCAGCATAGACCCTGGTCTTCTGTGTCAGGTCAAAACTGTCAACATGAGAAGGGAGGTACCACAAGATAAAGAATAGAGGGGGGGGGGGTGCTAAATGTAGTACCAAATCAGCAGTGAGGAAGTGGATAGGCCTCCTCCAGTCTAAGCAGCTCAAATCAGGCTCAAATCTAATGAGGCTTTAAAAGGTCTTCATCCTGTTTCACACCCCGTTATATCCGGCCAACTCCTACTCATCTTGGGTTCCCAGAGTTTCCAGGTTACTTCTTCAAAGCACCTTTAATGACCAGCCCCTATCCTCCTCAAAGGAAATATACATGTAAAGTTAGGGTCCTTGTTATATGCTTTATAGTTTTCTTAGTAACAGCTATTACCTTGTGGCTAAATAATTGCTATATACCTATGTTCCCCTTCTGCTACTGCATTTTCAGGATTGGTATTGCTTTGAGACAGTCAATAGGTGAATGAATTCACCAGCTCAACCTCAGACCTAAACTGGACATCTCCATTTGTATGCTACATAGCTATCTCAAATTCAACATATACAAAAGAGAACTCATCAGCTTATACCAGGGCCTGCTCCTGAATGGCAACACCATCCACCCACCCTACAATGTTCCTGACATTCTCTTCTTTGACATCTAATAGTTCATCAAAATCTGCATATTTGCTTCCTTAATATTTCTAGAATCTACTGGAGTCCCAGTTTGCTCCTCACATCTCTCTCCTACACCCTGGTAGCAGCAAGTAGATCTATGATTTTAGCAATCTCAATGGGGGATAAAAATAAACAAAATAAAACAAAACAAAACTGGAAAAATTCTTTTTTAATTCACAAGACAACAACAAACCAGTGATACTAGTAAAGTATGAAAAATACTATTGCAGAAGGCTAAGGGAAGTCAGAGAAGAATATGGTTAACATTCTGCCTAAGGAGAAAGAGGATATTTTCATGAAAGAGCTGATAATATTTTTGGACAAAGACACAATTAAATAAGAACATAATGTATACAAATCAAATCTTCATTCAGAATTATAAAGTATTTTCTGTGCTTTGTCAGCATGGTTCCACTCAATGAGGGAATTTGCCTCATCCTCTACCATAGAAGAATCCAAAGGAGGAAAAGCTCACAAGGACCCCAAACCTAAAGATCAAAGGGATGGGAGGAAGTCACACCTCATTTGGAAGCCCAGCACACACCAGGCCTGAGGACCCCAAAGTAAGAGAAGCAAACACTGGGTTTTGGAACCTGAGATCCAGGCTGCTAGCAGCTATGACATCAGAGTGGAGGTGGGAACAGGAGCAAGAAGGAAAACTGCTATAGGAGTAATAGGTGTTTGGAAGAGTAAGGAGGGTATGTCAGGCCTCTCCCTCAATTTTTCATGAAAAAAAAAAAGGGACAAGCACAGCCCCTGACCAGGGGTGACAAAGCAGCACCTATTCTTTTGTGCAAGTGAGCACCCAGGTGTGTACACAACAGGAAAGATGTCCCAAATCCCACTTTTGTACTAGAAAGCATCCCTGGCCTAGCGGGGAGAAAAGGAGTTGGAGGTGAAGGTGTCCCTGAGTAGAGTTCCAGCACCATCCTCAGCTCCTCAACACCCCTCCCCCATCACCTCCTTACCATACAGGTTGGGTCCAAATAACTCCCTGTGCTACCCTGGGCCTCTTCATTCCTTTGTCTTAGGAATAGGGAAGGAATAAAGGAGGGTCAAACTAGAGTAGAAATCTGGCCACAGAAGAGGTCCTGGCATCTTTTGCCTATAGGTGAATAGATGGGTCCAAGGAGGAGCTGACACTGGGGTGAAAGACTAGCAGAGCTGAATCCATGACAAGGGTACTAGGGCAGGGTCAAGAAATTTAAATGTATAGGTGTGAAGTAAAGATCTTCAGGAAAAGTTTTGCTACTTGATAATGTTTCTAAGAACAGAAGTGAATGGTAGTTATTCCCATAGGACAAATCAAAATTCCATGGCATCATCTCCAAAACCATTTTACAATTTCAGCTACCCCCAGCTCCCAATAACAAGCTCCTTGCAGCCCTGCTGGGATCCTTCCAGTTCACTGAACAACTCCCTCCAGCACTTTCCCACCTCCTTGCCTTTGTTTACAGCCTCCACCTGGACAATGATATTTTTAACAAGCACTAACATTAGAAGGTTCAGGTACAGTACATTACATCATTTAATACTCCTAGCAACCCTGAGGTATGCTTTTCCTAATTTTACATGAGTAAACTACAGCCCAAAGAGGTCACATTACTTTTTAGTACATAGCAGAGCCAAGATTCAAGTTCAGGTATCTGGTTTCAGAGCCTGAGAGTTTATCGGCTAAACTGTCTACCACACTGATGCCCACTGTACTAGGCTCTGGACTTTTACAGAATAGAGAGAAGAAAAGCCATGTTTCCTGGTTTTAAAAAGGAGCTCACAGTACAGCAGAGACCATAAACACTCATGTAACAGATGCCTTAATCAGCTGTGTGAGGCACTAACATATTGAGGCAGGGACACAACCAGAAGCAGGTGTGAGGTTGCTCTATACCTTCTAGCAATTGAAAGTTACCCCCATTTAACTGTATAGCCAACTAGATGACTGCAGAGACTCCAAACAGAAACATACACACTGGAGCCACTAAGAAAAAAAGGGAGAAAGTAAGTCAGCCAACTGGAGCTTTAGAAGAGGCAGAGGGGAAGAAGGAATGAGCTAGATCCTTGGGGTCCAGGGGTTGAATCATAGCTTGAAAAGTAGAGCTACAAGCCCAAGAATCCTTGGTTCCTGACTGAAGAGCTGAGTACTGTTGCAGCCCATGGGGGTGGGTAGTGCCTTGATTCACTGCTCTTTAGGAATGGTACTATCTGTAGAATTTCATCTCCCAGAAGGTTTTGTCTTCCAGAAGGTGACCAGTACACTTTGTTTTCAGGAAGCTATACCATGAGAAACCTTTTTGATGACAGAGTAGAGCAATAAAGTCATTTACCTGGATACATTGGTTGTTGCTGTCTGCTACCACTATGCGTCCACTGCTAGCTGCGGACACACCCTGTAAATTGGTGAATTCACCCTTCTCCCTTCCACGACTGCCTGTGGAAAAGGGATGGGAAAGAAAACAAAAGAATTCACTGTGAGGTTGTTTTGAACTTCCCTCCCTTCCTTGTCCTGTCCCCTTCCTAAACCAGTCCCCAGCTGGATTCGCCCTTGGCCATCTGTACCAACACGGAAGACGAGTTCATCCTCAATTGGGTTGTCCTTCCGTTTGCCACCTGTGCTGTACATGGAGCTGGGCCTACGCACCGCCTTCTGGCGCACATGGCTGCCCGGACCTCCGGGAGACTTGACACGGCGCTTCACATCGTCGGGGGAAGGTGGCAGGTCCCCTGGACGCAGGGCACGCACACGGAAGGGGCTGCCTCTCACCGGCTGTCCGTAGAGCAGCACTGAGAGGAGCAGCTCACCTTCAGTGCGTGCTGTATACACCAGCTCATATGTGCCATTCTTGTGGTCCACCACAGGCACAGGAAGGCGTGTGCCATCCGGGCCGGTGATCTCCGCGCGCAGCTCAGCACTGCCAGTGCGCACCAGCCGCCCATCCTTGTCTTTGGTCGTGACGGTGAGCGAAGCGGGCTGACCTACCAGCGCCTGGCGCAGGCCCTCGCCTGTGGCCACCGTCTCATGTGCAGTGGCGCTGGTGGTGAGCAGCGCACCCAGATTGAGCACCGATCGTCGTAACCCATCAACCTCAAGGACCAGTTCCAGCTGTGCATTCTCATGTGGCCGCTCTGGGAAGGCCTGAGCTGCCAGTGCCGCCAGTCTCTCCCGCATGTGCTTGCGCACCAGCAATACTTCCGGGGCGGAGCCCAGACGCAGTGCCTGCTCTGCGAAGCTGCAACTACTGCCAATGTGTTCCTGACCTTGGCGCAGCGTATCTAATTGAGTCTGCAACACCTGAGGAGGTAGGAGGGGAGGAGTGGGTACACAGACTGGCAAAGAGGAAGTCTCTGGGATTACTGATGACACTCTAGTAGTATGGCATGAAAATTACGAGGAGGTGCATGTGGATAAGGGAGTAAGAGATCTGCGGCACCTAAAGGGTCACAGCAAGAGGCAGACAATAGAGGCTGGAGAAAAGAAAATACTGATATGGAACGGGGGAAGCAACGGAGGCAGTGACACCAGCTCATAATGGACCATGGTTGGGAAGGAAAGGTGAACAGACATACCTTCTGCTTGGCTCCACAAATGATCTCCAGGTCACTGACCAGAGCCTGCTTACGCTGCTGCAGTGCTTGCTCCAAGTCCTCAAAGGCTGCACTGATCTGGGCCAGGGCCTCTGCCTTTCGCTCTTGGAGCTGCTGGCTGATGCCTCCCACTAAGGCAATAGCTGCTGATAGCTGTGGCAGTCTGAGAAAGAGAAACATCTCATACAAGGTCTGCTGGAGGGTGCCCTCACCAAATCTACCCTTCTCCCTGGGCACCCTAACTGTTGCCCTCTGGGAGATCCCTTACTTGAGACCTCCTGGAGACTTCTTTTTCTGCCCTTCCCAGACCCTTTCTTTTCCCTCCCCAGTGCCCCTGCCCTGACCCTGTGAAGACATCAACCCCATGGCCTCACCAGCCCAGGTCCCCACCCGGTGCCTACCGACCACGCACGGCCTCAAGCTGGCGCTGTAGGGCTGCCTTGTGCTGCTCCACCACATCCCGCAGCAGCACTGTGCCATGCTCCCGATGCTCCCCTGCTCGGCACTCACCACACATGGCTGTCTCACATGCCTCGCAGTAAAACTCCATCGTCTGGCGGTACAAGGACTCCCATGAGGCAACAGCCAGATACTACACTTTTTTGTGCTGTCCCCTCCCCATCTGCCCTCTTTGCCTCCACCCTTCCAAAAGCACCCTCTACCTGTACCACTCATCCAAAGAAGCCCTCTCACCCACAGCTATGTGGCCCTCCCGTCATCACCTCTCCTCTTCCTCCCACCCCAAGTCCTGGCCTCACTGGGCCTCGCTTGGGCCCACCTTGCCTTCATGGTTGGGGCAGGAGAGAGGGCGGCCAGCCACTGCGCTGAGGGGATGGGGGTTCTCGGGGTCATGAGCCCCATCAGGTGCCTGCTGCATCGCCTCCATGAGGCTGCTGATGAAGAAGTTGTTCTGTAGGGCTGAGACACCCTGCTCTGGGAGGATGGATGTCTGCCGGCACACTGGGCAGGACAGTGTCAGGCTCTGGGCAGGGATGTAGTTCTGGAGGCATCTGGCCAGGAAGGAGGGAAAGTCAAAGGAAGCAGGAGGTGAGATGGCAGCAGTGCCTCACCACCATACCTCCAATAGGTGCCAAAACCCCCCTCACAGGTGTGCCATTACACTTCATTTTATATAGTGAAAATGATAGCAAAGTTTATTAGGAGAGGAGTATACTTTCAATAGACTGAAAAGGTTCATCTCTAGAGTGAGAATGAGAATGACCATTACACTTTATTTTTAAATCTCTCTGTCTCTCTGTCTCTCTCTCTCTCTCTCTCTCTCTCACACACACACACACACACACACACACACACACACACACCCCTCATCTGCCGGCAGGTGTAGAGGCCTCTGAGAAATGAGTAGAAACACACTCCTGACCTCTCTCAGAAGAGCAGACATGTCTGCATTCCTTACAGTGTGCACAAACACAGGATCACCTTTCAAAGGTGTTTATAAAACCTTCTCAAGAAAATGGGCAACTAGCCCCTATTCCCACTACTTTTAACTCATTAAACATTTATTGACTGCTTATTGCCAATTGCCAAATTTGTCCCAAGCTCTGGGGATTAAAAAAAAAATAAAGCACAGTGCCAGTCCTTAAAATAGTTTAGTCTTCAGGGGAAACAAAAGTCACAGAAATAGAGAATTTAAAGAAGTAACCAGCGTAATGATTGGGCATGGGTCTGGGAGCTAGGGTGCCTAGGTTCAACTTCCAGTTCAGTGACCTAATATGCTGAGTAACCCCTGACAAGTTACTTTTTTTTTTCAGCACTGTGATTTGAACTCAGGACCACACACTTGCTAAGCAGGCACTCTTACCACCTGTGTCACTCCACCAGCCATTTTTTTGTGATTGGTTTTTTCATGATAAGGTCTCACCAACTATTTGCCCGAGGCTGGCTTCCAACCAGAGTCTTTCTAATCTCTGCCTCCTGAGTGACAAGTTACTTTTATGAGTTAAGGACTCTTTCTTTGTAAGATAGAGACAGTGTAGACTTCTCAGAGTCCTTTTGAGGATTAAATAGAAAGGACCTAATTACATGTAAGGAAGATAATGCTGGGTGCTGGTGGCTCACACCTGTAATCCTAGCTACTCAGGAGGCAAAGGATCACAGTTGGAAGCAGCCAGGGCAAATACTTCACAAGACCCTATCTCAAAAAAGCCATCACAAAAAAATTGCTGGTGGAGTGGCTTAAGGTATAAGTCCTGAGTTCAAACCCCAATACTGCAAAAAAAACACATGTAAGGAAGATAAAATTTTAAATGCCTAACCACCAAAGCACTACGCAGAGTAGGCGACTACTATTATTTATATTAACACAAGAAACACAGAGATGCGGTCATGAACAAAGAAAGGCATCTGGTGGTTAAAAAGGTAGCTAGGGAAGGCTTCAGAGGTGATGCAAACAAAATCTTCGTGACTAAGTAATTGTTAATCTGAGCAGAGAAAGGTGTAGGGAGAGGAGGAAAGGGGTTCCAGATGGAGAAAACAGCAGGTAACATCAGTGTGACAGGGGACGACAAGAAGCAGTTTGATGTGGCTGGAGACAAAGTCCAAGGTAAAGAATGGTGAGAGAAAACAAGGAGCTCAGCAGTTAATCCCAGCAGCAACAGGGAGCCACAGGAGGGTGGCATACCAGGTTTACATTTTATCAAGCTTCTCTTCACCACCCCCTGTGGAGGTTGAATTTGAAGGGGAGAGATAGCAGACTGGGCGGTGGCACCATCTTTCAGTTAACCTGTGTACCAAGTGCTGTGCTTTGCTCAGAAAGGGCAAGTGGTCCAAGGTAATAGCTATTGAGTACTGCAGCCTGGATTGAAACTCAAAGCAGAGTATGTGCTTAACCAATACACTCTTATAATAATGTAGGCAAGAGGTGAGGGAGACCTGAATTGAGGCAGTGGCAAGTATAGGATGAGGTTAGAACACACTGGAGAAGTATTTAAGAGGTACAGCAGGTTGTCTGCTTAGGTATAGGGAGTGAGAGAGGTGAGTTTTGGCTGGCTCCTGGCTTCCCAGTTTAGGTATCTGAGGGGACTGTGGTGACACTCACTAGAATGAGATTTGTAGAGGAGTAACTTGCAGGGAAGTTCAGCCTTATCATGGTTGGATCTAATGTGATGGTGGAATACCCAGGTAGAGGGGACCAGTAGGCAACTGGGGACAAGGCAGATTTGAAATAGAGATGGAGGTACCATCAACATTGAGACAGCCTCAAGCCAAGGAAAAGGAGGAGATCAGTCAAGAAAGTATAGACAGTGATAAGAGAGAGGGATAGAGAATTTGGCAAATATGAACACAGAAAAGAGAGAAGCCAGGCAGAAAAGCCAGAGAAGTGACAGTGTCAGGGCAGCAAAGTGAGTAAAGAAGAAGGAAACAAGTCACCAGGCCAGAAAGCAGCTAAGGAGTCAGGTAGGGTGAGGGCTAGAAAATGCATGCTGAATTTGACAGATGTTTTCCTTTGTAAGGAAAACAAGGGAATGCTAGTCAAAAGCTTGACTATGTGAGTTGAAAAGTGAAGGGGCAGTTAGGTGATTAAATGGGGGGGGGGAGTTGAGAAATTGGATGACCCAATCCTGAAGGGGATAAGAGGACAGAGAATTTTTTTGTCTGTAATGGAAATTTTTTTTCCAGTGCTGGGAATTGAACTTAGGGCCTCACACATGCTAGGCAAGCACTCTACCAATAAGCCACATCTCCAGACCACTAGAATGGGAACTTTGAGCATGTTTATAAGTTAAGAAGAAACCAGTTAGAGAGGGAGAGGTGGAAAAGACTAGAAAAGCAATAGGAGAAAGTCCTGGGAATGGGCAGTGGCTTTGCTGACCTGAAGGGGAAGAGTGGCCCCCATCCACTGATGGAGGGGAGGAGAGAAAGGAGAGGAAGATATAGAGGAGCAGTGTGTAAAGTCAGAAAGAGGGTGCATAACTTGCCTCAAGCAAGATCAACTGCAGAGTGCGGGAGGGAGGAGTCAGGGTATGGTGGTGGCTGGGATTAGTCACTGAAGGCAGAGGGTTGCTTACTAGAAACAGACATCAGACTAAAGGCAGCTGTATTTGGAGACTACAAATCTGGGAGGGAAGATCTATATGGTGTAAACTCTTCCATATCCTCAATTTCTTCTCTTAATGTTCCCTATGCCTTTTGTTCTTAATTAAAATTTAACAAACACTACATGCCAGGCATGATTTTAAGTGCTTCACAAATATTAACTAGTTTAATTGTGACCTACTTTTCCCTGCAGTCCTCTCAAGTAGAGTGGTTTCTCATACTCCACATTCCTTAGGGCCAGAAGGTGGAGCTGAGTCCCCCTTCTTCCCATCTGGAACATTCTATTTGCTTTCAGTGATTTTGAAGCTCATGCCTTCTGTCTATACTATACCTCCTTCTTGTCTCTACTGACCTAAAAGTCACTCCCCTTTTGCTAAAGTCTTTCTCCTGACTCATTCTCCTCTTCTATCACCCCCCCGCCCCATTGCACACATTCTGCCATCATTCTCTGTGGCTCTGACATCCACGAGATGACCCATTGCCATCATGATTTCTTTTTTTCTTGGTGGGGGCGTGGTATTGGGATTTGAACTCAGGGCCGCACACTGCTAACCAGGTGCTCTACCATTTGAGCCACACTGCCAGCCCTTTTTTTGTGTGTTGGGTGTTTTGAGATAGGGTCTCATGAACTATTTGCCCAGGCTGGCTTTGAACTGTGATCCTTCTGACCTCTTCCTCCTGAGTAGCTAAGATTACAGGTATAAGTCACTAGCGACCAGGTACCATTGTGATTTCTTCATTCCCTGACATCACCCCTAATGACCTTCCCTCCATTTCACTTCAGCTGTCCACTCCCATTCTCTCATGACCGTCCATAGCTCATTGACTCTCACTTCTTTAACTCTGAAGTCTGAATTCCCATGCTGTCCCTTGCAGCTCTCTTGATTCTAGCACTACTGCAAAACACCATCTAACTTATCAGTACCTCCTTTCTATGAGGTTAACATATCTGACTTGCAATATAATAATTTACTAACCGACGTCCTGTTTCTGCTCTTGCTCCTATACAATATACTCTCCACACAACCAGAGTGAGAATTTTTTTAAAAAAATCTAATTTGTATCACACTTCTTGCTTTAAAAAAAAATCCACCAGTTGCACTTAGAATAAAATCCAAGTAATTCCTAAAACCTTACAAGTATCCCCATGTACTGCAGTGACTCTCTCTGATTCCATCTCTTCCCAGTGTCCTCCTCATTCACCAACACACACTAGCTTCTTTTCTCATCTCTGAACATGTGCTGTTTACTTCTTTCTTAAGGCCTCTGCACAGATCTTTCTGTTGCCTGCACTTGTCTGCCTCTTCTCATCCTCAGGACTCAGGTCAAACGTTACCTCTTCAAGGAAGCCTTTCCTAGTGACTACATAGAAGTGCCCCCATCCAACCACCCACATTTAGTCTGTTTATTTATTGTAAAACACTTAGCATAGCTGCAACTTTTTTGTTTATTCGCTTGCTTACTGTCACAGACATAAGCTCTTTGAGAGCAGGGACCAAGGGATAAACAAGTATGTTCTCATGAAGAATGAAGGCTCTGCAGTGAAACCTGCATTCAAACCTCATCTACTTACATGGTCTGTAGTCTTGGACATATTTCTTAATCACTTAATGTCTCTGAACCTTAGTTTTCTCCTCTCTAAAATGGGGATGCATCTGTTGTGAAGATTATGTGAATCAGTACATGTAAATCACTCCCTGGCAAACAGCAAGCAATCAACATACCATTACTATTATTATTATAGTTTCTCAGGCAGTGATTTTCTCCAGGAGTGCTCAGTGATCTGACCACAGGAGAAAGTATAGTTATGGCTCTGATTCAGCACTGAGCTTCTTCTATGACATGGGCTTGGCAAAGGACAAGGTGTAAGGAATTTGGGGGTGAGGGGAATAGTTGCAGCTATGCTGAGTCAGATGATCAGCCGTAAGATCCGGAATGGGTAGAAAAGAAGGGGAAGTGAGGATGGAGTTGGCAATGGGAGAAAAGGGAGTAGTTGAGGGAATTAGGATTTATAGTGAGTCAAAGGTGGTATAGATGCAGTGGGGTAATGGGAGTCAGAAGTGGAAGACTGGAGTCTAAGACCACAGAAGAACATGATTACAGGTGATGCCAAGATTGAGGTCATGGTTGGGAGACAGTGTTACTGAGGTGGAACAGAGGATGTTCCTGAAGTAACATCAATAATTAAGAGGAAAAGTATAAAATGAAGTCCCCAGGTTGAGGAACTTGACTGAGTAAGAAGGTGAAGAATGATTTCCACTGACAAAGGGAAAGAATGGTGGAGCCAGATTCAACTAAGTTTATAATTACAGATGTGTGTCACTATTCCAGGCTGAAACTAGAATCTCAAAGAGCAAGGCTGAAAGGGAAGCGGTGTCCACGAGGCATAGCCAGGTTCAGTAGAGGCCAGAGGCCATGGGAAGGCTTGGATGGAAGCAATGGGAAAAGACCTAGTACAAGGACATTCAAGACAAAGACATGAGGGATAGGGTTAGAGGGAGAATATGGCCAAAATACAGAGGTGATCATGTACAAACCCTGCAAAGGCTTCAGTGGCTTTCAGGGTAATTCCCTAACAGGTCTTACATGGTCTGGCCATCTCCCTCTCCAGTTTCATCCCAAGCTACTCTCAATCACACTCTGCTCCAGCCACATAGGGCTTCTTCTAGGCCCTCTTACCAACATACCAAAGGTCTCATGGCCTTTTCATGTTCTCCCTTCTACCTAGAATGCTCTTTGAACTCCCTTTACCTAGGTTAACTCCTGCTCATCTTCAGGACTGTACGTCAGGCAGCCTTCCCTGATTCCCAAATTATAACAGATCACATATGCTAAGCTCTCATAGCTTAGCATTTTAATGCAGCACTTACTAAACATACAATATTATATTTATCTGGCTAGGATTATTTGATGACTAGCTTCTTCACTATAGTATAAGCTCTTTAAGGGTAAAGATCATATCTGATTTTCCTTATCACTGTATACTCAATGACTGGGACAAAATCTGGCACCGTAGTAGTTTTTCAATAAATAAATTGTCATAGAATGACTGCTGATGAGTTGAAACCTAAAGGCTAGGAGGGATTGCCTTTTACTTGATTCCTGAGTACTGGCAGGGAAGGACAGAATTAGGTTCCAATATCCTCCAACTAGTCCCAAAGTCTGCTGGTGCCAGAGCTGGCTGAGAGTCTTGGCACAGTCTGATCTCTCTGGTAATGTTGAAGACTGCCTTGAGATCTGGGAAGGGGTCAAGAAAGCTTGAGTATGGGCAGGCCCTGGCCCAGTGTTCAGAGTTCCTAGTCCTCTTACAGGTTCTTGCATCCAAACCCTTACCTCCTGCAGGTTGGGGTACACCTGTCCCTCCCACATGTGCATGTTTTCCACATCTATTACAAATTTGCACACACCTTCTCCTCAGGAGTGCCTGCAAGATCCTTATCCCTCCCTGGTATACTCTCCTCACCTCTCACAGAAGGTATGCAAACAAGGCAGAACCTTGGGGCACCGGTACCGATCCAGGCAGATGCTGCACACCAGGAACTGCTTATCCATTGGCTGCACCTCTGGGCCAGGGCTGTCCTCTCTCTTTGCCATGGTGACCACAGATGGCTTCTGCCACTCACACCAGCCTGTGTATAGAGAGATAGTCAGCAGCAAGATGGCCAGACCTCCCTCTCCCTACCACTCAAACCCCCAACAGAGAAATGTTAACAAAAGAACACACACACACACACACACACACAAATAAAAAGATAAATGTGCCCCTTTCTTTCCTGCCAGGGGCAAAACAAGGCAGTGATTGGAAGGAGCAGGGTGAAGTGGGTAGGCTGAGTGACCCCTGAGCATGATGCTCTGTTTCACAGCTCAGACTTGATGTTACACTGGGTTTCAAACTTGGCTTATCCTCTCTTGCACCTGCTATGTAACTTTAGACCATTAATACAATCCCTCTGAGCCTCAGTTTTCTCATTTGTAACTATATAAATAATAATCCCTACCTCAAATGGTTGTCTTGACAATCTGAAATGATGCATGTTGCATGCACAGAACAGGGATGCTCATGTTCGCCAACATACCCACTCTTTATCTCCTCCGCCTCTCCCATCCTTCCTAAGAAGCTTCCAGGCAGAGTGTCTCTCCTATAACTACCTGCAGTGCTTCTCTCTGCACCCTGACCCACACAGCTGCCTTTTCCACACCAATCAGTATCAAGACTGGGACTGCTTCCTGAACATCTTATTCCCCTTCTTTCCAACCCCAAAAGCTGCAGCCCCCAAGTCAGGCCACTAGCAGTTCTCATCTGAAGACTGATGTGCAGTTAAGGCTTCCTAACTGATATCCTGCTCTCCTTACCTGAGCCTTCCCATCCATCCCCCTGCAGCCACAATGAGTTTATAAATTCCTTCACTGTTTCTCCATTGTCCAGAGGATAAAGGGATAAAGTCCAAACTCTTTAAGCTAGCCAACAAGGCTTAGCTTTGTCTTGACCATACCTTCCTCTCAACCTCACGTCTCATGATTCTATAATCAGTCACACTAGTTTCTTTTCAGTTCCTGGAAAACTTCATGTTCTCCACGTTCTGCTTCTAGGCAGTACCACATTCTGCTTCCCTCTGCCTGAGATCCTCCCATCCCTTTTGCCTGACTAATGCCTAGCTGATGTCTACTTATCTTTCACATAAGTATCATTTCCTTTAGAAGGCCTTCCCTAATTTCCTAAAGTCTGGGTTAGGTGCTCCACCTCTGCATCTCTCAATGCCCTACATTTCCTTCATCCTTACTCTCATCCACTGTACTATAATTTTCTTATTACTTCTCTGCTTCCCCCATTCCATGAGGGCAAGCATTGTATTTTATTTTTTCACTCTTGGCATTTAGCATGGAGCCTGATAAAAAATTGATCCATATTCACAAAATTCATCTAGCAACTAATTCAACAAATATTTATTTACTATGTGCCTACTCTGTACAGGCACTGGGAGATAGAGTGATAAAGCAGATATTGTCACTGTCCTTGTCATGAGGAGGTAATGGCAATATTTAAAAAGTACATGACAAAAAAATACAAAATTATATACTGGTATCAGGGGAGTACTATAAAGAAAAAAAAAGGATGCAATGAGAAAAAACACTCTTGGCTGGGTGATCAAGGAAGAACTCTGCAAAAAGTAGGGATCTGAGGATGAGTGAAAAGTGGCGAAGGTAGAAAACAACAGGAATTCCAAGAAGGAGATCATGCTAGGCTGACAGGGCTGGATGCTGGTGGCTCACGCCTGAAATCCTAGCTACTCAGAAGCAGAGATCAGGAAGATTGTGGTTCAAAGCCAGCAGAGGCAAACAGTTCACAAGACCCTATTGCAAAAAACATCCATCACAAAAAAGGGCTGGTGAAGTGGCTCAAGGTGTAGGGCCTTAGTTCAAACCCTAGTACCACAAAAAAATAAATAAACAAAGAAAGAAAAAAATCTGATGGACCATGTGGTTGGAACAAAGTCATTAAAAGCAACAGGTGAGTTTGGGAGATAGGAGGAGGTACAGTTATGAAGGACTGGTATGCATGTTAAGAATATGATTTTCTTTTGGCTTTTTCTTTTTTTGGCCATACTGGGGTTTGAACTCAGGGCCTCACACTTACTAGGCATGCGCTTTTACCACGTGAGCCACGCTGCCAGCCCAAGAATATGATTTTCAACAGGCATAGTGGAACATGCCTATAATCCCAGCACTTGGGAGACTGAGGCAGGATCACGAGTTAGAGGCCAGCCTGGGCTATATATTAAGACCCTGTCTCAAAAAAACAGAAAAAGGAACAAAAATTGAAAAAAACATACAAAACACTAAAGATACACACACACACACACACACAGAGCAAGGGACCAGGAACAGTGGCTTATATTTGTAATCCCAGATACTTAGGAAGCAGAGATAGGAGAATTGTGATTAAAACCAACCCTTGATAAAAAGTTAGTGAGACTCACATCTCAACCAGCTCAACCAGTAAATTAGGTATGGTAGAACCTGCCTATAATCTCAACTATGTGGGAAGATCTTGGTCTAAGGCTGGCCCAGGGTAAAAACATAAGAATCTGTCTAAAAGATAACTAAAGCAAAAATTGTTGGAGGCCTGGCTCAACTGGTAGAGCACCTACCTAGGAAGTTCCTGGCAATGAGTTCAAACCCGGGACTGAAAAAAAATATGATGTTATCCTGATATCGGGGAGGGAATGCTATTGTGGTAACTATGAGAACTGAGAACTGAAGAAGAAAAGCAAGAGTGGAATCAGAGAGACAAGTGAGGAAACCACCACAGTTCTTCAGATGATGCTGAAGAGAATTACAGTGCCATAGGCAGAAAGATGGACTGATCTGAGAACTATTTATGGGGTTGAATCAGAAGTCCATCATTCAGGACTGGATGTCAGAGGGAAAAAGGAACGTGATAATGATTTCCAGGTTTCTCAGTTGAGCAAATGGAGGGCCATGAACAGACAGCAGAAGCTAAGGAGGACCTGTTTTGGGGCATTCTGTTCCAGGCATGTTAAGTTTGAGGTATCTATGTGATGTCCAGGTACAGATGGTAAGTAAGAATAGAATATAGGAGCTCAAGAGAGAAGTCTAGTCTGGTTTTTGATTTGGAATCATTGGCATATTAATGGCATTTAAAGCAATGAGAATGGATGTCTTGGACAGAGAGTGGAGAGTTGTAAGAAAAAGGCCAGCACAAAGGAGTAGAGGAAGCAAAGGCAACTGAGGAGAACCAAGAGAATATAGAACCAAAGAAATTGAGAGAGAAAAAGACAGACAGAGAGAGAGAGAGAGAGGAGAGAGAGAGAGAGACAGAGACAGAGACAGAGAGACAGAGGGAGAGACAGAGACAGAGACAGAGACTGAGACTCTTAAGAAAAAGAGGAATGAACTGAGATAAGAACTGAAAAGTGTTCACCAGATTTGGTTGTCATGGAGGAGATGGGGCAGCAGCCACGTCAGAATTACTGAGGAGTAAATGAGTGACAAAGTTAAGAAGGCAGATGCAGACAATTCATGACAGAAATTTGGTCATGAAGGAAGGCAGAAAATTAGCTGGACTACTTACTTCAAAGCAGGCAATGACTAGGACCAGGTCACACTGCTGTGTCTAGTCAGATGCATCCTGGGGATGAATGAATGAATGAATGCAAAGGGCCAGTCCAGAGTCCTCCTCAGGATTGGGGACAGACAGGAAAAGGACTGAGCTGCATTTGCCTTATACGTGTATGTGTGAGGGCAGGCATGGATAGGGAGAAAAGCACATGCCTGGAACATCCTTTCCTGATGTGGAATCCTGAGGTTTCTCTCCAGATATGATCAGTTATGAATCTGGAGACTTAAAACCAGGACAACAAAGCTGGAGAGAAGGCTGATTGAGGAGGCTAGCAGACCGACACTGAGGCCAGCTGGAGGCAAACTGAAGCTTCTATCTACAGAAGGGGAAGGCTTAGAGGAAGAGTAGGAGTGGTCTGCTGGGGCAGCTGGATGTCAGGCTCCACCTCTTTCCAAGCCCCAGGGACTCTCCCAGCCTGACACACTGGGGCGGGGACTGGGCTGCATCCAATAGTCCTCCCTCATTCCCCTTCCTGCTTCAGTTCCCCACCCAGATTCACTGGGCATACAGCTGCTGAGGCCATACTAGCCTGAATCTAAGGCTCCTCTCCTTGGGCTCCTCATCCCACCTCTGCTATCCCACTGTTCTCTAGAGAGCTGCCCCCTACAGGTAGAGGTTGTAGTACCTGTTTCTCTCTGCTGACTCTTGGAGGGTCTAAGACTTAGAGTTCCGTTCCACCCTCCTTCCTCAGGCTGCCTTCTGCCACCTCTGCATCCCTTATTCCACCCATCCATTATGGCTCAGTTCTAAAGGCATCATTCAGAATTCACTCAACATCTCTGCTGGGGATACAAAGATAAATGGTCACAGCTCAGCCTTCATGGATTCCACAATCTAATAAAAAGATTAAAGCAATGCAATGTGGTGAGGACCATGATGAGAAAGCACAATTATTCCAGGAGCACGAAGAAAGTTCCCTCACTTATAGGGATAAAGGAGAATGATGGGGGGCGTGAATTCAACTATGATATAGCGTAAGAACTTTTGTAAATGGCACAATGTATGATAATAGTATGATAATAAAAAAAGAGAAAGTTCCCTCACTTAGATCAGGAGCAGGGATAGGGCCAGAGATTGGAGGTCAAGGGATTTAGAAAAGAAAAGAAGTGACATTCCAGTGGAGAGCTACAGCATGAGGGAGTTACACAAAGTATGTGCTTTCTGCCACAGGAGGCTACATCATACACTGTGATAGGAGAGGGCTAACAAATGAGATGCAGAGGTAAGCAGGAGCTATACCATGCAATGTTTTGTTGCCCTTATTATGGAATTTAGACTTTATTCTTTCCTGGTAGGGGATTAAGGGCTTTATCCAAAGAGCAAAGGAAAAGTTTGGTAGTGGTTGGGGAAGAGGGAGATTGAGCATAGAGTAACAACGGTACTTTTTTGAATACTATTTGGAAAATAGCTTAAAGGGGTCAAGACTGAAAGGTTAGGAGACTACCTTGATTGGAAGTAGCAAAAGGAGGATGAAATGGAGAAATCAACAGAACTTGGCAATTTTGGTTGGTTTTATCCAGAGAGTCAAAGGATAAGAAGGAATTATGGATGGTTCTTGGTTTTCTAGCCTGAAAACTGGAAAGAAAAGCAGTTTGGATGAGGTGATTAAATTCCATGTTTAATATGGTGAATCCTGTCAGGTGCTAGTGGCTCACACCTATAATCACAGCTACTTGGGAGGCTGAGATTGGTAGGATCACAGTTCAAGGCCAGCCAGGGCAAATAATTTGAAAGACCCCACTTCCAAGATAACTAGAGTAAAATGGACTGGCGCTCAAGTGCTAGCACATCTGCTTTGCAAGTTTGAAGCCCTGAGTTTAAACCCTACTCAAAAAAAAAAAAAATGATGAATCTAAGATCACTATGGGACAGTGTTCAAGTAGAGAGGCAGTTAGGAAGGCAGCTTGAAGCTTAAGAAAGAGGTTTGGTCTGGAGATATGGAGTTAGCTATCTTGGTGTAGAGATGTTCCTGAAGCCATAGAAGTAGATGAAAGGATAAGGTGAAAATGGAGGGCCTGGGCACAGAGGAATGCCAACATTTAAGACATAGGCCCTTGGGCTGGTGAAGTGGCTTAAGTGGTAGAGTATCTCCATAGCAAACGTGAGGCCCTGAGTTCAAACCCCAGTTCCACAAAAAAAAAAAAAAAAAAAGGACATAGGCCCAGATGCTGGGTGTGGTGCTTCACACCTGTAATCCCAGCACTAAGGAGTCTGGGGCAGGAGGACCAAGAGTTTGAGGCCAACCTAGGATACGTAGGGGGTCCCAGACTCAAAACAAAACAAAAACAAAATAAATGTAGGCCCAGGAGGCAAAGTGTACAGAGAAGATTGAGACCGGATTAGCCAGTGTAATAGAAGCAGCAGGAAAGACCGTATCTGAAGGCAAAGGGAGAATAAAGATCCATAAATATGGGAGTGATCTTCACTATGAAATGCTACAGGAAGTCCCAATTTAAAACCCTAAAGAATTGTCATTAACCTCAAGGAGTGTTCTTTCTGAGAGCTGGAGAAGAGGAAGCCAGATCTAGGGAGCTAAGGAATAAGTTGATTTTCGAACAAATGAAGATAGCTAATGCTGACCCAACTAAATCCTTGACATCTGCAAGACTATGTTTCAAGGCTTCTCAGTTTCTCCAAATTCTCACACGGCATCCAATTCCCCCGCAACTTCCTCCTACAATCTCACAAGATTCCCAGTATACATGATTTACACAGCAGTAACCAAGGTATTGTTGAAAAGTGTATGTGAGAGGTCAGCTAGGCTCACTTACTAAAATGACTCACTCCTACTCACTGGCCTCCAGGTGTATTTGATCGTTTGAGGCTTCAGAAAAATAACAAATTTCTAAAACAAACAAACAAACAAACAAAAACACTGGACAAGTCCCCAAATCCAAGGAACCCATTTAATAAGACTGGCAAGGAAGGAAAGTGATGAACTTTCTCCCCCACTATGCCTGGCTGAATAGGTGAATAGCCCATTCAATCAAACTTCCCCAGACATAATCTGGGTCAGGCCCTCATCTAGAGACACAAAGATGAACCAGATGTGCTCCTATCTTTCACAAATTTTTAGACGAATCTATATGACATATACATTCATAATTACAATGTGTTAAGTATCATGATACTGACACGCTCAACCTGCTATGACAGGAAGTATCTAACTTGGTGGGGAATAAAGGCTTCCAAAGGAAGGGATGTTTGAATTGAGTCTTGAGGGACAAACAGGGGATTGATATGTACACTGGGAAAACAGGGAGTAAAGGAAAAGAAACACGAAAACTTTACAAATACAGACTAGTTGGACAAGAGAGCAAAAAGGGCAGGAACTGTACTGAATGCTTTCACAGTCCATTCAATGTGGGTTCTCCATCTGCTTCTGTGGTTACTCCTCTACTGCTCATTCTTTGAATGTTCAGTTCCACAGGATTTTGTTGTAGGGTCTTGTTCCCTCTCAGTTTTGCCTGAACAATCTCATTATTTCCTATGGTTTCAGTTAGTATCCAATTGCTAATAACTCCCAAAGCCTTATCTCCTGTGCTTAAAGACTTTCTCAAACCCTAGACCTGTATATTCAACTGATCTAGGACATCTGTACTTGGATGATGCATGGGATTATTTCAAACTGAATTCATTTCCCCTGACCTGCTCTTCCTCCTGTATTTATTATCTCAATAAAAGATACCACCATTCACCCAGCCCCATCAGACAGAACCCTGGTAAACTTCTCAATTCTGACTTTTCTTTCATCTTTCAGATACAAGCTATATACTATATCCTGATGTTACTTCTAAAATGTTTCTAGGTTTACAAACTCAAGAGATTTAGGATCTGTCCCTGTCATTAACTCCATTAACACAAGATGAGACTGTGGACAACTTGTTATCCCATACCCTTACTTGTAAATTGGAAGGAATGCTATTTTCTTGTTCTCAAAATCTGAGATGCCAGAGGTTCCTTTCAAACTAAGGGCCCATGAAGATTGCAGTATGTGGTCATGATTGAATCACATCTTGTACTTTCTTGATTTGGTTGCTGATTTCCACCATAAGGTTAGGTATGTTAGAGGGTGGTCACGGTTGTTGTCCCCCCCCACCCCCAACACACACTTCCAAAATGTTTGCTGATTTTAAGTCACACATGACCCTCCCTCTCGGTACTAGCTATATAGTTTTTCTGAACACAGGCTCTCCGATCCCAGCTTTGGTCCCTTTGCTCCAGCTCTTGTCTCAGCAACAATGTCATAGTCCCATATGTGGACGAGGTGGTACCTGGCACACAAAACTCAGCATGTTGGTGAAAGGAAAGTCATATTTAAATCTCTGCAGTTCCCTCTCATCAGAGAAACAAAATCAAAGGCAATATCAAGACAAATGAATAAAGTTCCAAGGAGAGAGACCTCCACTTAGCATAAAGAAGCTTTCCCACAGCAGAAGGCAGTAAGTGCTCTGTCACTGAAGGCATGCAAGCCAAGAGAGGCAGGGCACCTGTCAGGCCTGCAGTTCTGATTCCAATTCTGCAGCAAACCAGAACCTGCTTAGAAGATGAATGGGCACTGATGAGCTGGACAGAATGGCAGGGAGAAACCTGTGAAGACAACCTTTGCACTCATTCTGACATCCAGATCTATCTTCCTACTGAAGCTAGCCCTGGGTTTTTGTGGTCCACATCAGACCCCTTTCCCACCGCCCCCCACAACACACAAACCCCACACCATGCCCAGGACCTGCCTTTAGTAGGACTGACCTCCCTAGGGTGCAGCCTGCCCCCTCCAACCTGCAACCATCTGTCCCTGCAGGTTTGCAGCCCAGTATCTGAAGCCAAGTCCAGGAGGGAGGAGGTCAGAACCAGGGAGGGGCCTAGGGTCCTCCAGGCGGGGCCCAGACTGCAGGAGAACTAGAAGGGTCCTTTCCTACAAGAAACAGCATCTGCATGAAGCTTTCCCCCATCAAGCAGTGCTGGGGGAAGGAAAGGGTGTCCTCCGTACTGGCGGGTGGGCCCTGGGTGCCTAAGGAGGATGAGAAGGGTGCAAGGGGTGGAGGTGTCTGCACCAGGGAGAAAGGAACCCTTCGGGCAAGCTGGGCCACAAGATTCCAGAGTCCCACTCAGCAACCCCATCCACCCCACACACCCCTCCGCCAACAAACACAGCTCCCAAACCCCGCGCTCCTAAAAAGAACCATCACCCATCCACCCGCGTCTCCCCCACCCCCCGCAAACACGGACCTCACGTGAGCAGCCACAGCCCCAAGAATCCCCCTGCTGCTCTCACGGACGTGGACCCGCCTCACGTGGACAGAGACAGGAACAGCTTTTGAAAAGCATCCGCGCCCCCACCCACAGTAGCTCGGACAGACACACGGCCACCCCGACCCGGACTCGGGCACACAGGAATACCAAACACACCCTTGGGGACCGCCTGTCGCACTCACGGCGTTGAAACAGGATGGAAGGGCAAGGCCTGGACTGCAGCCACTCGGAGGGGCCCGCGGCGCTGCCCTCGCTGCCAGCGCCCGTTCGCCTGGCCCTGCCAGCGGCGCTGCCCCACGTCCAGCGCCTCTGCCTGTCCCCGCGCGGGCGCCGCCGCCGGACCAGCCGCACAGGCCGGAGGGAGGGGCCGGGGCGGGGCTGCGGATCCGCCGGGGGAGGGGGAGACTCCAGTGCTGAAGACCCACCCACGCCCCGCCCGCCGCCGCGGAGACCCCGCCCACCAGCCCCGCCTTCATCTGCTCCACCTCCCCCAACGCCCCTGCGGCTCCCGCGGGCGCTGCCTCTGCTGTGCAGCTGGGGAGCCCGAGAACCCGCGAGCCGGATCCCGGATCTCCGATCCCGGATCTCCGCCAGCTGCCTCCTGCTCCCGAGGCCTCCGGGGAAAGGCGGTGTTGATCGGGCTCAGGTACTGGCATGAGGTACCTTTAAGAAACGGTAGCTGGGGCAGTAGGGATTTCGGACTGTGGGAGCTGGCCCCCATTGCCTCCTGGTAGCACCCTCTCTGGCTTTCTTGGGAGGCCCCTATAGAACATGCTAGTTTGGTTTCCACTGAACCTAAGGAAGCAGGGATCATCTGTACCTCAGCACGATCTCTAGTCAGAACTAAGGCTATCTTCAGAACCCTGGGAGAAGGGAATTAAGAGTAGGTGGGGGACTTGCTTCTGTTCTAGGCGAGCCCCCTCGTGAGGAAATTGTGGTGCAGATCATCTAGCGACTCCCTCACACCAAAGATCCAGGGTAATTCTCAGAATCATTGCATTATGGAAATGCAGCCCTGGTAGAAAATAATAAAAATAAGTTAACAGGGCTGTTTATTATGTGTCGGACACAAAACTAATCACTATACATACATTATTCATTTAATACTCATAACCATAATAGGTAGATTCTTTTATTAGCTGTGTTTTACATAGGAAGAAACAAGGTTCTAGTCCCGCAGGTGTTAACACTGATCACTCAGAAAGTAGTGGAACCAGGTTTGGGCCCTGCCTCCAGTCATTTGGAGTGTCCTTATTTTGAAAAATCTTCAGTGGTCCATAAAGTGGGGGCTTATATGAGCACAGCACCCCCTCCCACAAATAACCAAGTTCTGGTCAGATGACAACAGGCTATCCAAAGCTCAGAAAGCCTGCCTGGGAATTACAGTATCATTGACAAAGAGTAGTCAGGCTGTGCGGATCCCAGTGTTATTGGGAATCAGCTGAATGGAGTGTCTCCTTCCTGTAGCCTTCCAGAGGTGGGAGGGGAAAATGTTGAAAAATCTGGAGCTGCCTTTGGCCAAGGGGCAATAGAGGTGATGACATCTCTGCTGCTGGGGAGTTTCCTTGTGACTTCTCACATAGGACTGGATTTTGGCTCAACAGCTGGATGCAGCAGAAGCCATGGGAACTGCCTCAATTTCACTCAAGTTCCAGCAACCAGCACAGGGTACTCCAGTGCTTGCAATGGAGATTCACAGACGGTTCATGCTTGGAGTTTAAGGCAAGGGCCACTAACTACCCAAGATGAAGGAATAATTTAAACTCCTGACAATTTTCTCAACCTGTGTTCTCCCATGCTGTCAAGCCTCTGATTAAAAAGTTTCACAGCTTGCTTTCTCCAAAGGCCAAAGTCCTTACCTAGCTTGAAATCTTTCTCTTGCCATGACCCCTTCATTCCCAACTGAACTACTCAGTCTTCTTCCTGGCCTTTCTGCTATCATCTATTCACTTTTTAGGTCTCAGCTTTCAAGCTGACATCACCATTTCTACCTCTGTCTAGGCCAGATGCTAGTTTGTTTGTATTCCCATAGCACCCTGTACTTTTGTACAATCACTGTATTGTAGTTGCCTGGTTACTTGTCTCTATCCCCCACTAGGCCTTTAAGCACTGTGGGCAGGGACCATGTGTTTTATTCACTTATGTTTCCCCAGGGTCTAACACACTGCCTGGCAAACAAAAGCACTCAGTAAATATTTGGTGTATGATTGAATGCATCGTGAAGGTTGACAACCCAACCCCCTCTGGACCCTATGCTCTTAAGATCTATAGCTATCTTGGTGCTGACCTGGAGGGCAAATAAAGTTTTGGCTCCAACTGTGATTGAATGAGGAAATCAGGCCTTCAGACTATTTCTGAAACCTGTCATTTCAGCTATCTATCCCAGTTCTTTTGACTTCAAAGGATTTGAATGCATGATTGGACTGAGCATTGCTCTACCCAGCCCACCCTCCTACATTCCCCCACAAACTGACCTCACTGGGCCTGCTTTTATGAAAGGTTTATTCCCAGTGCTAGATCCCAGTCTTCCTGGGCTCTAAGCACAATTAAACTGGGTGTGTGGGTGGGCAAGCGAAAACCCATTTAGATGCAGGGTCAGAAATGGGCTCCCCAGTATCCCCACCCCTTTGGTCCCAGTCCCCTTCTCTCCAATGGGCACAGAGGAAGAAAGGGTATTGGACGCAACATCATTGGCCAGGGGAGCCCAAGAAGAGCTGCCATTGGCTGACAAGGCCTTTTGAGACCCTGTCATTGGTCAGGGGACACACCCCAGGAACTGGGGCTAGGCCAGAGGAGTGATGCCATTGGCCAGGGAGTGGTTTTTTCATAGCCTTTGGCTGTGGAGTGGAAGGAAAAGACCTGGGAGTAAAGCCCAGTGGCCAGGAAGATAAAGGACAGGGCAGCAACTTCTGGGCCTACAAGCCCTCTTCACACCACGGCAGGATGGGCAAAACTGGTGTTAGACTCCAACAGGGAAAGGAAGCCCAAACCAGAAGGTAAATGGCAAGGGATGTCCCATGTCCAATCCACCCTGGGGCTGCCCTCCCCAGTGTCCTTCTTGATAGCCAAGTTGGGCTGGGAGCAGCTCACTGCTCCTCTAGCCAGGAAGGCTTTTCAGCTCCTGGAGGCCGCAGCTTGATGTTGAACTGCTGCAGGGTCTGCTCCAGTTGTTTCTGGTTCCCAGCAAAATAGGCGGACACAGCATTGTGGAAGAGCAGCAGCTGCTTGTGCATCACCTTGATCTGAGGGTCCAGCAGGGTAAGCTAAGGCTAGATTCAGGCACCTTTCTTGAGGGGCTATGAGCATAGCCCAGGGGCACATGGGCTCTGCTCTAATAGTGCTTTTGGGATTGGGACTGTACTCTACCCCAGGGAGTCAAGACAGAAGGATCAATATGATAGAAGAAAGAAACCTGACATGATTTGCTGAGCCTAGGGCTCTGCTACATCAGCTCAGATGGTAATTTTTCCCAGTTGTGCCTCTCAAACCAGCAACCAAATCCTCCAAGACAAAAGGGCCAGTGATTGGAAAGAGGGTGATTGGTAAAAACTCAGAGGTTAAGGGACGGGGGGCATCCTACTCTCCGGCCAAGCTGTGTCTCCCCATCCAATGGGGAGGGTCTAAGGAGAAGGTTATTGTAAGATGGGAAGATGGTCTAGGATCAAGGGGGTGGGGTGGGCACCTTGTTTTCTTCCAGGAACTTGAGCTTGATGGCCACATCTCCCCGCAGCTTCTCATACTTGTCCCGATGGGCTTGGAACGTAGCCTGGGCGCTCTCAAGTCGACCTCGCGTCCCTGCATCCCGGGGACCTAGACTCAGCTCCTCTAAGTCTGTTCGGTAGGCATCATATTCCAGCCTGGGGAGGGGGGTGATAAAGGCTGGTCTCCACCCCTTTGTTCTCACACATTCTCTCCTTTCCTTCCTGAATTATTGTGACCCAAGTGCCCAAACTTCCACCCATGCCAGCCAACTTCCCAAACCTTAGATGCCAGTGCCCACACCTGGCAGCCTCATACTGTTTGACAGTCATGAGTGTGTCTTCCATGGTCTTGGTAACCAGTGTGTTGATACTAGAGACAAAGAAGTTCACAGCCCCTAGAAGCGTCTCCCCATTCTTGCATAGCAATTTCTGGGTCTCTGCATTGTAGCCAAATTCTTCCTGAGAGCAGAAGGGAGGTACAGGCCTTGAGTAACAGTTGCTACCTCATTAGAGCTGTAGAACCCTTCATTTCCCCCCTTCCCAAAGAGGAAACAGCCATCAAAACTAAAACAACCAAGGACTTCCTCTAGCAAGGGTCTTTTAGCCAGAAAGTTAGTAGAACAATCCTGGGGGTGCCTGGGGTAGGAATGGGGAGGAAGGGGTTTCTCAGATAAGTTTATAAGACAGGAACAAGGAGAGCTAGTACAACAGGCAGGGGAAGGGCTCTGATTAGAGCGAGCACCGAAGGCATTTTTGCCATGTAGAGAAGGGTTACTTGTGAGGCACCTAGTGTGCCCCCTCCCCCACCCCACCCCTCCAACTTCTGGACCTCTGTACAAACCCTTAGGCTGCCTCCACAGGTGAGTGCTGCTGGGGGCAGGGCTGGGCCCACCCTGGAGGGGTTCTCCCTGGGGGCTGCAGGAGGGAGGGAGGGAGGCTGAGGAGTGACTGCCTGGAAGGGCCGGGGCCCAGTCCCCCCACCCTCTTTGTTCTGGCTGAGGCACCTGAAGCTCTGGGGACTTCTGGCTGAGGTCAGCAAAGGCATCACCTAGTGCATGCTGGGTCTGCAGCAGGCTGTAGAGGTGGGCTGTCAATGCCCGGCCCAGCTGCAGGACACTTTCATACTTGCGCTTCGTCTCACGCAGCAACTCAATCTGCAGTTCTAGCTCCAGGTCCACAGTCCGGGAGCCTCGGCCAAATCGCTCTGATAACAGCTGTTTTGTGCACTGATTGGGAAGTGGGGGAAAAGGTCAGAGACCCTAGATACTGCCCTTACCCCCAAAAGATACCTCTCCAACACTCCCAGTCTCCTCATCTTGGTCATAGATAGGCTATTAGGTCTGGGGAAAAGAAAAAAAAGTACCCACAGAGAATTCAGAGAAGGGAGAGGTACTTGAATCCCACCTTGTATGTGTTGATGCCCCATTTCTTGACGATGTCAAACTTCTCTCCAGCGATGCCCCGAGCCACCTCATCTCCAGGGCCAGCAGGAGTGGTACTGTGAGATGGATGACGACCAGACCCTAAAAGACCAAGTTCTCTGACATCAGTCTCTCTCAGATACCACCAGAGACCTCTGTGGCCCTACTCATACTTCCCTCCCTGCATAAGAAAATGACTTCCCTGAAAGACAATTGGATTCCCTTGCTTACTGGGGAACTAGGACCTGTGCCCTGAGAACCAAATCCTAACCTAAAATATATCTGGTGTCCCTGAGGGAGGAACTGCTGATATACAGGACCAGAGGAAACAGAAGAAAACATGCTGAGTTTAGGATGGTTGAGTTACAGATGGTGGATCCTGATAACAGGAAACCTGGCTGACATTTGCATGTAGAATCCTAGCCAGTGGGCTGTTTGTTCCTCTAAACTTTAGAATCTAAAGTAAAACTCCAAGAAGCCTCACAAAGTTCCAAATGAGCCTCAAGCTTCAGATCAAGGGAACACTTGTGAAACAGAGGTCTCATCTTGGCTCAGGTGGTGGCAGCAAAGGATAAATGAACCATCTCAGGGACTAAATGGGAAGTGGGAAAGACAGACAACCCTGGGAGTTGGCCTGACTTTGAAGACAGTCCCTGGGGTTCATACACACAGAAGTTCTCAAGATCTCCAGACACAATTCAGACTTTCTAGGCATGTCCTGTGTGCCTCCAAACCATGCCAGTCCCCCTCCCCATTCAAGCTTCCTGTCTCTGATCATTCATACCTGTGGGGATGAGTCCATCACCAGAGCCCCCATAGCCACCAGACACAATGCTGGTTTCATTGAGGTTGGGTCCCGATACCATCACCTGTTGAAGATCCTATAGGCCAGAGAAGAGGGGGCGCTTCAGGAACATAGGGGCAGCTGAAACATTTTGGGGGTGGGAACAAGCTTAGATTGAAGTATCAGAGAGAGTACACATGGAAATCTGCATAGAATCAGAATGAAGATTTGTAAACAGAATGAGGGGGGTTAGATAAGTTAGGGGAATGCTGCTGGAATGTGAGTGAGAAACCAGGCTTTATAAACCAAGACTGCTAAACTGAAACACTTAAGAATCAAACAGAAGCACCTGCTCCAGCCCATCATCTTCCGGAAGCTGCCCAGCTTCGCCATTCCCGTGGATGGGGATCTCCATTGTGGCTGCCTTCCCTAGGATCCCGTCCGTCATGGCTAGAGAAGGAACTGGAACCAAGGTCTCCACCCCAGCACGCTGCAAAGCCCAACACAAATAATTCTGGAAACTGGCCAGCACTCCAGAACAGAGAGGCCTCCCCTGCCATTTCTGAGGTTTCAGAGGTTGTCCCAGGACTTAAAAGTCCCTGGGGTTCAGTCACAACTTCTTTCCTTGGATATGTGTACTTCTCCCTCCAAAGTGCATATTTCTACACATGCACCCCCAAGCCTCAGGTGTTTTCTCATAACCCCCAACCTCACCTTTAGTAATCATTCATGCATTCAATCACTCAAAAGCAGGGTGTGCCTATTACGTGTCAGGCATTGAGGCAATGGGAATAAAGAAGTGAACAAGAGAGCAGAAGTCTGTGCTCTCTTGGAACTTATTCTCACACAGGTGTGTTTGCTCCCACCAGGAGACTAACCCCTTTCCGAAGCTCAGGGGCTCATTTGCCATTCAGGTACTTTCTCCAGTGCTCGGCCTTTCACATCCCTTAGTGTTCCTTCCCCCTTCCTTCAGGTGACTTCCCCCTCCTCCATTTCATGCATCTCCTATTTCTCGGGCTCTCCCCACCAGGCCATAAGTTGAATGAATTGGTGTATGTTCCCGGTGTCTGGTAAAAAGGCTCTCTTTCCCAGGACATGGGCGTTCACTTCCAAAGTCAGTTATGTCTCCCAGGTGTGTAATTCCTTCCCCACCCCCATACACCTGGGCATCAGGTATGTCCTCATCCTTGCCTAGGGCTCAGGTCATCCTTAAGACAAGTTCGTGCGTCAACTTCCCTTCGCCCAAGTATGTCACTCTTACCTGGGCCGGGCCGCTCTTCCCCTCAGGGCGCCAGGCCCGGGCCGCGCGGGGACCTCAGGTTCCAGTTCCCGTCGCGATCCTAGCAGCAGGTCAGGGACTCGGCGGAAGTGACGTCCTCTCTGGGCAGAAGAAGCCCGCCACGTCGCAGATTATAAGGGCGGAGGTGACGTTGTCAGATGTGGGCGGGGAGATCTTGGAGCCAAGCCCTCAATCCTTTGGGAGTGGCGAGAGATTATTTCCGGGGCGGTACGTAGGCTGTGCAGGAAGTGACGTAGTCGTGCGCTCTTAGCATGATGGAGCAGCAGCAACAGCAACTGAGAAACGTGAGTGAGAGCTAAATTGCTTCAGGGCCAGACGTTCCGCTGTCTTCCAAGTACACATCGCAAGAGCCCGAGAAGCAAATCTGGGAGCAACGGGCTGTGGTGCGCGGTCCTGGGAAACCCCGGCGGCGGGGCCTTGAGTTGAGGTGTTGGGGTTCTTAGAGCTGAGTTTTTGGTCTCCTTTTCTCCCAGTTGCGAGACTTCCTGTTGGTCTACAACCGGATGACAGAACTCTGTTTCCAGCGCTGTGTGCCCAGCCTGCACCACCGAGCTCTGGACGCTGAGGAGGTGGGGAGATATGGGGGTGGGGGGTGCCCTCGATCCTCCGTGGAGTTTTTTCCCGTCTTCCCCCAAGTCCCCTTCCTCTGACCTGGCTTTTCCATGACCTCACCCCTAGGCTGGGGATGGGGAAGGAAGGACTCGGGCTTGACAGGACACCTTTGGCTTCTACTTCCATCTTCCTTCCAGGAGGCTTGTCTGCATAGCTGTGCTGGGAAGCTGATCCATTCCAACCACCGCCTCATGGCCGCTTACGTGCAGCTCATGCCTGCTCTGGTGCAGCGCCGCATCGCAGACTACGGGGCTGCCTCAGCTGTGCCGGGTGTTGCTGCGGAACAGCCCAAAGTCTCGCCATGAGGCAGCTAGCCATCCCCACCCTCAAGAGGGAAGGTGCAAGATGGACCCTCAGATTGAAGGACCCAGTGGACTTTGGGCTTGATGAACCTTGTACAGAGACTGAGGGGTCTCTTGAAAGCTGGGTACTGTTGCTCCTTTTCCTGGAGCCAATAAACCCACATTTTACTCTGTGGTTTACATTCTGAGCAGGGAACTTTTGTCCACTTTATTGGTGCCATTCTTTGTTCTGTCATTTAGTGCATCTCTGCTGGCTCCAGCCCTGCAGCTGCCTTCTATATGTAGAAGAAAAATTTCAGAATTCCCAAACATCTGGTTAAAGCTGGTTTGTCGGTACAATTTTAAAGTTGGTAATAGCAGCGGGAAATTGGTTCCTGCTCAGATGATGGAGAAAAAAAGAGCTGTGTCAGGATGGCCTTGAGTCTGTCTAACTTAAATGCCTAGAATGCATTGGCTCATAACTTTTTTTTTCCTGGACTATGTTTTACAAAAAATAATTGTTCTGAATCTAGGGAAAGAAAATAATATTTAGAACAACAAAGTAAAAAAGAAAAAGGTTTTAGGCACCACTTCCTAGAACATCATTAACTGCAGAACAGATAGGAAACTTGTAAGAATTCAGGAATGTTCTATAATTTCAACCATTTTCCCAGGTTGTTACTATCCATGTGTTTCCTAGGATTACCAGTAAAACCTTTAAGCAAAGAAGGGTTTGTGTTCTTGTCTTCAAGGACAACATAGAGGAGGAAATTATGATGTAGTCAAACTTCAGGAAGAGAAACCCAAGGGAGAAGTGGATAGTTATGGAAAAAAAGGATACAGAGAAATATGTATCTCTGTATCCTCTTTAATGTTTCACTGCTTGTCTAAAATCCCTTATTCCATCTTTCCATCTTATTGTATCTGTTCTGTGACTTCTGATTCCAACTTCTCTGTTCTTTTCTCATTATTGACCTTCCTTTGTAGGGGTTACTTCTGTGTTCAGCATTCTGAATGACGTGTCACTCCACTTTTTCTTACCATCCTTGGCATCCTTTCTGTATCATTCTGTTTTCCTCTTCCTTCACTCAAACTATTTAAAAAGTTATATAATGAATGCTCCCAAATATTTACCATCTCCAACTTCAATCAAGCTCCCACTACCTATGCATACCCTTTATGAGTTCCTGATCCATTCCCTCTCCAAGTGGCTATAACAGTTAATTTACTGCTCTGAATCCCATACTACTTTGAACTACCCCTGTCAGGTTGCTACTTTTTAGAGGAATTACAGCTCCTAGACATTGGCTCCAATAATAATAAAACAACTCCTTTCAATCATCTACAAAACAAATGTTTTCTCCCATAGACAGAAAGTTGAAATCCTCAGCAGATCCTGTATTAAAATGCATATCTGGGAGGAAGGTATGGTGCTTCACACCTATAGTCCCAGCACTTGGGAGTCTGAGGCAGAGGATCATGAGTTCAAGGCCATCCTGGGCTACACTGCAAGTGCCAGACCAGCCTGAGCTACATATAGAGATCCTGTCTCTAAATAAGAAAAAGAAAAATGAAGATTTGGCTTGAAGGTCCATATTCTTTTTACTACAGCAGACTGCATCTCAAAATCCTATTTATTGAGCACCCACACCCACTTTGTATAGGTTCTGAAGTTAATAGGTGTCATGTTTTATCTTAATTTTTGCCACAAAACTATGAGGTGTTATCTCCATTTAACACACAAGGAAGCAAGAATCCAGAATATACCCAAAGTCCATCCTGTATGCAGTTACTTACTGAGAAAGGGATTTTGTCTTCTTTAGCTGCTATCTCTTGAATAATTTGTTAGAAAGGTAAAAATTGCTGACCTGGAACGTCCCTACAGAGTAGCATCATGTGTATTCAATGAAATTCTCTCCTTGGGAAATATAAATGCAAGTAAAACAACTTGTGAACATCTCAACTGCCAGAGATAGGAGAATGGAGACCCAGGATATTGTGTTGCTGCTGGGAGAATTCTTCCACATCAACATTTGTATATATTCTTGTAATAAATATGCATTGTGAATTATCTGTTTCCTCAGTTTCTGTGTCATATAATTAGTACTGCTGAAGAAAAACTAGGAACATAGATCTGACTCTAAAGACTGTGTGTTTAGAATTTGCAGAGCTTGTTTCTTGAGACAGGTTCTCACTATGTAGCCCAGATTGGCCACAAACTTGAGTCTCCTGCCCAACCTCCCAGCTTCTGGAATTACAGGCATATACCATCATGCTCTTCCTACCACAATTTTTATGTCCAGTCTCTTCTGTACCTAATCTGCTTCTAGACATGAAAAAACAAGTGTGCCTCAACCCGACCACTAACCCTTTCCTTAAATTTTCAATCTCTTCTGTCCCAGTTTTTTTTCCTCTCTACAAGTATGTACAATGTTTAGCAAAACCTATTCCTACCACTCAACCTTGTATAGCTGCTGGCCTGTCTTCCTTAGGTCTTGCCATACAGTGATAGTCATTGGCATAGTGAGCAATTATGTAATGTTTCAAGCACAACACAGGAATAAACTGTTTATTTTTGCAGTGCTGGAGATCAAAGCACTCTGCCCCTGAACTATGTACCCAGCCCAGGAATAAAGTTTGACATAGCTTTGTCACATTACAAGCATATTTGAGGCAGAAGTGTTCCTGTTGTTGGTTTCAGAACTTCACTGCCTACCTCTTGGCAAAATCTCATTCCTTTATGGTTGTTCATCCTTGCAACCCTCTTTCATTACTTGTTTTAACACTCTCATTAACTACTACTGTCCTGTTACTTTCTTCTAAATAGCTAGCCCTTGGTTTTTCTTTGCACCCCTTAATACTTTAATGTTTACATAGACAATCCATTCAGTATTTAGGTCTCAATTCCTCAACTCAATCTCCAGTGATTTCTACTCTGTCATAACCACCCATTCTTTTAATTGTGTCTTGCCCATTGTCATTATTTCAAACTGCTCCATTTTCAAAACAACAAACCCTACTGTTAACTTTCATCTTACTCATTGACCATATTCCTTCTGCTTTGTTTATTGACCTGGTGCCTCTACTATCCTTATTTGATTTCACAGCAGCATTTGGGTCATTGCTTCTCTCCATTAGCACTTTCCTAACCAGATTAAACTCTAGTGATTTTCTTGGAATATGTGAAATTTCCTTGCTTCCCGTCTATTCTTTGAGCCCTTAAATGAAACACTTGTGCCTGCATTTCAACAACTAAATACTACCCAAGGAAACCATTATGCACCAGATTTATACCCCCATTAATCCATGGTTACTAAATACAAGTGGAGCCTTAGATCTTATAATTACTAAAGGTTTTCTTTATTGCTCCCTGCAATGACTATTTCAAACTTTTTCTTGAGGTACTAGGTTTTGAACACAGGGCCTTGTATAAGCACTGTACCACTTGAGCCAAAACCCCAGTCCTCAAACCAATATTCTTTTTTTTTTTTTTAAATTAACTGCTTCAAACCAGTATCCATAAACCTATTAGTACCCACTACCAGTCTCCTCTTTCTGCAGGTTACCCTATTTTTCATGAACAAAATTAGAAGCTATTTATAGGTAATTTCCTCAACATCTCATCACTTATTAACCCACAAGTATCGGTATCACTACTCCCTTTCCCGCCTGTCTAAGCAGGAAGAACGCCTCTCATCTAATGCCAATGCCTATTCTTGTACTTTGAATTCTAGTCTTTTCCTGTTGGAGGGTCTCCAACTCCCTCCTACTTTACTAAATTCTTAGTGTTCAAACATGCAAAGAACTCCACTGTTCTAACAAACCTTTCTATTTTATTTCCTTTTCAGTTACCATTCTATCTTTTCTGCTTTATAGCTACACTTCTCAAAAGGTTGGATACTTTGGCTCTTGCAAGTCACTGTCAGTGCCCATTCCTCAACCCAGTTCATTTTTTTGAGTTCTACCATCTGTATGCTATTGAAATAGTTCTTACTAAGGTCACTTTGTTGGTGATCTTAAATCCCTGAATCCAGTGATTGTTTCCTTATCCTCAGCATACTCATTTCTTGATAACATTCAGAGTTATTTTCTACTTCCTCATAATGGGCACTCTTGGTTTATGTTTTACTAGTTTTACTACAACTTCTTTGACCACAGCTTCTTAGCCTCTATAATGGGCTCACCCTTCTCCTAACCTTCTAAATGTTTCTCTTGGTTCTGTTCTTTCTTAGTCTTAATTTTTCTAGGATGGTTCCATCCCCATTTTGATTTTTAGGTACTGCTAACTCCCAGATTTTCTTCAAGCTACCTGACATCTGCACTTGTGCGTCCCAAAAACATAATAAATTCAGCAGGTTTACTTATAAACTTTCCTCTTAGCTTGGTACTCATCCAGTTGCAAAAGCTGGAAACCTAAGCACATCCTTCTTCCTGATCCCCTCATTCAATTGCCAAACCCTATCCAATTACATTTGTAAATATCCTTTGATTCTGTCTGCTTCTCTTTATGCTCACCATAATCTCCCACCAGGACTATTTCAATTGCAAATTTAATCTTTGACCTTTTGCCAATGAAATTTTTTTTTTAGACAAGGTTTTAGCAATATAGGAAAAGTAATCACAATGGCGATGAATGTTATGAAGAAGAAATGTATGTTGTAATGGAAATGTATTTATACAATAGTACAATTTGACTTGTATTTGGGATGGAGAACTTCCCTGAGGAAGTGATTTTAAAACTGAAATCCCAAGGATGAATTCTAATTGAATAAAAGGCAGAGGGAAAGGCTGCTCTCTTTCATGTCTTTGTTCAGATGTACCTTTTTGTTAAGGCTTACTCTGATGATCCTATTTGACCCATGCTGTACTCAGACACTCCTGACCCTCTTTTATCATGTTCTTTTCTCCTATAGCATTTATCCCTTCTGACATGCTATATCGTTTACTCATTTTTTTTGTTTTTATTACCTGTTTCCCCACTAGAATATAAACTCCATAGATCAGGAATTTTTGTCATTATTGTTTTTTACACTGATGCAAACAAACACCTAAAACAGTTGATGCTCAATAAATAGTTGTTGCGTAAATGGTGGCAAGAGGGAAAGGGTCACAGAGCACAGGTATATAGCTTGGTTTTACATAGGGTGTGAAGGGGGGGGCACCTTTAATTTGTAACAGGAAGGAGGGAGAATAAATGAGAGCAAATCTAAGTAGTTTTTTGGTTTGGTATTGTAGCCTGTGTGGTAGTTGGTTTTATGTTTCAACTTGTCTAGATGTAGTACCCAATTATTTACTAATCTAGGTGTTGCTGTGAAAGTATTTTATACATGTGACTAACACCTATAATTAGTTGACATTAAATAAAGAGATTACCCTAGATAATGTGGGTCAGCCTCATGTACACAGTTAAGGCCTTACAAGCAAAACTGAGGTTTCCTAGAAAAGAAATTCTGAGTCAAGTCTTCAGCATTAACTTTTACCTGAATTTCCACCTTGCTGGCCTGCCCCTACAGATTTTGGACTTATAGCTTCCACAGTCATGTAAGCCAACTCCTTAAAATAAATGTCTTTAGATAGATGAGAGAGAGAGAGAGAATTTCCATGGAGAATACTGATTGATATAACATCTTTTTTTTTAATGGGATGTGAAGTCATCATCTGAGAATAAAGCATAAGAAAGTAGAAGATGAGAGAGTGCAAGGTTTGAAATAGTCTGTGCAAATGGAAGAATAAACTGACAAAAGGGACATGATTAGATTTTTAGACAGTGTTGAGGGCTCAGCAGAGGGTACTGAACAGAATTCCCTTTTGTCCTTGCCTGTCTGAAAGAGTTCCTTAAAGGCTTTAAACTTTATGGCCTACTGTGACTTGGGGATTCTCCGTTGCCCTTCCCAGGTAGGGTTGGTTGTCCATGCCTTTATTCATATCCTCACTGAACCTATTATGTCTTGTTCACTATTATGTGAAAATGAAAAACAACCAAACATGCTAATTATATCAATGTCTATTATCTATACAACTTTATTCTAAGCATTTTATGTACATGAATTCATTTAATCTTCATAACTATCCTTTAAGATAGACGCTATTATCTTCATTTTAAAAAAATGAAACTGAGTGGTAGAGTCAGGATTTTCAGACAGTCTGACCCCAGAACCTGTCTTACTAATGAAGATTGTTGTACTTTCATGCATTTTTCCATAAATAGTTCTCATCACCTACCTCATGATGCCTAGCACTAAGGACTGAGGATAGATCAAGGAGTGATCAGAATCTTTGCCACAATGGAGCATATATTTCTAGTCAGGGAAAACAGACAATAAGCAAATAAAGTAGTATTTATATAAAATGTTAATAGGTGCTGTGGAGAAAAATAATTCAGAGTAAGGAGTATAATGATGTTAGGGATAGTGTTGCCATTTTGTACTGGTGGTTAGGGAGGAACTCACTCATAATGTGGTATTTGAGCAGAGACTTGAAATGAGGGAAGAAGCCTTGAGGACATGTGAAAGAAGAATGTTCACTTTTCTACTGATCGACTAGGCCATATAAGAGCTACTAGTTATCCCCTGGTATCCATTGTCTCCTTATTTCTTTACTAATAGAACCCCTGAATTCTACCCCAGTACATGACTACTGAAAATATAGATCAGATTTGGTAGCTTCACCTTCAGTTAGTTGTGGCCATGTGATTGAGGGATGTATGCAATTGCCAGGTTGTAACCTAAAAAAGAAAAAAAGCATGACTTCTCTTTCCCCTCCACCCACATCTCACTAGTTGGAATGGGCCCCAACTCACTTGGAACTTGAAGACAAGGACTGCTTCCTTAGAGAAGGCAAAACAATTCCAATCTTAGCCCTGGAATACTTATAATTGAATAATTATGAGAGGAAGAAATAATAGCTAGGCATAGTGGTACACACCCGTAATCCCTGCATTTGGGAGGCTGAAGAAGGAGGATTACAATCTTGGCCAGCCTGAGCTACATAAAGACACCCTGACTCACAAAACAAAAATAAATTTAAGTCATTGTATTTGGGGTTTTTAAAATTATAGCATGTATAGTAAACAGAATCTTGGAATGGTGCCTGACATTTCTTGCTCCGCCCCGCCCCACCAGTGTACACATCCTGCATGTTCTCTGGGATTGTGAGTATGCAGATTTTATAAGGCATAGTTGATGACAAGAGAGATTATCTAGTTTTGCTAGCAGAACTTCTGCTAGCTGCAGAAGAAAACATCAGAAAAATTTGAAGCACAGGAAGGTTTTGAAGCGTTGTCGCTGGCTTAAAGATAAAGGGACCATGTTGCAAGGAAAACAGGTGGTCTCTGGAACTGGGGAGTTGCCTCTGGCTGATGGAAAGGAAACGGATTGTAGTCCTACAACTTTAAGGAACTGAGTTCTACTGTCGAGCTTGAAATTGTATTTTTTTTTCCCTCAGAGCCTCTAGATGAGAACTCAGAACAATCAACACTTTAATTTCAGTTTTATTGCACCCAAAACAGAGAACACAACCAAATTGTGCTGGGCATATAATCTACAGAACTGTGAGACATTATATGGGTCTTCTTTTAAGAAGCTTAGTTTGTGATACTTTGTTATACAGCCACCAAAAACTTGTGTATTAGTGAAGGTTCTCCAGAGAAACAGGCTGAGACATCCCATAATCTATGGTCTACAAATTGGAGAACCAGAAATGCCAGTTGTATAATTCAGTTCAAATCCAAAGACATGAGATTCAAGAGTACCAGTGTTCAAGGTCAGGAGAAGATAAATGTCTGAGCTCTAACTTGCTGGAACAGATAGCAAACTGGTCCTTCCTCTAGGCTTTTTTGTTCTATTCAGGCAATAGATTGGATGATATCCGGCCAGATTGATGAAGGTGTTCTGCTTATTCAAGAGAGAAAGAAGAAGGGGGTGGGAGGAGGAGGAAAAGGAAGAAAGGGGGAGGGAGGGAAGAGGAGGAGGATGAGGAGGAGAGGAAGGGGAGAAAGAGAAGGAGGAGACAGGTATCTCCAAGGTTTTGACCTGGAAAAATGGGAAAAAATGGACTTGCCATTTCCTGAGATGAGGCAGCCAGTGAAAAGAGCAGGTTTCTTGGGGAGGGGGAGGAAGGAAGTAATTAGAAGTCTGGTTTTGGATATTTTAGGTTTTTAAATTTCAGATACTTATTAGATAGCAAGTTGGCAATTGGATGTACAAATTTGGATCTTAGAGAAAGGTAGCTTTGTATTTCTATTTAAAAAAATCATTCAGGCACTCCTGTATTTCCAGTCCCCAACTAGATTTGCAACTTGTTAAGATCAAAGATTTTCATCTTATATGGGCTTATTTTGGGGAGGTGGGGTGGAGCAGATGGATAGGCTATTGAGGGTGTGGGAAATGATGTCCTTGTTGGGAACCTACACTTGCTTAGATATTCAGTAAGTGGATAAACAGGCACATGGTTTACACCTGCTCCTGACACCTCAGGACTGGTAGTGCCCCTAATCAATCTTGTCATTGTTTTTCATGCCAGCCAGGTCCTCTGCAGGCCTCCGTGTGCCTGGTGAACACACCAAGCAGGTTTGGCCTGGTTCCCGTTCCTCTGGCCTCTGGACCTGTCCCTCGGCCCCGCCCACATCTACCGCTCTTTCTGGCTCCTCGGCTGCGCAGGCAGGGGAGGCTCTGGCCTTCCCAGTGTCTGGTAACGGTTCTAACAGCTGCTGGTGAGTCCTCAGCTCAGGATCCGTGTCCCTCGGTTCTCCAGGACCAGCGCTGTCGCCCCTGCCCTCCGAAAGTCCTCTCTCACACGCTCCCACCGAGTCAGACTTCTTCCCTCAACCCACTCCTTTGCTCCTTCTTCCTCTAGACCTCGGCCAAGCTGTTCACTGTGTGGGCTCCTGAGCTTTCTGTGCTCATGATCTTCTCAGCCTGTGGGCGAAGAAGTCAGGGGACTGGGGCTTTGCTGCTTCTGACTGACAGCCCGTTTTTCCCTTTCAAGGTGATCGTGATCGCCAGCTTCCACTCTGAAGGCGCTTTGCTGCAAGCTGAGATTCTCTGCATGAGCTCCGTTGGCCTATCAGTTTGCCTCTTCAAATAATTACACCTTTGTGCTCCATTCTCCGTGTAGGTGGGTGTGATCAGGGTGAGCCTGTTGCCTGGGACTCAAATCTAAGTTTATTCACTTCTCCAGCAGGCACTTCCCAATGAAACCTCATCGACAGCTCTGGCTCTCTTCGCTGCCCTTGCCTCCTACATCCCTTAAGCCAGGTGACAGGGACAGGACTCTGGGAGGTGGGAAGGAACTCTTGTACAGGGTGGGCTCCCTTCTGTCATCTGGACCTGTTTCTTACGAGCCTTTAGGGAAACAGTAGGGTGGTTCTCAGGAAAGGTCTTCTGCTGGTCCGGCTCTGCCCTGCAGCTACATCCATTTCCCTGTCATAGGTTGCTTTTTCCCCTCCCCACCTCTTCCCACCCCATTGACTTGACCCAGAGCCTGAGGGCCCTTTTCTGCTCCTCTCTCACTCTGGACCATGCAGATGAGGTCCAGCAGCAGAGAGCCTGGAACTGGCAGTTGGAGCCTGAGCTGTGGGCAAGATCTCTTCGACAACAGTTGAATGCCCAGCTCCTCTTGTTCCCCGCTAATGAGACATCATCCGATGCTCTTGAGTCTTGGCACTCTGCAGATGCCCTGGACAGCAAAGGACAGCCCAGGGCTGTGTTTCAGAGGAAACACAAACTATTCCTGAAGGCAGTGACTGGACCAGAGCAGTCTACAGAGCTGGAGCTCCTGTTAGCAGAGCTCCGATCTCTGTTCTCAGCTGTGCTACAGGATGGCAGCCCTGCAGCTTGGCACTATCTGCATGCAGTACTGGGTCTGTTGCCTCCATATCGTGAGTTGCTAGTTGGCCGCCTTGATTTGCTGCCCTTCCTGGAGCAGTTGTATTGCTGGGCACCCAAAGTTCAAGTCCAACTCCAGCTAGACCTGCTAGATGCCATAGACAAGGCCTTTCCCCCAGACAGCTCTTTGTTACATAGGGCTTCCCATGTTGACTGCTCTCCCTGGAAGAGGAGAGCCTATCATGGGCCCCCATGCCCAGCCTGCCCTTTTGTACAGGCCCTTTGGGGTGAACAGCAAGTACAGAAAGAATTGACCACATGGTTGCGACCATTGACCCTTCCTGAGCTACAGCACTGCCTGGGCATCGTTGGTGCCGAGGTGGCCCTAGAAGAAACCCGGTGGCTGGATGGCCTTAGCCTCCTCCCCTTGGCACTGGCAACAGACATCCCTGTACAGTATGAAAGCAGTGGCACTGACTACGCAGAGGAGGAGCCTGTTGAATCAAGACAGACTAAGTGAGTGACCCAGTCTGGGGATTTGAACAAAGGAGAAAAATAAGTCAGTTTATGGGTGTTTACATAGCCACTTAGATATCTACAGCCAGTTCACTATGAATCTTACAGATTAGCCCAACTCAAAACTGAACTTACTGTAGGTTAGGTGAAAACAAGGAGAGTTTCAAGGAGGGAACAATCAGTAGTATTAAATGCCAGTAAGAATTTAAAAACTATTGGATTTAGCAACAAAAAAGAGGTTGATGAGAGCAGTTTCAATGGGGTCTTGTGGGGAGGAAGCCAGACTGTAGTGCATTAGGAATGGATGGAATATGAAGGAGAAATCTCATTTTACTATTCTTTCATGAAGCTTGGCTTGAAAGGGAGAGATGGTAGGACAGCAGCTTGAAAGAATTTTGGTGTTTAAATAGGAGTCTTTTATTTTTAAGTAGAGAGATTATGGCTCTTAAGACAGTGCTTGAGAAGTAGGTCCTCAATAAATATGTGTAGACTAAATGAATCAATAAGCTAAGGTAAGAAGAGAAAATTTAAAATACGTCATAGACAGATGTAAGAGATCCAGAACACAGATAGAGAAACTGGCCTTTCAGAGAAGAAAGAATATCCCTTTTTGTCAAACTGGAGAACAGGTAAGTGTATTGAGAGGCAGCCATGCTGAGAGAGTTAGTTCATGGCTGAGAACCTCAGTTTCTCCAGGCAAGGAAGAAAATAAAGAATGAGATGAACTTAGGGCTTGGCAGGGCTGGTCATGGGGTTATATATAACAGCTTGAGGGACCTGAAAGAGATGGCGGTATGAGGATTTGTACTAAGATATCAAAGCAGAATGGGCTCACAGCTGAAACTGAACAATAGGTGTCTATATTCCTGCTTTTGTGAACTTGTGAATCTACTGAATCGTATAAGACCTTAACAGCTGTCTGTTAACCATTTAAGATGTCCTGATCTGACATCAAGATCATTGTTGATATGAATTCTAGAATAGGATTGCACTGTTATTTCTGGGGTAACTTCTGTTGATTTATATTCAGGTTTGACTAGTTAAGTCTAAGTTAAATCAATACTAGGTTTCTAATTTTGGGAGGGAAAGTGTGAGGTACTAGAGTTTGAACTCAGAGCTTCACACTTACCAGGCAGGTGCTCTATCACTGGAACTGCTCCGCCTCCAGCCCTTTTTTGTGTTGGGTATTTTCTAGATAGGGTGTCTCAAACTGTTTGCCTAGGGTTGGCTTCTAACCATGATCCATCCTCCTGATCTCTGCCTTCCGAGTAGCTAGGGAGTAAGCCACCTGCTCCCAACAGTATTAGGTTTCTTTTTGAGTGTGTTGTGAGATCACCCCAACCAAAATTATTAGTCTAGGTGCTGGGTGTGGTGGCCTGTAATCCCAACACTTGGAAGGTGGAGATAGGGTCTTGAGTTCAAGGATAGTATGGACTGCATAGTAACATTCTGTCTCAAAATTAAAACAAAATTATTAGTTAAGTAATTTGATTTTAGGTTGTTGGATAATTAATTTTTATATCAATTTGTTGACCAGTATGGAAGAAGGGTAAGAAGATAAGATCATTGGTACAGGCTGAAGGGGTTAAAGAATGTTTCATTAGATCTTGATTGGATATTCATTAGATCTTTTCCTTAAAAGATATGAAGCTAGAGCTTGGTGATAACAGAAGAGCAAAAATGATCATGGGAATAAGAGTAAGAGGTATGGGTATAATGCAGGTTTAGAAAGCAGGTATAATGCTGGTGGAGTGGCTCAAGCAGTAGAGCACCTTCCTAGCAAGTGTGAGGTCCTGAGTTCAAACCCCAATATCACAAAAAACAAACAAAAAGTAAAAGAAAATGGCAAAAATAGTAAGTCTTATGGGTTAAAAAATTTTTTTAAAAAAGCAGGTATAATGACAACAAAGACAGGAGATAAGATTTAAAAAGTTGGGACAGAGGAGCATTGGCAATGAGTTGGTAAAATAGTTTTTCCATTATTTGTGCTTTTGACTTTGCAAAAGTCACAATTAATCCAGAGTGATCAAAGGGAGGGGCTGCTCATTCACATGTCTGTGTGAATATATTGCATACTGGACTGTGTTTGCTCAGTATGTGACACCTTTAAGCATAGGAGATAGACAGGCTCTGGCAATGCCATATCACATCCCCTCTGGCACCTTTTCACTGGCCAACAGTGGCAAGGCCCATCTCTTACATACCTGACAGCTTTGTTCTGCCTTTTCTCTCTGATCTTTTTGTCATATAGGTCTCAACTTTACTATGAAGTTCCCAAGGGAAAAGCCTTCCACAAGAGAAGTATTGGCTTCTTGCATGAGGCTTCCTTCCTGGGTAGCCAGGTGAGGAGCATTCTGAAGACAGAGAGGTACCTGAAGAAGATCCACTTCCTCTATCTCAACGTGGCTCCCAGTCGATACTTTAAGTAAGAGCCCATATCCAGACCTCCTCTTCCTCTCTTGCTCCCTGATTTCCTCCCATGCTGTCTTCCCACTCTTCTTTCTCCCTATCCCTATTCATCTCCCCAGTTCTTTCTCCATGTACTCCTCTGTCTCCTAGTTTCCCTCCTTCTTCCCTTCTCCTCAGCTTCCTCCTCCACTCCTCTCTTTGTTCCCCTTTGCTCTGTCTTTTGTCTTAGTCATCCTTTTTTCACGTTTTGCTCTTCCTTTTTTTTTTGGCAGCACTGGAATTTGAACTCAGGGCCTCACGCTTGCTAGGGAGGCACTCTTACCACTTGAGACCAACACCATTCCTTTTTTCTGTGGTGGTTTTTTTTTTTTTGAGCTAGGAGATAGGGTCTCAAGAACTACTTGCCCATGCTAATTTCGAAGTGCCATCCTCCTGACCTCTGCCTCCTGAGTAGTTAGTTAGGATTACAGGTGTGAGCCACCAGCACCCAGCTTACTTTTTCCTCTTCTTTATTCTGAAATAAGAAAAACATTTGATCATAATACATAAGCAACTTTAATGGTGGTATCTTCCAACTCCAGTGCAAGAATCAGATATTTAAATCTTTAGTGTTAGGGAAACTTTGCTCTTCCAAAAGCATCCTGTTCCTTAGAGTGAATCAAAATCTTCTTTCTTTTAGCTCCTACCTCCTGGTCCTGTTTTGACTCTAGGGTTATAAAAACAAGCCTCCTCCTTCCACATAACCTGAGACATTCATGCCCTTTCTTCCATTAGATCCAAATTTTATCTATTTAAAAAATAACCTTTTAATATTGTTAATTAAGTCATAATAATTGTATGTGCTGTCTTTCTAGTTTGAAAATCATTCTGTTCTCTTTCCCCTCTATTTCCTTTTGCCTTCTTGCCTCCTTTTTCATCTCCCCCATCTTTCTCTTATCCCTTCTTGAAACGTGTGTAAGTTCCTTTGATTCCTGCTGATCAGAGCTTTTTTGTTTTGTTAAATTTATTCCTAAATATTTTATTTTTGTGATCTTATTTTAAATGAATTATCTTTTCAAAATTAGTATATATTGTACAAGTTGAGGGGTTTCACTGTTATGTTTCCAAACATGCATAAAATGTACTTTGATCATATTCATCCCTTCTGTTACTCTTTCTTATTCTTCCCCTCCCAATCTCCCCCCTTTTTAAACTTTCATGAAGAAATTTTAAGTGGTTTCAGTATGACCTTTTCATATGTGTATACAATGTACTTTGATCATATTCTTCCCCTCCTTACCCTCTCTTTTCTTCCTCCCACTTCCTACTAGTTCCCACCCCAAATAGTCTCTCTTTGATATTGGAGTCCTTAAAAAAAAAAATCTAGAGCCTACATATTCTACATATGAGTGAAAACATGCAGTATTTATCTTTCTGAGTCTGACTTGTTTTGTTTACTAAACAAAGCAAAAGCTGCTTAGCTTTTTTTATTTCAAGGCCCTATGAGCTGATGGTGGTACCACCGAAGAAGGTGAATCCTGAGCACTACATCTTCTCTCCCTTTGGGATTCTGCATATACATCCTGTGGAGGGCAGTGAGACCATGACGCTGGGTACCTGGCACCGCCATTCTGTTCTTTGGCAACAGCTCCAGTTCATTCCATTCTTTAAGTATTGTCTCTTACGCAAGGCCTTGACCTGGTAGGTGTTGATGGGGATGGGATTTTGGGAGTAAATGAATGAGAGCAGCATATTGTCACTGACCTCTACTCTGTAGTTGGAAGAAGAATGTGAGGTTGCAGGGGTTGCATCGTCTCCACAATTTCCTAGGGAATCGTCTGCTCTTGGCTGTGCCTCACTTTGGAACTGGGCTGCTCCATATTAGCAGGTGAGGTAAAATACAACTTCAATGAATTTTTTTAAATTGTTTTGGTTTCTGGGCATGATGGGACACACCTGTAATCCCAGCACTTGGAAGGTGGAGAGAGGAGGATCATGAGCTCCAGATCAGCCTGGATTACATAGCAAGACCTTGTCTCAAAAGACCAAACAGTATTTTGAGAAAAGGTAACAATGTGTTCACTGTAGGAAATTTGGAAAGTGCAAAGAAGCCCAAAGGAAAAAAAAAAGAAACCTTGAATCCCTGAACTCATAAATAACCACTATAAACATTTTACTGCATATCCTTCTAGTCATTTTTTCTATCATATATACAAAACATGATCATATGTTACATAATGTTATATAACCATTTTTATCTGAATTATATGTTCTGATTTTTTTGGTGGCATTGGGGTTTGAACTCAGGGCCTCACACTTGCTAGGCACATGCTCTACCACTTGAGCCACCCCACCCAGCCTGTGAATTATATATTCTGAAGCTATCTCAATGTCATTACATGTTCTTCCACATCAACTTGTCCCAGATATTAAGTCTGGAGATCAAACTTAGGTGTTTGAATCCAAACTCTTTGCTCTTCCCATGGTGTTACATGTTAGGAAAAATGCCGCTCACAAAGATAGCTCATGAGAAACTCTCACGTCCAAGAGCAGGGTTTAATGACAGGCACAAGCCACCTGGCTGACCAGGGAAATATGGCGCAGGAAGAGAGTGAGTCTGGGCCAGGCATGGCTTTTTATAGAAGAGGGAGGGTAAGAGGTTGGCACATGCTCAGGTGTCCCTGGTGGGGGTGGAGCTTGGGTGGAGCTTGTCTTGGAGTGCGGGAAAATTTTGCTAAAGGGCGGGGCTGTTATTGGGAATGGCTCCATTTTCCAAGAGGTGAGGCCTGAGGATAAAATGGCCACCGATTTATAAAATGGAGCATTATTGTTCTATCATTCCCCCATTTTTTTCTTTAATAATGATGAAGGTAAGGGCTGAGGATGGGGAATTGGGGCAAAGCATTGGTCTCTTATCTGCTTCCTGCTGGTAGGGGGCATTGTATGAGGCGGGATCCTCAGGCTCCTGTGGTGTCCTGGATGGGGCCTTCACAGTAGTTTTTCTGGGTGGTTTTGGAGAGGTTGGTATCCCTGGAGGTACAACTGGTTAAATTTTTGATTAGCAATAGCAAACATGTGGTCTAAAGGAAATCTTTGTACTGTTCTTATGATAACAAGGGAGGAAGCTTAAGAATATGAGAGCAAGAAACATAGGCATTAGGATGGGCATTAACCAGGAGAACCACTGTGAAATGTTATTCCCTAGAGGACTCCAAGAGTCCTCCAATTCCCTTCTTCATTTTTCTAATTCTTCCTGGAGTTGTCTAATTTTATTTTTTACTACTCCTGATTGGTTAACATAGAAGCAGCACTCTTCTTGTAAAAACAGGCAGAGACCACCCTTCTCTGCAGTGAGCACGTCAAGGCCTCATTGGTTTTGGAGTACAACTGAGGCTAGGGAGTCAAGTTGTTTCTGTAAGGTTAGGACGGACTCAGCCACTGTTTGAAGATCACTTATCAATTGATTAGAGCGTTTTGGGTAGTAGTGGACAGAGGTTCCTATTTCCACAGCCCCTGTTACCATTGCAGATGTTATTCCGAGGGTAGCTAACAAGGGAATACCCTGAATTGCCCTTTTAGATCGAAGGCGTGTGGTGAAGGGGATGGGTAGGTCCTGACCTTCTGTAATAATATCCATGTCAGGAACCAAAAATACCGGAGTGTAGATGCCCTTCCAGGCTTGGGGTAAACAGGGGTATACACTCTGACCGCATAGAGAGTCCCAGGAATGAGGGGGCAGCAGATATTGTTTCTGGTTTTGTTGGCCGCCCTAGTGGTGTGACATTTTTTGGCCACCAGGGAGCCTACCTCAGCTATCTCTGAGGAACTCTGCAGGCAAAGAGGGGCTGGATGGGGAGGGGAACCGGGGAAAGAGTGGAGGCAGTGGGCCTTTTGGTGAAGGAACAGTTTAAGGGAAAGGGTGTGGAAACGTTTATGGGGATGGAGATGACCTGAAAAGGGCCAGTCTGCTGACACATCCAACAACCACAGGCTACAGTAGGATTGGTGTGGTTGAGTAGTTGATAAGTGGTATTTATGATCTGGAGGAGAAGGGTTTCAAAGAGGGACATCGTGTATAATGGAATTTTGAGAGGCTTTCTGGTGGAAAAGAATAAGTTGTTTAGTCTTTGAGGTACCTGGGTGTGGAGGACCTTCCTGAGGGCCTCATCCTGGACTCTGCCTCCATCAGTATACCAAGCTGTGAGAGGTAAGTCCAGCATACCTGTTGCCCCCTCCTCCCGTGGCAGTGGTAGCCAGCATGGTCACCTTTCTTGATACCCGTCCAATATTTTTTATTAAGTTGTTGGCATAAAGTGGCAGTGTTATAGCATGCCTTTTACATGATGGAATATGCTGTAAATGGCTGGCATGGGCAAGGGGGGAGGCCCCAGCTTGCAAAAGTCCAAGCCATAAGAAAGAAGAGAGCACAAGGAGTAAGGTGCACAGGGCGAGGTATCCAAAACAGACAGCTGCACGATGGGGCCATCTCCACTCAGGGGGAGAAGTTGCCCATAGGCTGATACTTAGGAGAGAGGGGACGAGGACAAGAATTACCCACAGAAAGGGATGGAGTGAAAGCATAGGTGGTGCAGTTTACAATAAGGCAAAGAGAATGTTGGAAAATGAATAGATTTCTGCAAGAGTAAAGTCTGAGAGAGTACTTTGGAGGTGAAGGTTGGCTATCCAATCTATGAAGCAGGGGTAAAGAAGGTATGAGAAAGGAGGGAGGCTGATTGTATTGGGAGATGGGAAGAGTAAAATCTCAGAGTGGAGTGTATATAGGAAAGAGTAAAAGCATGGGCAGGCACTGACAGGAAAGAATGGGAGGGGGGAAGTATAAAGAGTGAGTAGGCGAGATGCCATGTCCCTAGGCATAGGGCTCCTGCCTATGCCCCGGGAGTCTCCATGGGTGTGTCTCCGTCTTCTAGGATCTTGGGGAGGCAGGAGATCTTTATTTTTGTTGGTCCTGTAAGAAGAGATTGGTAGGTCTTTTGTGGGGCTGCCAGTTTTAGATTTTGAACATGTACCCAGGAGGGAAATCCTGCTAGCTTAGCAGCCATAGGGGTGGTGAGGATGACCTGAAATGGGCCTCTCCACTTTTCCTGCAGGTGGCTGGGTACTTTTTAGATAAACCAGATCTCCCATTTGGAGGAAGGGAGTTATTTTTTGTGGTGTCAGAGTGCTGTGGCAACTGATCATGAGTATGAGACCAAAGGAGAGAGCAAAGAAAAGTGAGGAGAGGATTGAGGAGAGTGGGGGAAAGTTTAGGGGGTTCTGGCTGAACTGTGATAAGGAGGAATGGACAGCCATAACTTCAAAAGGGGGGAGAGTTTAGTGAGGAGGTGGAAGAAGCTGGGGTAAGGGGGTACATGGCCAATTGGGATGCAGTTTGGAGGGCTGCCCACTTGGCCTCTGTATCCACTCAGTTGTTTCCTCTGGTAATTATGGAAGAATCAGTTTGATGGGCTTTGCAATGAGTAATGCCTACCTGGGAAGGGAGGCGTGAAGCCTCTAAGACCTGGGCTATTAAGGCAGCATTGATAATGAGAGTTCCTCTTGTAGTTAGGAATCCCCTTTCCTTCCAGATAGCAGAGTGGACAATAAAGTGTGAAACACATTTACCGTCAGTGTAAATGTTGACAGCTTTGTCTTTTGCCAGGGTTAGAGCTCTGGCCAGGGCAGTCAATTCTGCCCTTTGGGAAGTAGTACCCAAAGGGAGAGGGCATGCCTCAATGATGGCAGAATCAGACACAATAGCCTATCCAGCTCTTAGCTGTCCATTGTGAACAAAGGAGCTGCCATCAATGAACCAAGTGTAGTCAGCCTGAGAAAGGGTGCCCTCCTGAATGTGGTCTGGGCAGGGGAGGAGCTCCTCAAAGATCTCAGGGCAGGAGTGAACAAGGGGTGTTGAAGAGAGAGGAAGAAAAGTGGCTGGGTTAACTGGGGAACACAAGATGAAAGTTAGGGGGGGGATCCTCAACCAAGGCCACCTGGAGGGATAGGATATGGGAGGGGGGCATAGAGTAAAGTCCCTTATATGTGAGGAGTTCCAAGAGGTTATGGGGGGAGTAAACAGTAAGGGGGGACCCAAAGGTAAGCTTTTTGCTTTCTTGGATCAAGAGAGAAGCAGCTGCCAGGGCCCTAAAGCATGGGGCCCATCCCCTGGTAGTGGGGTCTGTTTGGAGAGGTATGCTACTGGAGTGAAGGGGTGCCCTATGTTGTGTTCCAGAACTCCTAGGGCAAACCCTTGCCTCTCAGAAATGTAAAGGAAAAAGGGGTGAGTGAGGTCCAGCAGGCAAAGTGCTGGGGCTTGTACCAAGGCTTGTAAGAGGGTTTTAAAATGACCTAACACAGGCCGAGAGGGGTCCAGGGGCTCTTGGATGGGACCCCTGGATATCTCATTTAGTGGCTTGGTCATTAGACTGAAGTTGGGCACCCAGGCTCTGAGGTAGCCAGCCAGGCCAAGGAAGGAGAGAATTTCAGCCTTGGTGGTGAGGGCAGGGAGAGAGGCTAACAAGGCCTTATGATCTAGGGTGATAGCCTTATGAGAAGGGGAGATAGATAGGCTCAGGTAAGTCACCTGGGTTAGAGACAGTTGAGCCTTGTTAGGGGACACACGGTATCCCCTTTTTCCCAGAAAATTGAACAGAAGAGCAGTGTGTTGTTGGCTATCCTAGAGAGAGGAGCTGCAGAGCAGGAGGTCATCTACAAACTGGAGGAGTTTACTCAGGGAGAGATGGAGGGTGAGGAGGTCTGTAGCCAGAGCCTGGCCAAAGAGGTGAGGACTGTCCCGGAATCCCTGAGGCAAAACAGTCCAGATCAATTGTTGGGAAGTATGAGAATCTGGATCAGTCCAGGTGAAGACAAAGAAGTTTTGGGACTGTGGGTGGATAGGGATAGTGAAGAAAGTGTCTTTTAAGTCCAGGACTGTGAAATGGTGGTGGTACCGGGGATGAGAGACAGGAGAGTGTAAGGGTTGGGCACCACAGGGTGTATAGGAGTCACTGCCACATTGACTGAGTGGAGATCCTACACCAACTGGTAAGACCCATTGGGCTTTTTTTCAGGCAGAATAGGAGTGTTATAGGGGGAGTGGATTGGGTGAAGCAGGCCCTTAGCAAGAAGCTCTGAGATGACAGGCTTTAATCCCTGTAAGTGGATTAGAGAAATGTGATATTGAGGTTGGTTTGGGAAAACAGAGGGATCCTTGAGAGTAATAACAATTAGCTCATGATGTGTAGTGACTGCAGGGTTTTGGAGGTCCCACACAATGGGGTCCACCAGCATAGTGGGTAAGGGCAAGGGGTCAGGAGAGGCTTGTGGAACCAGGGCACCCATAATGGCAAGGAGGGGCCGTGAGGATGGAGACAAGGGGTTAATGGGTCATGGCTTAAGAGGGAGTGGGTGTAATGTGAGAGTGGCCTGGAATTTTGACAAAATGTCTCTTACCAAGAGTGGGGTGGGGCAATTAGGGAGGACTAGGAAGGAGTGAGTAAAAAGTATATCTCCCAGTATGCAGGTTAAAGGAAAAGTCATTAAGGGCTGGTTAGGAGTTCCCTCCACCCCGACTATGGAGGTTAAAGAAGTCTTGGCAGGTCCCCAGAACTCCAGCAAGGCAGAAAAAGTGGTGCTGGTGTCTATGAGGAGAGAGATAGGCCTACCATCAATGATGGCCTTTACCATGGCTCCCGTGAGGTTATGGTTGTCAGGCCTGGGAGTCCTGGGCTCCATCAGTCATCAGCCATAGTAACCAGTCCTAAAAGATCAGTTAGGGAGGAGAGACAGTAGTGGGGCTTAGACCCTATGCCTTGAGGGAGCAGTCCATCGCCCAGTGGCCCTCCTGTTTGCACTTAGGACATGGCCCCGGTGGGCAGCATGGTTTAGGACATGCACAGGCCCAGTGTCCATCAAGGCCACACCAAAAACATGGGTTGGGAAGTGTTCAGGATTTTTCCTGGCCTCGGGAGTTAGAGGTCGGAGGCCTTTGTCAAAGGGCTTGTGCCAGCATCTGGAATTCAGTCTTATCTCTCCTCTCCTTATCAGCCCTTTGCTGTTCTTCTTGGTAATTATAGACCTTGAAGGCCACATTTAAAATTTCAGCCTGTGGAGTCTGAGGGCCATTTTCCAGCCTTTTAAGTTTTCTTCTTATATCTGGGGCTGACTGGGAGATAAAGTGGGTCATGAGAATGATTGTCTCATCCTGAGTTTCAGGGTCAATTTTGTATGGTGTTGTAGTGCCTCTGTGAGGTGGGACAAGAAACTAGCTGGATTTTCCTCTTTTTCTTGTTGAATTTCTCTGAGTTTATCAAAATTAACAACCTTTTGGGTCATCTTTTTTAGTCCTGCCACTAAACAAGTAACCATCTGATCCCTAAGTGTTCTGTCACCGGTTTGGTAATTCCAATTAGGCTCCTCAGTATGGATTGCCGCAGCTCCTATAGGATGGGCGGGGGTGGTGCAGTGGATCTCATCTGCATGTGCCCTAGCCATGTCCCAGACCCTGTGTCTCTCCTCTGGAAGGAGGGTGGAGGAAAAATGAGATAGATGTCATGCCAAGTAAGGTCATAGGATTGAGCCAAGTATTGGAACTCTTTAACATAAGAATCTGGGTTAGTGGTGAAAGAGCCAAGGTGCTTTTCTATCTGAGAGAGGTCAGCAAGGGAAAAGGGGACATGGACCCTCACAATGCCTTCCACTCTGGCCACTTTCTGGAGAAGGTAGATGGAAACTGGCTGACTGGGGAGTCCGTGAGAGTGAGTGTGTGGGGGTCTCATGGGATCCTGTGATTCTGGGTGGGCAGAAGGACGGGTGGAAGGGTGGGCTGAAGGAGGGGCAGAAGGAGGGGCAGGGGAAACGGTGGAAGGAGGGGAGGAGGGGAGGGTGGAAGGAGGGGCGGGGGCTGACGGTTGAACAATGGAAGCTAGTTTCTGATAAGGTGGAGGCTCATTAGCAGGGTCAAAAGAAGGGAAATTTTCAGAGTCAGGAGGAGGTTCAGAAGAGGATTTGGCTGGTTTTGAGACTGGTTCAGAGGCTAATAGGACCTGTGCAGGGGAACAGGAAGTACAGAAGGGGGGTGTTGATGTGGAGATAAGAAAAGGATTGGACATAGGGAAATTCCTTCCATTTACCAGTGCGCTCACAGAAATTGTATAAATCCCTTAAAATATTGTGATCAAAAGTGCCATTAAGTGGCCATTTGGAGTCATTGTCTAATGGATATTGGGGCCAGGCCTGATTACAGAGAAAAATGAGCTTTCAGGGCTTAAGATCGGGCGTGAGGCATAAGGGCCCAAGATTGGCCAGAAGACATCCCAATGGGGAGTCTGAAGGAATTTTGGGTGGTCCAACTCTCCTGGTGAGGCCTGACCTGAGGAGAGATATGGCAGGCATCCCCGAAATATTAGGTCCTCAGGAGAGAGAGAGAGGGAGAGAGAGAGAGAGAGAGAGAGAGAGAGACAGAGAGACATGTGGAGCACCCAGAGGGAACGTCTTCACCATGGGGGATCCACAGTCCCTAGGTGGGAGCCCGGTTCCCAGGGATGGGAGCGAGTCAAGACCTAGTGCTAGGATTTTGAGGAAATGAGAGAGAGATCACAGCTCTACATGAGAGGAGGACTCACCCAGAGAGGACCTTGAGGGAAGATTGGCCAGTGGTAGATGGTGGTTGCAGGTGCGCTGGGGTGGAGGAATTTTGTTGTGAGCTAGTGAGGGAGCAGCGCTTTCTAGGATCGGGGGTTCTGGCAAGGCAGCTCTGGTCCTGGAGGAAGGGAATGGGAGTAGAGAGAGAGAGACCAGGATGGGGTGGGGGAGGCCAGGAGAGCAAGGTCAGTGCTGGGAGTGAGGGGTGAGGTAGGCTGGGAGAGCAAGGTCAGTGCCGGGAGCGTACCCGATCTGAGTCACGGCACCAAATGTTAGGAAAAATGCTGCTCACAAAGAAAGCTTACGAGAAAATCTCACATCCAAGAGCAGGGTTTAATGACAAACACAAGCCGCCTGGCTGACCCTGGAAAGATGGCGCAGGAAGAGAGCGAGTCCAGGCCAGGCATGGCTTTTTATAGAAGAGGGAGGTTAAGAGGTTTGTGCATGTGCAGGAGTCCCTGATGGGGGTGGAGCTTCAGTGGAGCTTGTCTTAGAGCGCAGGATATTTTGCTAAAGGGCAGGGCTATTATTGGGAATGGCTCCATTTTCCAAGTGGTAAGGCCTGAGGCTGAAAACAGTGGCATTATTGTTCTATCATTACACCAATGCATACACACACACACACACACACACACACACACACACACACATACATTTTGTTTTTTTTGGGGGAGGGTTCATTTGCTGTATTGGCGCTTAAACTCAGAGCCTACACCTTGAGCCACTCCACCAGCCCTTTATATGTTAGTTATTTTTGAGACAGGGTCTCTCAAACTGTTTGCCCAGGCTGGCTTTGAACTGGGATCCTCCTGATATCTGCCTCCTGAGCAGGAGGATTATAGGCGTGAGCCACTGACACTCGACTTTGTTGTTGTTTTGAAAAGATTGGTTATTCCTATTTTCAGTGCTTCCTTATCTTCCCTTCACGATGCTTTAGCCACTCTATTCCCAAGTATATTCTGTGATAGGAGTTCAAACTCAGATGTCTATGGGACCTGAGCCAGAGGTATTGAAGGAATACCATGTTTGGGTGCAAGCATTAAGAATCATGGGAACTGCAATCCAGAGATTGCATCTGAATAGGACAGTCACTACTCGGTTCCAACTAACTGACATTTGGGGAATATAGGTCCAGTGTGATTGGCCATCTTATTTTTCAGGATTTCTTGAAAGTCCACATTTTGTGGCAAAAGTTCTTAATTTTAACAACTTGCCTTAAGTTTTAATTAAAACACTGTGCTGGCCAAATCTTAGTAGTGCACATTGGAAAATGTTTCAGTCTGAATTTGACCCACTAGTTACCAGTTTGTAACCTCTGTTCTAAGCAGGTTCCATCCTCCAGTCTTGCCTAATTATCATGGCATAATTAAAAGCATACGGGCTTGGAAAAGTGAATATATCCAAATGTGATCCTGAAAACTAGTAAAAGACTTTACTCTTTGAGCCTCAGTTTACTGATCTGCAAACTAGTACACATATTTCTGCTACACAACTCTAATAAGAATTAAATGAGATCATATATATAAATAGACATATTCAGTGTTTCTTAGTAGGCATTGAATGAGAGAATAAATGACACACACTTGGCTTTTCATCCTTATCCTGGTCTTCCTGTCTGCTTGTTGGGGTTCTTTTAGGAATGTTTAAGAATCATCTCTGAGGAAAATGAGGAAAGTGGGTAACAGAAGTGAGCTTCCTCAGGGATGGTCAGCCCATAGAGAAGTTGCAGTTTCATCACTTTTGATCCTAAGACTCATTTGTCAATCTAGATTTTTAGGGCCTTCAGCTTCCCTTATTCAAGGAAGAAAGTCTCTTTGTCTTCTCTCCTAAGTCAGAACTTGGAACCTATTTGACCCTCCCGCCTGTCAAAGAGGTCACAGGTATAAACATTTGCACATACCCTGAACCTTTTCCAAATAATTCCCCAGTTAGCAACTCTCTGGGATTGAACTCTGCCAAAGAACTCTCAGGAGGAAGCTGTTACTGTTGGTCACTGGGAATATGACAACCTTTGTAAACATTTCCTTAGTCTGGGGTGAGCTGAGCTGGGAAGAGATCAAAGATGTCCTAGGAGGGAGAGATGGGTTTCCTAACTAGCTTATTTTTTGATTCCAGGCTTCTGCAGGAGCTACACTGTGTGTCCTGGATACCCAAGGATCCAGATAAGTGCTATGAGCTGCTGGACCTGAAGAAGGCTCTAGCCAAAGAGAAACACAAGGCTCTACGGTTACTCTGTCACTGTCTGAATCTCTGTACATCCATTCTTCAACTGGTAAGAGGGTCCCATTGTTGTAAACCTTTTCTCCAAGCTGAGCGCCCCAGAGTTCCTGCCCTCTCTTAGTTAAGTTCCTCCTGGTATTCCCTGTGCAACCTGGACTCTGCAGTGCGATCAGAACCACTATCCCGCCCAGCAACAGCTGGACTGGAATAGATAGGTCAAGAAGAGGTGAGCACAAACTGAGAGGCAATCTTTCTATAAGGGTTGATCCTGGTCTAGGAGAAAGGAGGAAAAAGAACATAACAATGTTTCTTTTGTCAGTTGTTGTGGTGGCCTTAGGGTATCAGTATACTAAGCAATTTAGGAATCCTGATCTTTCATGCTACTGGAATTATCTTTGATTCTATCTTGGACCTTTGGCAGGCCACTATGGGTAGTAGATGCATGCAAAAATGGAGACCTTCCTAATTCTCCCTACTTTGTATCTTAGGTGCACAAGTCATGTCTAGGGCTCACAAAGACCCTGTTGTGTTCTTGCTTCTTGCCCATGGCCTATTGTTATCTTTTGTTTTCAGGTGTTTCAAGCATGTGCTACTGAGGCAGTGTTAGGTGATGTGACCTTTGGAAGGTGTTGGGCCATGAGGACTCTGCCCTTACCCCTTTTTGCCTCTTTGCCCTTCTACCTTTTGCCACTTAAAGATATAGTGTTCCTCCCATCTGAAGGATGCAGCAAGAAGACTCTTAACAGATCTTGGACTTGCCAGCCTCCAAATCTGTGACAAAATACATTTCTGTTCTTTATAAATTACCCAGTCTCAGGTATTCTGTAAAGCAGCACAAATGAACTAGGACAATAGGTAACCACACTATGACTTGTGATTGGCATTTGAAGTGGCAGTCTTGTGGGACTGAGTTGTCAATCAGAGGAATCTGTAGCAATCTCCAGGTAGATAGTGCCAGAATTGAGGTAAATTATGAGACACACAAGTAGTGTTTGCTGAAGAAGTTTTTGGTGTGTGTGGGAAAACCTCCACACACCTGGTACGTTCAGTATACTGGGTGGTGTGTGAGAATAGGAAAAACACTGGTTTTTCCTAACTGTTAAGAGTTCTTTATACTTTCTAAACATAAGTTCTGTATGAAATAATGTGTCATAGACATTTTTCTAAGTCAGTGGCTTGTGTTTTCACTATTTTAATGGTGTCTTTTGATGGACAGAGGATTTTAATTTTATTTTCTTTTTGGTACAGGGTCTCACTGTAGAACCAAGACTGGCTTCAAACTCTCTTTGTAGCCCAGGCTGGTCTCAAACCTAAAATCCTCCTGCCTCTGCCTCCCAAGTGCTAGGATTACTGGCATGCTCCATCATGCCCAGCTAATTTTCTTAAAGTTCATTTTATCAATCTTTTTTCATTTCTGCCTTTGTACCTCCAGTGTTACTAAGCCTTTTGGGTCCTGGTTTAAAATAATCTTTGCCTACCTCAAGGTCAGGTAGATAGTCTCTGATGTTTTCTTCTAGAAATTTTGTTACTTTCTCTGTCAGATTTAGGTCTATGATCCATTTCAAATTAATTCTGTGTATGGCATGAGATAAAAGTCATGGTTTATTTTCCCATTTATTATTAAGATTATCTTTTCCCCTACTTAATAGTGTTGGTGTCTTTTTCTTAAATAAGATTTTTTCTATCTGTGTGAATTTATTTCTAGACTCTATTCTGTCTGCTAGTCTGTTTGACTATATTTTTGTGTCAGTGGTAAACTTAATTATTCTAGCTTTATGAGGTTTTTCATCTGTTATTGTAAATCCTACAAATTTTCTGTTCTTCTAGATTACTCTGAGTGTTTTAGGTTCTTTGAAATTTCCTATAAAGTTTAGAATCAACTGGTTGATTTCCACAAAATTACCTACTTAAATTTTTAAGGGTTTGCTTTGAATCTGTAGATCAATTTTGGAAAATTGCTACCTTAACATTTAACTCCCTGACCATAAACAAGGATCTCCTCATTTATTTTGCCTTTTAAAATTTATTTTACCAAAAATTTGTGGATTAGATGTCTTGAACATATCAGATTAGATGTTTTACTAGATATTTGATGGAGTTTTTTTTTTGCTATCATAAATACTCTTTAAAAACATCATTGTTGCCTAGCATGTGCAAATCCTTGGGTTCAATCCCCACTTGAGCCACTCCACCAGCCCCAGTACTATAAAATAATAATGATGATAATGATAATAATAGACATCATTGTTAAAGGCTGGGGATGTAGTTCAATGATAGAGCACTTGCCTAGCATGTGCAAGGCCCTGGGTTCAATCCCCAGCACTGCAAAAAAAAAAAAAGTTCTTATGTAAGCCAGACACAGTAGTGCATATCTGTAATCCCAGCACTTCAGAGGTTGAGGTAGGAGAATCACAAAATCAAAAGTTCAAGGCCAGCCTGGGCTACATAGCAAGATCCTGTCTCAACCTTTCCCCATACCTGAAATTGTCTCCTGATAGTTGCTAGACCATATGCAAAAATTAATTCGTGGTGGATAAAAGATTTAAATGTGAAAGGAAAAACCCAAAAATCTTTTATAAGATAAAATGGGGCAATGTTTTTGTTATGTCAGGGTAGGGTGGGGTTTCTTAAAGAAAATATAAAATTGTAATATGAAAACAGTGAATTGTTTTATATTAAAGTTAAATGTGTATCATCAAAAACATCATTTAAGAAGTGAAAAGATAGGACTGGAGATGGGGTTCAAGTGGTAGAGTGCTTGCCTAGCAAGCACAAAGCCCTGAGTTCAAAACCCGATACTTCCCCTCTTCTCCCCCAAAAAAGAAAGAAAAGACTAACATATGCAATACATGGAGCCACTTTCTATGCTATTGCATGGAATGGAAAGAAACCTGTCCCTGTTGTAGTCACCATGAAGAGGCAGCGGTGGGAGATAGGGGATCAATAATCATCACAGTTGGTAATGAATTGTTTTAGAACCAATCTTATAATCAGTGCCGAGTAAATGCATCCTGCTGCCTTTTTTTGAGTGGGGTGGGGTAGGACTGGAGTCTGAACTCAGGGCTTCACCCTTGCAAAGGAAGCACCCTACCATTTGAGTCACACCTCCAGTCTATTTTGCTCTGGTTATTTTGGGGGTCTCATAAACTACTTGACTGAGCTGGCCTTGAACCGTTGATCCTCCTGGTCTCAGTCCTGCAAGTAGCTCAGATTACAGGTGTGAGCCACCAGCTTCAGCTTTTGCTGCTTACTAAAACAATCCATCACTAACTAAAAAACTAAAATACATTAGAAATATTGAAGAAAAAATGATGTAAACTGTTGATGTTTGATAGATATCCTTTCTCCTTTCACCAATACTCTGAATTCCTATTTCCTGGCCTGTCTAAAATTTCCATAGCACTTATTACCTTTTTTGCATACAATATGAATTATTCATTATATCTTTTGTCTGCAGCCTCCAGGGCAGATTGTTTTTATCGTTTCATTCACTGATGTATCTCTAGTACTGCTTATTGTCAGTGAGCATTAGCTGAATGAATGAATTTGCAAATATGAATTTGCATTTAAATCTTTTTCCAAGCAAAATAAGAACATTAGCACTCTCCTAATTCCTCTCCTCTCATTCTCTCTACTCTTCCTAGAATTTGAGTTCTCGATAGCTATGAACATTCTTATTTTACTGCCTAGCCATTTAAAAGAAGAGTATATTTCCCAAATTTCTTTGCCAAATAAAGCTTCTTGGAGATGACTTTGTTCTCTTGGATTCCTTTCTCTTTATCAGAATGTACTATTCCTTTTTTTCCTCCAGGGAGAATATATGGATGATAAATTTTCTGAGTCTTTGTGAATCTAAAAATATCTTTATTCATCCTACAATTTAATGATACTGTGGATAGGTATAGAATTCCAGGTTTAAAAGAAACTCCCTCATAACTTACAAGTTATTTCACAAAGTGCTGTGTTATAAAAATGTATTGTTCTATTGTAGTAATAATTATTATTGTATGGTTTTTCTCCTTATTGGCCGGTAGGACCTTTCAATGTGAGGTGTTACATTCTTTCTACAAACACTGTGAAACTTCTGTATGCTAGGCATTTTGTTAATCAATTAAAAAAAACTGAATTAGGAATGGAAAATGGTCCTCCTCAAGGAGCTTAGAGTGTAGTGGATGAGTCATACAAGTTTCTAAATAGTGGTGGTGCACTGAGGGCTGCGAAGTGGGAAGCATTAGGTATTGAGGGTATTGCTAGAGCACCTCACCAAGTCTGAGGACATGTTTAGGAATGATGTACCTTGCTTAGGGCTTAACTGGGTCTCAGAATACTGAGATTTGACTTTGTAGACAAAAGAAATACAATCTGCAGACATCAATCATTTCTAACTATGAGTTCCTGAACCATCATAAGGAAGAGTAGAGCCGCAAGAACCAAGGGTCCATTTGGCCACGCACAGCTTTCTTGTGTCTGCATTACATTTTTCATCAGGATAAGGTCAGAGACTTGACAACTTTTGAAAGTCTTTGTAGATTGGGAAAACTAGAGCTGAGAAGAACCCACAAAGAGGTTCCCAGGTTTTTCTCACATTTCCCCTTCCTTAATAGAAAGTCTATGTCAGTGCCCAGAAATAGATTCTACTAGAACATAAAGCAGTATTATGTTACTCAGCAGGCCACATCACCTAGGCCTAATGGTTACAGTCCATATCCTGGAAATAGTGGCTGAGTTTTAGCCATCTTTGTCTGTCCTGTACATCATGATGCTCTGTATATACATAAAAACAAAGTTTCTTTATGAGTTGAATCCTGGGGCAGCGGCAGAGGGTGCTTTCAATAGAGAGGCCTGGCCTATCTGGTTGGCACATTGTCTTTTTAATATATGTCCTCTGCTTTGCATCTTCTTTTATCACTTAAAAATTTCTGGGGTCAATCTCTACTAAAAAAGAGCCCTCTACATTCATAACTAAGTTCTGGGTTCCAGACACCAAGACTTGATTGCACAGACCAATGGGTGGTTGGTTTACTCTCCATCCTTCTGTCTCCATTGAGTTTTCCCTTTCTACCCTGACAGATTCATGAGGACACATACCACATGCAACAGGGCCTACAGGAGCGAGTGCAAAACTCCCACAGGATCAGAAAAGGTGAAGGCTCCATATACCTTCAGAGGGTACTGCGCCAGCAGCTGCAGCAGAAGCTGAAGCAGACAGAGACCTGGTTGCTACATCTGGGAAAGTTTGCCCGCCTGATCAACTACATGATTTGTCAGAACCTTGTTTCAGTCTTGGAAGATGAAATAACCTCTTTTGTGGCCAATATTCTCCAAGTGAGGTGGTGGGTAGAGGTGGCAAGGCAACCAAGGGAACAGATAGTGGAGCATGTTTACTGAAATCTAATCCTTCATCCTCTCCTGATCTTTCTTTTACAGGCCCCTAGACAGTGCCCTTTTCTCTTATCACAGCTGGTCTTTGATGATTGTGGCCAGCTATCTCCAGTGCCCTGTATTGAAAATATGATCCAGATTCTAACTGAGGGCCTACAGTCTATCAAGGTCTCTGCCTTGCAGGTATTTTGGATTAGGCAGGGGGCTGCCTATAGAAATTCCTAGTTCCTCTGTGTCTCAGCCTGGTCAGAATCTCTCATTTTTTCCCCATTTCTCCCCCTTGTCTGTATCCTGGCATGAAAGGTAATGCAGTCTGCAGAACAGAAGACCCGCAAAGAATCCCTGTTTTATGAAGGTATTTAAGGAGACCTACGTAGGGGTAGGAAGCCTAGAAAGAAGGGAAGAGTGCATGTAGAGTGTGAATGGCATGGGAAGTGGACAGCCCTAGAAGTCAGGCCTTGGTGTGGATGGAGAATCTCTAACCTATGTACTGCACATGTGTGTTGCAAGGTAGCAGCGTCAACAGGGGTATATCTTTGTTCATAATTCATGTGCTTATGTATATGTGTGTGTAGTGCAGGTGTGGTTCACTTAAAACTCAGTAAGGTTTTTCTTCAGTGTCATAGTTGCCATTTATTTACTATTGAGTTTGATTGCTAGTTAATTTGCACTTGTTTGAGAGCTCTCTGGCTCAATATTTGCTTTATTTTCATAGCTGCTTTTCATTTCACATAAAGTAATTCATTAGCATTGTTGAGATATCATGAACTATCAATCCCTAACTTTTTTTTTTTGTTTGGCTGTATTGGAGTTTGAACTCAGAGCCTTACACTTCCTGGGCAGGCACTCTACCACTTGAGCCACACATCTAGTCTAACCCTCAATTTGTTAATCATCATGGAGGAAACAAATCTTCATATTTCCTTTATGTATAGTACTGATGCTGTCACAAATAAAATCATTAAATGAATTCAGTCACATCCAACATGTAGATGCTTTTTTTGGGAGACGGAATCTGACTATGTAGCCCAGGCTGGCCTGAAACTGTGTATCCCAAACTTGGGATCCTCCTGCTTCAGCCTCCCGAGTGCTGGGATTGCAGACCTGTACTGCTGTGCTCAGCTTGACATGTAGGTACTTTGTAATTTTCCCATTTAACTAGTGTGTTTCGTTAAGATGAATGAAAGACAAAGTTAATTTTAGGAAACAGATGACAAGGAGGAAAAAGATTCATTAAAAGGAACCTGTATTTTTTTTAAATTGCATTTGATCCACTCTACCAGCCTTTAAACCACATTTTTTCCAAAAGTGAATTTCATTAATTGATGGAGACTATTGGTATTTATTTTAAATAGTGCTGTAGAAAGAGGAAAGACTCTGGAATCAGAAATATTAGTTTACTAATATTCACAGTGGAAATAACAAATATACCTAAGTTGAAGGATTGTTTTGAAGATCAGAAAAGGTAATGTGTCTAGGATAGTGCTCAGCACATAGTAAGTCAGGCTGTGGATCATATTTCCTTACTATTATTGGTATTAAAGACTTAGTTAAATTAGACTATTCACAACATTTTCTAGCTATATACTGCAGTAACTTCTTTTAAATTGTTTTTTAAAAAGCAAAAAAAAAAAAAAGAGAGAGAGAGAGAAAGAAACCTTGAGTTTTTATTCTAAATTCTAGTATAAGTGCAATGTCTTTAATGTTGTCCCTTCCAGTTATAAAAGAGCAGTATAGGTTGATATGTTTGGGTATGAAATGTTATAATGTTTCTTATTTTCAAGTAGTTTAGTGGAGAGAAAAGATAGAAGGAAAAACAAAGCAATGTGGCAAAACATTAACTGTCAAATCTAAGAGGATGGTTAAGTGAGTTCGTAGTACGTTCTTTAAACATTCTACAAAAGAAAAGGAGATCTGTAAAACCAGATCTGAAAAAAAAATAATATTGATATGGTTGAGGAATCAGAGCCAAAGTTGTGATTTAAAACTTTCCCTAAATTCTTTATGAAAAATAGAGTCATTTTCAATAAGGTAAATATGTAGGTAGCAGATAAAACCCTACTGTTTAAGAAACATACATCTACCTAAGAAACCTTTACTGAAAGGAGGCAAGATTTGTATGGCATTGAACTAAGTTCTAAAATGATTTCTAAACCTCTTTTCACACATAAAAATATGAAAAACTCACTTATGATAAAAACTTAATACTGACTAGATTCTAGTTGCTGAAAGAATACCCAATATGTTAATAGGGACATACCCTCTATTCTTAAACTGTGTTCTCCAACCTTTTCCACAAAACGACTCTTTTTTTGGTGGTACTGGGGTTTGAACTCAGGGTCTCACACTTGTTAGGCAGGCACTCTACCACTTGAGCCACTCCGCCAGCCCTGTTTTTGTGTTGGGTATTTTTGAGATAGTGTCTTGTGAACTATTTGTCCCAGCTGGCTTCAAACCACAATTTTCCCGATCTGTGACTTCTGAGTAGCTAAGATTATAGTTGTGAGCCTGGCTCCACAGAACATCTTGATGGAACCAGAAAAAGAGTATTAATATTACCCTTTAAGGTCCTTGTAGTCTTATCACAAATTTTCAAAACAAAATATAATCAGATAATCACTTTTCTCATCTGTCAAATGTCAAGTTCCAAAACTATTAACCTTAACATTTTCATATATTACCTTTAGTATGACGTATCCTAGTAAGATCTTCTGAATATCATTTTAAATAACAGTTTTATTCACATGCATTTGTTATAAGGGGGTTTCATTGAGACATTTTCACATATGCTTACAATGTACCTTGATGAAGTTCATCCTCACCATCCTTCTCTTTCACCCCCTTCCCTCAGCTTAAAATGATTTCTACAGGTTTCATTGTTCACCTTTCAAAGTATATAAAGTGTATGACCCATATTCACCCTCCTTTAACCTCTCCACTCATCTACTTCCACCGCCTAATAGGACCTGTTTTACATTCCGGTCCTTCATTTTTTAAGTGTTCATTGTTCAAAAGGGGTTTCACCGTAGTATTTCTCCTTTACCCTTTACCCTTACTCCCTCATGTGAATACCTTTTTAATATTTGTGATAAATTTGTTTACAATGAAAAGAAACCAAGGATTGCTTCATTTTATTATAAAATATTTTCTTTTTTTGAGACAAGGTTTTACTATGTAGCCAAGCTGGCCTTGAACTTGCAATCCTCCTGCATCAGCCTCCCAAGTACTAGGATTATAGGCACATACTACCCACCCAGCTTTTGTAAAATCTTTCAATATGAATTTGGTTGGGATGGTGTTGAAGTTAGCTTAGAGATACAATGCAAAGAATAAAAACCGTGATTACTGTTTTTGCCATGGAACTGCACATTGCACAAGGCTCTTTTGAGAGTGTACAATATGAGCAGTGTGACCAGGAAGAGGAAGTATAGAGGGAAGCAGTGTGGAAATGAGTAGACTTTAGATAAGGACGAATGAGATTTTTTTTCTTGTTGCTCTGTGAGAAACTTTGAAGATATGAAGAATTGTATAACTATGTTTGATAAGTTTTGCTCTGTGTAAAATGTCTGAGTCCCTAATTTAAGTAAACATACAGTAAAGATCTATATTATTTATGACTTTCAAAGTTGGATTGATATTTTAAGATGCAAACCCACATCAACTTATATGTATTATACCAATACAAAAATTTTAAAAACTGAAGCCCAAAATCTTTCAGAAATGACAGGTAATTTACATTTCTTTGTTTTAGTTGATATCTGGGTTCTTATTACAAGCAAACTTTGTTTCACTCTAACCTTGGGAATGAAGGTATTAGTGATTTCTCTTTTGCTTTGTTTTGTTGGGGTTTGTTTTTTGTGGGGGCTTGTTGGATTTTGTTTTGTTGGGGTATTCCTTTCCAAGTTATATTAGAAATAGACTAGGGTTTTTTTTTTCACTATTTGCAATCACACTTGAATTGCTTTGTTTAGCACTAAATTACCTAAGTACTCTCAGGGGTCTTGGCACCTTGAATCATTGTTCTTCAGCCTTGTCTTGTATTTTGGAGCTCATAGAACATAAAGTCACTTAATTAAAAGGCAGTAAAAAAGTAGCAGCATCACCTTTGACAGAAATTGGAATTAGAAAGTCAAGAAGACAGACCCTGTCTCTCAAATTGTTGCTTATCCTATATCTACTTTTCTCTGTGCATCTTTCCAATTCTTCTTGATTCTCAAGACCAGTTATCTCTACTTCCATTGGGTTTTCTGCTCCCTTGTAGCTACTATTTTCAAAGGACTTGAACTGTCTACGGTACCAGCCCCATCCTTTACTCTACACGATTTTTTTAAGCAAAGTTTTCCTGTATGTGTGTGATTGATTTAGTGAAGAAAAGTTAAGACAAAGAGTATAATTAATTCAGCCTTCCTATACATTGAAGCATATAATCCACAAATTATGGCAAGGGAAGGCATCATGGTGTATATAAATTATTTGCTAAGGGCAGGTCCTTTTAGAAGGGTGTGTGGTGAGAGAAGTTACAGTCCATAACTACACTTGTACTTGTTATGAATGTCTGTTATGTGGGACCAAATGGTTTTGGATTACATAATCCTAACTCAAAACTAGGTAAGTAAGAAGAAGAATCTGTTGATTCCCGTAAATAAGAAAGGAATGAATTCAGCTAGATTCAGCCACAGTGGCCTAAATAGAGAGTCTTGAGGTGAGTGCTTCCAGGGTTGATTCAGTGGCCCAAAATTGCTATCAGTTTATTATGTGTCAATCAAAAAATTAAAGTTAAAAATGCCACTAACTGCCAGACTGTATATCTTTCCCATACTCCTTCTTGCATTTAGCTACCAGTAAGAGCAGATCCTCTTAGAAGTGGGTGTGCAGTGGGGACACTGCAATCAAGTGTTACTGGCACTTAAAAAAAAATCTTCAGGCTTATTGGTCATAGTTGTGAGACAATCTCCTCCTCCTCATTCTTTTCTCCCTCCTTCTTCCTGCCTTGAACTCACAATCTTCCTGCCTTAGCCTCCTGAGTGCTGGGATTATAGGGACATACCACTGGCTAGCTTCCCATTCTTAAGCAAAATTAGGGAAAAAGAAGAGAAAAAGTTATCAAGAGAATTCTCTGTGTCTGACTCTCACTTTTTACCAGGAAAGGGAATCTTATCCAGAGATTTCCCCAGCAGAATCACTTTTAGATCTCCTTGTCAAAATCTAATTTGTTACTACCGTTATTTGTTTGTTTGCTTATTTATTTATTTAGGTGGTAGTGGGGTTTGAACTCAGGGCCTCATGCTTACTACGCAGCCACTCTACCACTTGAGCCACTCTGCCACTGGGAAATCAAGTGACTGACATTCTGAGTTCTTCTGGAAGGTGAACTCTGCCACCATGGAGAAAGGGAAAAGGGCCTAGCTATTGGGGGGGGGGCGGTCAACCAATATGCCTTCCAGAATTCCATTCTTTGATAGGCTCTCTCTACCTGGCAAGAAAGAGCACTAGCATTCTCTCTATAATTGTATCATACCATACTCTTTCTCTTCTAATCATTACATAACCTTAGTTCTCCAAGTAACAGCAGCAGCCAGCATTATGAATTGCTATCAACAAGTCTGCTGATAACCTAATTTTACTTCCACTATTCATATTTATTAACATATAGTCTCTACTAAAGGATTTGTTTTTAATGCATGAATTAATCAAGTTTCTTAAAGTTTCAGGTGAAATTCAGTAGAAGAAAATGTTTGCTGCACATTTACTGTATTTCAAGCACTATCATAGGCACTGTGGATTCATGTTCTATAAAGTTCAAAATTAAACTTCAAATAATTTATTATCTCCTTTGTACAGGAGGGACACCACTATGGTCATACAGCTTAATAGGTGTTAGAGGGGATATTTAAATCCTGGAAGTTTTTGTTCTAAAACCAGGACTCTTTTAATTATATCACCCAAAGAGGAAAATAAGATACTTCAACTTTTGCAGTGACAAACTTCTCATATTTTTTTTTCTTGAACCATCATGACAAGTAGCCTCATGCTGAAAATGTGGGGAGAAAGTTTGAGGGCTTCAGGACTGGACTGCACTGATTTTAATTACTGGCTATATGACATCTCCAGACTGTTGCTTCCTCATCTGTGAACAGATGATGATTCTTATCTTGGAGGGGTGCCACAAGGATTTAAGAGGATAATTAAGGTTTACATGGTTCCAGGAACACACAGATTGAAAAAGGTAAAGTTCAGAAATTTTAAGTAATTCAATTGGGGTCATATGAATAGAGAGTAGAGCTGCCTTCAAACTCACATCTTGCAGATGCCTTCAAACTAAGAAACCATAGACACTAATTAGTTTGTAAAACATGAATACATTACATAAACAGGTTGGATATTCATTGTAGCAAGATAATAGTCAAAAATTATAAAAGGAAGCAATATCTTTCAGAAAACTGAATAAGGTATAATACATATTACTTACATTTTACCTATCGATAGCATAGCAAAAGAAGAAAGGAAGTTTGGAAAGACATAACACGTTATAGTTTTCTTTTGTTAATCTAATTTTGTACCCATTTATTTTACATAATGAAGATATATTACTTTGATTTTTTAACCCAAAGAACATTGTCTTAAATAATTACAATCTTGAGTCTTGATTTCAGTTTTCTAAATAAACTTTTTATTTAAAATTTGTTCATTCTAAAAAATTAAAATGTTCTTAAATGTCAAAAAAAATCACTTCCTCTTTTTGCCTATTTTTTTCTCTTTCTTTGAAATCTAGTAATTTTAATAGGATGTGTTTTGGTATTGAATATTTTGGGGAAGGACTCTCAGATTTTTTTTTCAAAAACATAGTTTTAAATGTTTTTTTTCTTTCAGGACAGTTTACTTTCTATCTTTTTAAAGACAATTTACTGAGATATAATTCACATATCATACAATTGATCCATTTAAAACATACATTCCTGTGGCTTTTGATATGTTCACAGAATTATACAATCATCACCATAGTCAATTTTAAAACATTTTTATCAACCTCCCTCCCACCACCACCAAAATCCTCTGTAACCTTTAGTAATCATTCCCCGTTTCTCTCTTTTCAGTTGTTCATGTCAGAAAAATTAGCTTTTCTTAACTTTTTTAATGCCAGGTGCCAGTGGCTCATTCCTGTAATCCTAGCTACTCAAGAGGCAGAGATTAGGAAGATCACAGTTCAAAGCCAGCCCAGCCAAATAGTTTGTGAGACCATATCTTGAAAATACCCATCACAAAAAGGGCTGCAAGAGTGGCTCAAGGTGAAGGCCCTGAATTCAAGCTCCAGTACCACAAAAAAAAAAAAAAAGAAAGACTTGACTCAGACTAGTTTTCTAATATCTGTTTCCTTCTCTATTGTTTTATAGTGTTAAAAAGTGACACTAGCTTTCTGAGTTTTCCTGATTTTGTTTCCCTCCCCATTATTTGTCTGGGCCTTTTTTTTCTCCTGCTTCCATTCTGCTCAGTTTATATTATACTTCTAGCAGTTTCACCTTAATGTCAAGGGACAAGAGCTCATTGGGCATAGATTGTTTCAACTTCCACAGGCCTTACCTTACCAACTACTGGAGCAAGTTAAGCTCTTTCCAGTTTTACCTACTATTCTCAAATTGTTCCTCTGATTTCCAGAAAATGCTATTTGGCTGTTCTGGGGTTTCCCTGTTTTCAGATTTATCCAGTGCTTTGTTGTTCCTGTCTACTTCCTTCCTCATAAATGCTGATATGCCATGTAGGTCCTGAGGCTGTGGGTTGTGTGTCCCCTCTCGCTTATATGTTAGGATTTGAAGGATACCTTGTCTCTGTTTGTTAAAATATTGTACATGGGTTTTGGGGTTTACTCTCTAATTGCTCTGTCATTTTTATGTGGGGATTTGGGGAAGATTTCAGAACTTTGGCCACTGCCATCACCTTAGAATTACTTCTGGCATCATTAGTCTTGTCTTCTGTAGAACAGAAACTGTAAGATGTTGGAGACAAGAGCCAAAGCAAGAGAAAAGCTAGAAGGGTATTGCAATAATGCAGTGAAGAGATGATGGTGACTTGGTTGGGGTAAGGATAGCAGGTAAAGGTAGAAATGGGAAGGATTAGTTGGATTCTGGATAAATATTGAATGTAGAGTCCTCTTGTGTTAGACTTTTTTTGCTATTACAAATATCTGAGAAACTATTTCAAGGGAGGAAAGATTTACTTTGACTCATGATTTCAGAAGTTTTAGTATATGGTTCACTTGCTCCATTGCTAATGGTTTGTGGTGAGGCAGAACATCGCGGCAGCAGGAGCATGTGGTAGAGGAAGTTTCTCATCTTATAGCAGCCGTGAACAGAGCAAGTAACAGGAAAAGGCCAGGGTTAAGATATACCTTTTGAGAAAAACACGGGATGAACCAGTTCAGGTTATAATACATATATACATGGAAATGTCACAAGGAAACTCCCTGTATAAATAAACAAAAATATCTTTTTTTTCAGAAACAGAGAACAGGAAGGTATAACAGGTCCTGTCTGGAGGGTTGGTACCAGTGGGAAGGGGAGGATATAAGGAAAGGGTGTAGAAGGGTGAGGGTGGTGAAAATAGGATGAAAATGGAAAAATGAGACCTGTTGAAACTATTCCAGGAATAGAGGATAAGGAGAATGATAGAGGGGTGAATTCAACTATGATATATTGTAAGAACTTTTGTAAATGTCACAATGTACCCCCAGTACAACAATAATATGATAATAAAGAATAGAGGAGAAAAAAAGATATACCTTTTAAGGCACACCCCCAGCCACATGTAGTCCTGTGCACCAATATTCCCAGCACTCAAGAAGATCATGAGTTTGATGACAGCCTGAACTACATAGTGAAACCCTATCTCAAAAACCAAGTAAACAATAGCAACAAAAAAGACACACCCTTATCTCCTTTCCAACCAGATTTTATCTTCTGTATTTCCACTACTTCCCAATAGTCTGTTCATATTTTAACCCATCAATGGATTAAACCATTGTTTGGGTCAGAGCCTTCATAATCTAATCTTCTCTGAAAACATCCTCACAGATACACCCACATGTGACCTTTACTAAATCATAATGACAATAAAGATTATCACAAAACTGGATTTTGTGATGAGGGAAGCGTCAAAGATAGCTATAAAGATTTTGAGCACCTGGAAGAATGAAATTGCCATTTGCTGAAATTAGAAGACTGCAAGGAGAAAATTTTCTATGGGAGAAACAGAAATCTAAACTCATTGTTGGTTTTACTAAGTTTGAGTGCATGTTAGATATTCCAATAGAGATGTGGAATAGGCACTAATTTAAAAGGGTTTGAATTCAGAGAGAGACCTGGACTAGAAATAAATTTGGAGGCAGATACTTAAAAGCCATGAAGCTGGGTGAGCTCTAGAGAGTGAATACAGATAGAGAAGAACACCTGAGGTCTAAGCCTGGGGAGCACTTTCTAGTATGGGTACAGTAGATCTGTTGTCTGAACATTTTGTTGCTTTTCTGCCTATTTTGACAAACATTTTAGCACAAATATTGTTCTTGGCAATTAACTAGTTCCTAAAAAGTTAAGGGGGAAGCCAGGTTCCCTTCCTTAAGGCAGATACTGAGGACTGGCATGTTCAACATCCCTTCCAACATCATCCTGTGTCTGCACAGGAGAAAACACTACAAAGATATTCCCCAGACTCCCTTGAAGCTAGGTATCATCTGTAATTTGGGATCTGCCAATTATATCTATACAAGACTTCAGAATTAAGTTAGAATAAGAGGCAGGGCATATGCCATCCACTCTGGTGATTTTGTATAACAGAGGCAGTATGTTTATGTGTTTATGGTGTGAGTGACATCCCAATTTGCCAATCAACACAGAGCTCTAGATGCTTACCCTAGAAGGGTTCTGTTTTTTAATTCTCCTAATTATTTTGGAACCCACTTTAAATGTTATAATAATTCCTTTCCTGCTTATACAAGTAAAATGAATTCTATTTTCTATACTTGCAGTCTAACTAATAAATTTCATGAGTCTGGTGTACTGTGTTTATGATATAGATGTGTGTATAAATTCACTCGTGAGCAGGAAATGAGGGTGTGTGGGCATGAGTGGGGTATACACACTGAAGGTGGGGAAAAAGGTTGTATGTAGGCTGTGGAGGGCACTCATGAACAATTATGTCATATGTTCCACTAGAAGAAGACGATGAAGATGACTCAGACACAGAATTTCTGACACCCAAGTTCCAGGGCCAGCCCAGCGATGCTGTTCACATGTTCTGTGGCCCAAATGTAGGATTGGTGTTGCCCTGGAAGTCTCACACAGTTACTGATATCCTGGAGGTCCGTGGGCACCGGTTGCGGGGCCAATATTTGCCCCCTAATTATAACCATCTGCAGGAGGACTTGGAAAATAGCCTTCAAATCCAGCAGGCACTGACTATACAACAGGCACTGCTAGAGGTAAGAACAGAGGTTTAAGGAATGGACTACTGCCCACCAATTGCCATAATAGCCAATGCCTCTGCCTTAAGCACCTTGTCTACCCTTAGGGCATGCTCTGGGAGGTGCAGGAGTTCTGCAGGGAACATCACTGGATAACAGGCATTTATGAGTTCCTGCAAACCTGGGGGCCTCAGAAGCTGGAGGACATGAGAGGCTGTCCCATCAAAGACTATATAGTGCTGGTGAACCGCTTGAATGTTTGGCAGGCCCGTGTCTCCAATATGCCTGTTGAGTTGCTGACAAAAGGCAAGCTGCTTCTGCTGAGCTGCCATGAGATACACACAGAGTTGAGTAAGTGCTGCTTGTTGTCCCTCCTTTTCTTCTTCCTTCTTTCCATCTATTCACGTAACTGTCTTAGGCCAGTCCTGTTTAAACTTTTGGAGCCTTCCAAAGTCCCAGTTCCCAGCCCCTCCCTTTGCCATCAAAGGTATGATCACTAACAACAACCTCTCATTTTAGCTCCGCTCATTCCCTGTGTTCCTTATGAATCACGCTTCTGTTGCTTGACACTTTCTACTATTTTATAGTAGAAATGTATAGAAGTAATTCAAACCAAATACGTTAAAGAGAAAGCTTAGCCTGATGCCTGGGTTACTGAGCTCAGTTTTTTCACAGAAATTCTCAGGAATCTAGGGTGCCCCCTTCCCATATGTAGAAGAGTAAAAATTTATGCCACAATTTGCATGTGTAAAAATTTACTCTCTAACTGATCTTGTCCCACTCTGTAGTCCTAACTTCTCTGGATAGTGATAGAAAAGCATAACCTTCCCAATTAAAGAGAGCTCTTTTCATTTAAAGAAGCTAGTCTGGTCTAGTTCAGTCAGTTTTTGGTAATTGATTAGTTCAAAATTCATACCATAGTTCTGGGTTATTTTTATTTTCAAATGTCCTCTGCTCCCCTTTACTTCCCCAGGTGTCATCTGGCAGTATGGTGGGCCTCTGTGTTGTGTGGTCTTGTTTGCATAGAGTACAATACATCCTTGTGTGGTCTCAGCCCTCCTAACATTGATGCTTCTGGTGCTGTATCCTGGGCTTATGTAGTTGGGGTATATTCTCTTGGCCTACCTTTTCTGACTTAGCCCCACATTGGGTCTTACAGGCATGGCAGGTCCTTGGGGTTTTAGTGAATTCCTCATCAAGTCTGTCTTAGACTGGCCATCCCATAGCATTTACTTCAGGGTCCCTCACCCCCTCAACACAGAAACTCCATCAAGGCCTGCTGGTTACAACTCTCCATTACCTTTGGTGCCTGCTGGCATGTGGGAGCTTTGGAGGACTTGTAAGCATTAGATTTGGTTCTCTTCCTGCCATAATACATCACATCATGATATCTACTTCATATTAGCACAAGAACCCTCTGAAAGGTGGTCTCTTTCCAAAGTTCCATATAGAAAGTGGGACTCAAGAACATTCTATTCTCTGCTTTCTCCTCACCCCACCTCAGTTTCCCTCCTCTTGTAATGTCCTACCCCTACTAAGTCAAGTCAAGGGTTACCTTGTTGGTAACCCTAACAAATCTGATTTGCAACCTAGTATTATTTCCTGTTTGCTCTTTCTCCCTTCCAATGGGAAGTATTTCTCATGTTACTGTGTGCTAGCTCAGAGCCTCAGCTTAAGAACTGGTCTTGGAGAGTCTTATGGTGGGGTAGATCAGGAAGCCACTGATTTATTCTTTTAAGAAATAGGGAGGTTGTTCTAATCCATACCTAGGCCCCAAGGATGGCAATAACAAGTAGTATCTACTTCCTGCAGGACTATTGGATGTGTGACCATGAGTTCTGCTTTGTTTATGAAGGTAAGAGGCCTTATAACTGGGGCCCAGAAAGAGTTTGCTTGAATTTGCCTGCCTACCTGGTCCTCCCTGCCTTTGCTCCTCAACAGATGAATGCACAGGCCTCATTTGGTTTCTCACGGGCACTAAAACTCCTAACTCTTATGCTAGGAGCTTACACTGGCAAGGCAGAAACAGGGAAGTCCTGTGATCAGTCTGCTTTCTTTTTGGCCCTGTTTTGGGCAGGATTTGCTCTACCACTGCTCTCTTCCTTTTTTACTGCTCTGTGTTCTCTTTGTAATTTGTTACCTTCTTGATTCTTAGTCCAGGATCAACTGACCTCTTCAAAATAGCAGTTTGAGGGAAAGAATCCTGGCTGTTTTTCATTTGCTTTTGTGACTTAAGATCATTGAGCTTCAGTTTCTTTGTTTGTAACCTAGATAGGCTGATGTAGTCACTCAGAGTTATAGTAAAGATGATTAAATATTATTAGCAACACTTCTAGCATTGACTATGACTTATGGTAGGCACTTAATAAGTTTTTTTAATTTCATCTTATCCTCTTCTGTCTGCTTTCATCCTTCTTGATGGTCATATTTTATCTTTTTATCTATAACTCTGATCCTCTTTTCCCTGGGAACCCTTGAATAGTGAATAACATACTTATCCACTCTGGTGAGTTGGCCTCACTGGGTACTTGGAGTCATCCTTTACTCCTCCATCTACTTAAATCTACAACATCCAACCTATTGTCAAATCCATTCTGTTCTTCTGCCTTCGAAATGTTTCTTAAATCTGTTTTCTCATCCATCTCTAGCTCCCAATCCTAAGGAACCCTAATATTTTATCAAACTATTGCTCCTTTATGCCATAAGGTAGCGCTGTTGCACTTCTCTCTGCTTTCATCTGCCTGATGCTACTGGTTCAAAAGTGGCACCATTGCAATGATCTAACTACTGTTATGGATCAGAGAAATGTTTTGAAAAAGTATGAGTACACCTCCTGGTGTTCTGTTTAACATAGAGTGCCCCTTAACAGGCTCACTCTAGATAGGTTTTGCCAGTCTCTGTTTTTGGTGCCCAGTTCTTTTGATTTCTTTTTCCCAGGCTCTGAAAATGCCCTATAAAGTATGTCTCAATTACCTGTACTCCAAGTTCACTATTCCACTTTCCAGTTGCAGAGATGCTAATAGGAGGTAAGCTGGTTTACCTCTCACATCACACACACATTACATTACATGTGTATGTGTTTAACTATATATTATATACACATTTATGTTTATAACTTGAGATATAATGGAGTGAAGCCAGTTTGCCTGAGTTTGAATCCTTGCTCTACCACTGTTGATAAAGTGACTTAACCTCCTTGAGCCTCAGTTTGCTTATTTGTAAAATAAGTATAAATAGTAATATTTACTTCAAAGGGAATTCATGAGGATAAAAATCAGTTAATATAGTAAAGTACTTGAAATAATGTTTGCTATGTAGTAAGCACTCTGTACCTAATTTGGTGGCATACCATATTCCTATAATGTATTTTGATGTTCTGTACATATTTTAGTATCTCTGAAGTGAAGAAGTGTCTTATGATTCCTTAGATGGCATCATTTTTTCCTTTTTAGTGGAACATAAAGTAATGGTGCCTTTTACAATTAGTGGTATCTTAGAGTGACGAAGTGTCATGCGAGTATGACTCCTATCTTCTGAGACAATGAAGTTGTTTATATTACCCAGGGCAGTTTCCAGGATTATCTTTTAACCCCATATCCACATGAGCTTCTTTTCTTTCATCCTTAAAAACAAACTGAGCATCATAGTGCACATCTGTAATTCCAGTGCTTGGGTGGCAGAGGCAGGAGGATCACAAGTTTGAGGTCAGCCTGGTCTACATAGTGAGTTCAAGGTCACCCTGACAAGGCCAGCAAGACACTGTCTCAACAAAACAAAAACAAACACAGGTTACACCCTCTTCTCCTTGGTACCCCTTCTACTGGAAGAGAGACAGTACAACTGCAAAAGGAGAGCACTGAACAGGTACCTGCTATTTACAAACACGTCATTTCCATCCCCTTGGACACACTGAGCCACACAGAGCGTTAAAATTACTGTATACATTCAACTCCAATGTCCTCCTCTCTGAGGAAGCCTTTCTAAGCCTTCAGTATTCCACATTGAAGGCTCCTGGGCACTCAACTTGAAATTGTCAATTTATATATCTTTCTGTCTTGCTCATTCATTCAATCTTTTTTTGGGGGGGGTGATAGTAGGGATTTAACTCAAGGTCTCTCACTTGAATGCTGTACCATTTGAGTCATACCCTAGTCCTTTTTATTTTTAGTTATTTTTCAGAAAGGGCCTTGTGCTTTTTGCCTGGGACAGTCTTTGACCACAATCCTCCTGCCTTTGCCTCCCATGTAGCTGGGAATTCAGGTGTATACCACTAAGCCCAGCTTGCTTTTGAGATAGGGTATTACTAACTCTTTGCCTGGGCTGTCCTCAAACTGTAATCCTCTTATCTCCACCTTCCTAGTAGATGAGATTACAGGCATGAACTTCCATGCCCAGCCATTGTCCCACTCATTCTTGTCTACCAGGCACAAGTGCAAAGAAGATGGCCAGACACTGAGGAGGGGTGCAGTAAGCATTCAGTTAATTAGAGAATGAGTTAGTGATCTGTCCTCCCCATGAACCATCTCACACTCTAGAACTCTAGACCCACAGCACTCCCAGTGCTCCTTCTTTTTTTATGCATCCCCTAACACCTGACTCTCCTGTCTTCAGAATCCAAACTGGGCAACATGAGGAAGGACATTCTTGCACAGATACAGAATGAGTGCTGGAGCCGCAGTCAGCAACTAATGAAAGAACTCACAGGTTTCATGAAGGTCTTCCAAACCATCAACTCAGACATTCATGCCATTGCACAGTGCTCCCAGAAGGTGGGTTCTCCCCACTTCTCTGTCTTGGCTTATGCAGGACTCATCCTGCCCAGAGGCTTAGCACACATTCTGCAGGTCTCTGCTGAACTGCAATGGGGCTTGATGCTCTTAAACTATGTTCATAAAATGATCTTCCCTTACTAATTCTTGCCCTGGTCACATGAGGCTCAGTTTCTTCATGTCAGGAGAAGACCCTGATGTAATGAGGGAGGTAGTCTAGCTTTCAGAGACTTGGTTCTGTTCTCTGTGACAGTCAGTCTGATAGTGATATGTTGCCCTGTCTTTAGGGTAAGTTTGGGTGGATGAGAACTAGCATACCTTCAGAAATCTCAGTTTAGAGAGGGATCTAATCTCACATTGCCCTGATCCTAATTGGTTAAAAGGTTGCAGCTGTGTCTGGAGCCTCTACTACAGAAGGCAGGAGTGCCCCTTGGGGGTGGGCACAAAGAGGTGCACAGGTGTGGGGGTGCTGGTCTCATGCTGTAGCCTCTACAGTTGAACGAAGCCAATGAGCAGCATATCCAGCTGGAGATGCAAGTGGAATACATCCGATCACTCCATGAAGTCCTCCGAAACCACTTTGGCCTCTTTACTGCTGAGAATGAGGCGCTAGACATTTCGGTGAGAGAGCAATTCAAGGAGTCACCCATCCCTTCCAGTCCCCTCCTTTACTCCCACATATTCATTGACCTCTGCTTTCTCTCCAGCTTCTGGACATGTGGGAGGCATTTCAGTTTGAGAAAACCCAGGCCTCAGAGTTCCTGCTCAGCAAGCAGCATGCCATCGTGCCCAAGCTGCAGCAGCTGATGGCAGCAGCACTGTCAGAGCTGGAAGGCCTGCTTGAGAAGGCCCTGTCTGGTCCATTCATGGACCCTACAGAAGACCAGGGGACCATTGAGCACCAGCTCATCTCTCTGGAGCAGCAATTTGAGAACACAGTCAGCCACCTCTGTGAACTCCACGATGCCTATGCCACCTTCACTGGTACTGAGAATCCCAAACCCTTTTACCATGACCCTGTGATAGACCCTCCAGCTGAGAGAAGGGTTGGGACTCAGTGTCCCCTGTGACCCTAAGCAAGCCTCAGGAATCACATTCCTCCATTGGTCTTTTTTATTTTTTTAATGGTACTGAAATCAGTGCCTACACCTTGAGCCACCCTACTAGCTCTTTTTTGTGATGGGTTTTTTAGAGATAGGGTTTTGTAAACTATTTGCCCAGACTGGCATTGAAGCACAATCCTCCTGATCTCTGTCTCTTGAGTAGCTAGGATTATAGGCGTGCTACCAGTGCCCGGGTCATTGATCTCTTTTATAAACAAATATTGCGGGATAAACCAGTCATGGTGGGCGTACCTATAATTCCAGCTATGAGGGAGGCAGAGATGGGAGGAGTGCAGTTTGAAGACAAACCAGGCAAAGGTTAGCAAGGACCCTTTGTCAAAAACAAGCCAGATGACCGGGGGTGTGACTCAAGTGGTAGAGCACTTGCCTTGCAAGCATGAGGCCCTGAGTTCAAACCCCAGTGCTGCCAGTGTGTGTGTGTGTGTGTGTGTGTGTGTGTGTATGCATTACAGGATAAAACCTTCATATATTGGATATTTCAAATGTACTTAGCATAGGGATACAGGGGGCTCATAGTCTGGTAGGGAAAGCATATAGCTGAATATTTTATTAGAATGTGATGGGATCAAGATCCAAAATTCTATGCAGTAGAAATGTATGTCCTCGTTGTAGAACTTGGCCTTTGTGTAGCCCTGTACCAAGCAGCAGACCACAGATAAGAGTAGGTCTTGATGTTGCCACTGTCTCCAGTCAATGTAATTCAGTTTTTAAAAGCATACACACACATATCCTGTGTGTATACATGCTTATCCTCACATGTATATGCATGTAAGTGTATGTTTCTGTGTGTATACATGTATGTATTTCCTAGCTCTACTTGCTAAAGAGGACGAGAAGCAAAGATACTCTAGTAGCAAGCAGACACATTATGCTCATATTCTCATTTTTGATACTAAAAGGAACCAGGGATCCTCAGAGAAATGGATGATTTCAGGGATATAGTTGTAGATGTTAAAATGCACCTGAGGTGTCATTTTATACCAGAAAGTAAGGAAGTGGTAAATTAAAAAAGAAAAAGTAAGGAAAGCTTGTCAAAGGCTACAGAAGGGATGCCAACTGGCTGAATCTGGGACAATTTGAGCACCCAAGTAATATAGTAATAAATTCTAAACTACTGAAAAAAAACAGGAATTTATAATCCATAGTTATAATAAATAGATAAATAAATTAATAAGGGAGAAGTGTAGACTCAAGCTTATAGTAGAATGCCAAGAGTTTACTGGCAAAATGTGGAGAGAGGGCTGGAATGAGAATATCATTTTGCAAACATTATAGTAAATATTGGATCAGGCAAGAATCACCAACGGATGCCAAATCTGGAGCAAGTTTGATAAGGAGCAGAATATTTGCACAATTTCAGAGAGTCACTCCTAAAACTACCTACTAGTTGCAAAGGAAGAAAAATAAACAGTGTTAGTGGAGAAATTGGAGAACAATTTGACCAGGTGACCAAACATCACCAATGAAAAACATAAGGACATCATGTGCCTCCAGACATGGTATCTGGAGAAGGACACATATTCAGCGGTCCAACTAAGAATGAATAAAAATATCATGAAAAAAATCATAAAAATACAACATGAGGAACTTTCTATTAGCAAAAACAGAAGGAAAGGGGACTATGTGTAGTACTTCAAAATGTCTACATTACAAAAGCCAAAGAAAGGCTATATGGAAATGTTCCAGATTAAAAGAAACTAAAAAGACATGACAAATGCAGCACTTGATTCTAGACTGAATGCTGTGCTTGAGGGGAACCAATGTGATAGAGAACTTATTAACTGACAAAATTGGAATATGGCCAGTAGCAAGTATTGTAGCGATGTAATATATGAATTTGATAATTATGCTTTGATTATGTGAGAGAATGTCCCTATTCTGAGGAAATACATACTTGTATATTTGGGGTAAAGTTCTATGTTTTATATAACTTACCCTTAGATAGTTCAGGGGGAAAAAAGTTAAGCATTTGTAGCCAGGTGTGGTGGCTCATGCTTGCAATCCCAGCACTCAGAAAACAGAGGCAGGAGGATTGCAAACTCAAGGCCAGCCTAAGTTACACAACAAAACCCCATCTCAGAAAATGTGTGTGTTTGTGTGTGTATTCATATACCTATACACACAGAGCATGCAAACAAAATTATAAAGCAAATGGTTAAAATGTTCATAAAAGGTAAATCTAGATAAAAGGTAGATATTCATCTTACTATTTTTTTCTTACAACTTTAAAATTTTTGAAGTCATTTCCAAGTAAAACTTTCAAAAATGGAAATTACTGAATAGATACTGTAGGAAATGTTCATCAAAGGGTACTTACTCTTTGTGTGTGTGTGTGTGATGGTGCTAAGGATTGAATCCAGAACCTTTGCACGTGCTACGCAAGTGCTCTACTACTGAGCTACATCCCCAGCCCATGACATTTACTCTTAATCCCCAAATTTGTCTTATCTTTTCATGTGTTTGGAGATAATTATGTCTGCTCTTTCTTACAGACTAAGTTTTTTATTTGTCCAACATTTGATATTGAGACAAGTCCTATCAAAGATTCTGTATGTCTCCAGCTAGCACTTTTGAATTCAAAGAGAGATTAGAAGAGTTCAGATTTACTGTCATTTTATATTTGTCAGATCAGAGCTCTGATAACTTAGTAACTCTAAGACTCCTAATATTCTGAGATCTCCAGAATGGATTATGTTGCCCTGCACAAGATGCATGATTCCTGGCATGTGGGTGTAACTGCTGCTTTTTCTTCCATTCAAGAGAGTATGCTGGAATTCAAGTGAATGAGAATGATAATCTTATAGCAATAACCTTGACTATGACCTAACATTTTTAAGTATATCACAAGCTTCAGTACTATAATTATTATTATTGACAAATTACTTTTGGCACATATCTCACAACTGATTATAAATACTTGGTTAAGAGCTAAGGCAGTCTGTGAGACGAAAAGAGGGAAAAATTACCCGTAGTAATCACATAGGGAGTTTCACCATTTATCCTATGTGGTTCATTTTTTTTTCATATTTATCTGCCTGAATTTCCTTCGGGTGGAGAGTTTGTTCATTTATTCATTCAATACAAATTTCTTGAGTGCCTACTATGCAGCAACTTTGAGGTACATCAATGAACAAATGACAAAACACCTGACCTAATGGACCCAACATTCTCACTGGGAGAGAAAGACAATAAAAATAAACATAAAATATAACTAAATTATGCAGTATATTAGAAAGTGATAAGTGGTCTAGAAAAACAATATAACAGGGTGGGAGAGATTGAGAATACCAGAGAAGGATAGATAGGGGTAGGTAGATGGGATGGTTTGCATAGGACTCATTGCTAGTTGAGCAAGGACTTGGAACTGGTAAGGGTGTGAGCCCTGTGGTTTTCTGTGGGAGAAAGTGTTCCAGAAAGAATGAACTACAAGCCAAGTGCACTTAGCAGGAGGGAGCATGCCTGGTGTATCTGAGCAACAGCAGAGTTCAGTGTGGCTGGAATGGTGAGAGATGCAAACTAGTAAGAGGAGAACCCTTCCTTTTCACGGCCATGATGTTTCCCTAGGCATTCTTTCTTTGGAATCATGGCCCCTTAGATGGGTCGTACCTTCCACTGTTGAACTGCACAATCTACATATACCAATACCCCAACCACTTTCTGGATCCTCTGTTCTGTCAATATGGACTCTTAACTGACCTCAAATAGCCCGGGTTTCAGCCAGCCCTATCCCACAGGGGATGAGAGTCCTGTGCCCTTGCCAGTCTGTGGAACCCGACCTATTGTGCTGCAACAGCGCATCTGGCATTTGTACCGAGGCATCTCTGAGAACCTCAGCAAGTGGAAGTGCATGGCTTTTGGCAAGGTGCTGACACTCCTCTTTGGAGCCCTTCTGTGGGAATGGAGGATTGCAGGGCTGGGGCTGGGAGAAGGCCCCAAACTGACAGTGAGCCCTTCTCCTTACAGTTTAGCCTGTCTATGGCCCAGGAGAAGATAGATGGCTGGTTAACAGAGGCAGCACGGATGAGCACAGCCCTGGGGCTCCACAGCCCAGTGCTGCAACGCTGCATGCGCATGCTGGAAGACTTTCGCACTTACCTGCCCTTGCTCACCAAGCTGAGAAACCTCCAGATGCAGAACCTTAATTGCCAATCCCTCTTAAGGGGTGTGTTTGGTTAGAGTTAGAGGAGGGGTGTGTGGGGGGAAGGATATAGGGTTTAGAGCAATGCAACAACTTTGTTCTCTGCTGCTTCTGCTGGAAACCCCTTTTTTCCTTACTCTTTCCCACATGCCCTAAAGTCTTTTTCCCCTAAAGGGACAGAAGAAAATTCTAACCTCCCTCATTATCATGTAGAGTTCTCTCTGCTGATGGGCCCTGGACTGGTGCTTAACTCTGGGCTTTGAGTTGTGCTCTGGATCTTAGGTTCTAAGTTCTTGGTTCCATGTTGTACTCTGAGAGCTGCAGTCTAAGGTTTGACTTGGTCTCTGGGTTCTAGTCTTGGAGCTATTGGAAATGGGCTAGACTCTGCCACATATTGAGTGTTGTTCTGACTTGTCTCCTCTGCCTCCAGCATTAGGGCTCGACAGTCTCCAAAGTATGGAACTCCTAACACTGGGCCAACTGCTCACTTGTCCACTCCTGGAGTTTGCAGACCGAATCAACCAGGTGGGACCCACAGGAGGGAGGAAAGGATGTGGAATAAGCCCAGCAGTCCTTTGAGACATGGGGCAGTGAAGGTTGGCATATGGGTGAGTGAGGACTTGAGATTGCTGACCTGCACAGAGGGTTGGAACAGTCTCCCAAGTCTCTAGATGAGGATCTGATGGTTTCCCTAAGTTCCAGACTCTCACTTGCCACTTGGCTAAGTGCTCCCAAGTGAGTAAGGAAGTGAATACCAGCCCAAAGTTGTGGGCACACGGAATGACAGAAGTTCCCCATCATTAACCCTGTTCCAAAAAAGCACAAGCTGACTGAGGAATTGTCTGCTCAGCAGGAGCCTTGTGGGAGCCTGCTCAGCTGGAGAAGTGACCCTGGGCCTTCTGGTGGCCCAACTTTGAAGCCTGATGGTCTCCCTCTATCTGTGAGACCTCCACTCCCCTGAGCTTTGGCCCTTGAGGCTCTATCCTGACGCAATCCTCAAGTCAGCTTCAAGGCTATTCCCTGAGCCATTAGTCAGCCCTGGTTTCTGAGACATAGCTGTTTCAGGTCTGGCAACGTGATAAGGAGCAAATTCATGCCCAAGAGTGCCTACAGCAGCTGCAACGGCATTGGGAGGTGCGCCAGCTACGCCTGTTCAACTTCATCCTGCACGTACCCTATGAACCTCCAACCTCGGAGCGCTCCAAGAAGCAGGTGCTCCGCAGCCCTCAGTGGGAGGTAGTTGGCAAGGACAGTGGCACCTTCATCCTCTCAGGTGAGACTCAGCCCTTGTGACCCAGTGAATGATACTGGCTGGGGACTATTTTCATCTACCATATCCACCAAGCCCTGTCAGATCAGGTGCTTGTAGCCAGGACCTCATCCCACACTTTCTTAATCCCTAGGACCCACTCCCAACACCTTCCTCCCCCCACCCAATGTCTGGTTCCTTCATCAGAGGTCCTTCCTTTCTGGTGTCTTCAGAAATTTTTCCTGTTTATTTCTTTTCACCTTTCAATGCTCTGTCCTCAGGATTGCACCCTGCTGTCTTATTTTATGCCTATTCACTCATTCTTTCTTTCTTTCCCTCATTAAAACTCACCAATTTCCTCTGTGCCAAACATGAGAAACCCTGAGATTTACAGATAGCATCCCTATCCCTCAGAAATTCCCAGCCCAGTGATGGACAGACAATAATCTACAGCTAGATAAGTGCATGGTGGAAATAACCTTACTTAGGGCAGTAGAATCTCAGAGGAGACCAGCTCAAAGGACCAGGGATAATCGGAGAAGTATCTTCTCAGGCAGAGGACTCATGCGTAGGATGAGCATGTAGGGAACGGTACATGTATAAGCATCCAAGATGATATAATTGGGTAGTTGCCAGTACAGGAGACATTTTCTTATCCAAAATAATTGGAGCCCAGTTGGTGAATCCAAAAAGTTAGTAAATAAAGTAATCATAAAAATTATGTACACCTGGCTTAAGATTTTTATTTTAGCTTAAAACATACACATGTACATTTACTTACTAACTTTTTGTCCTAAGAACAAGAGCTTCCCTTTGATTTGGGGTCCACTGATTGTTCCTTACTGCCTTTCATGAATCAATGCATTGTCTACAAGTTCTACTTTCTCTTCTGTAAACCTGATTAGCACAGTCAGTATATTTTATGATAGAAATGGGGAACATCCACTAAAAGTTTCTAATTCACTGGAGCTGCAGTCCAAAGAATACTGGAAGAGGAAATGGGCCATGAAGCTGGAGAGGTCATATCATGCAAAGTTTTGTGGGTCTTATTAAGAATTTACTTAATAACATGTAAATTATGGAGAAGTGCTTTTTGTGGGGAAGTGACATGGTCAGATTTTAGTTTAATGAGGAGAATTGGTTGAAGGGAAGTAACGAATGCAGACTGGAAGGTCAGCTAAGAGACAATTGGTATATCCCAAGTGAAAAGTAATAATGGCCTAGATTAGGATGGTAGCAATGGAGAAAGAGGAAAGTGGATATACTTGAGCTACATATGAGTCCAACTGGGCAAGATGTGTAACTGGTCCAACTTCAGTATGAAAGAGAATACATATCTTTTCTATCCTTCATGGATGGTCCTTATCTCTCAAACTCTATCCTTATTATCCCTCCATGCCCAGTATTTGATTATGAATGTCTTCCTCAGCTATTAGAAGCACATTGACAAATAGTACCTAGACCCCCCTGGTTCATAACTCTCTTACTAGGAACTCATAAATTTTGGTGTTGACTGATAGATATTAAGACTGGATTTCCACTGTTAATACTTGCACCAAAAAGAACTGGAGGTGTAGCTCAAGTGGTAGAGTGCCTACCTGGTAAGCATGTATCCCCCCCACCCCACCAAATAAAGATAATTGAATTTTTTTTTTAAATGCTTGCACCAAGACTCAAAGGGCATTCTCTTCTCACTTTTGACTTTAGCACATTTTATGCTGATCTTTTTGTCCATCTTTGATCTTGGTTCCACACTTGCAGATGTGCTTCTACTTGGTCTCTACTACTTTTCTGCATCGTCCTTAGATCACTCTGCTACCAAAAGTAATTTTAAAAAATTATAATGCAGAGTACAGTTGTCAGTGGTCTTGGTCTTGAGTTGCCTCATAACTTGAGATACCAGGTTGAGTCTTCCTACCCTTTACTTGAGCTCAAAGTCCTTCCTCCACCTTTGCTCCTTCTTTGTTTTCCCTTTTGTACCTAAGCTGGCATTTGAACCAAGCTCTTGTGTGGTTGATAGTTCTCCCTGCAGGTTCTCTCCTTTCTTTGTACCAGACTTCCTTTTCCCATCAATTTTAGGTGTGTTAATTAAGGACTACATTTTGGGATGGTAACACACCACAAAGTTAGTGACTTCATTCACTCAAATGAGCCCAAGATGTCCTAGGAAGGCAAGTTGTTGCAGGGTTAGGAATACCTACTAATCATTAATTCTCCCTTTTAGATTCTTAACAAGATGAAAACAAGGAGATACATGAAGAGGAAAGTAAAATACCCAAACTATTATCCGCCCCCTCCCAAGAAATTGTGTGTTTTTTATATAGTGTGCTGACTGACACAGCTTGGATCTAAGTTGAGATATAACATAACCTCTTCATAACCTTCCCAAAATCAGTTGAGAATTTTAAGACTACGTGGGTATGTAGAGGAAACTTGACATAGATGCTCCCAGGTAGCTGTATGGATTGTGACCTCTTTCATATACATTAGAGCACAAGAGAGATGGGCTTTTTTGCCTCCCCGCATGGGGAGGAATGTGTGAAAGGAAGAGACAGAGGAGCTAAAATTATTATTTCAATACTGTTTTCTCTAGTGTGTAGAGTAGAAATTCTTTCACTCTGAGAGCTGGATCCTCAGTGCTGTCTCCCAACAGGGGTATTTGGAGAATCTCACATCTGTCTGAACCAAGCTTCTCTCCCAGTTCTTCTCCTATGGTCTAGAGGTATAGCTGAAATGGTAGAGCAAGGTCCTGAGCTCAATCCCCAGTAACAATCCTCCAAAAAGGTTTTCAGTTACTCTCCTATTTTCACCCTAGTTCATATCCCTACCTTACTCCCAGCCCAAATCTTACACGAAATGAGCCAAGTGGTAGGACCATGAGAGAAAATTTTGGTCTCAGCTTTTCTAGCAGGATCTCTTTCATCCCATAATTGGGAATTCTTGCTATAGAAACATTTATGTAGGAACCTGGAACCATTGAACCCTCTTTCCAGGATGAAAGCTATAGTTCTTCAGCGGACTTCCATGGAACTAAATGGTTACTGATACTTAGACAGGAAAATCAACTGACCTGCAGTGTCTGAGGGCACTGGCAGAGTTTCTTTTCTCCCTTTTTTTGAGACTGTAGTGTTCCACTTGACCTATTATATTGACAAATACAATCAATGAAGATAAGAAGGACATCAAATTCTCTGTAATTGCCTCCCCAAAAGGTCACACTGGTCTTTTCTGCCATAGTCTGCCCTTGCCCCACAGAATGATGCCAACTCAGCCGAGCTCTGACTAACAGCTCAGCCTTTTCTTCTTTAGACTACAGCAGCCTACAAAATTCCATCCAGGACAGTCTTCAGGCATTGTTCAAGATCCTGGCCATCCAAAAGTCAGGAGACCTTCACAAAATAGCTTTGGAGTGGGTGACCATCATGCATGGCTTGGGTGAGTGCAGGCCTCTGGCTGGGATGATGGCTGGGACTTGGCCCGGGGGGGGGGGGTGAGAGGTGGAAGTTGGATGGGCAAAGATCTGAAAGGCTGAGTAAAGACCCCTTTCTGGGCTCTTTCTTGGCATGAAGTGATCAGGTCTTTATTTACAGTGATGGTTCCCTTTTCCCTAACAAGATCCCTGGGTCCTGCTGATCAGAGTATTTTTGTTGGGATGGTGGGGTACCCAAGAGGTCAGGAGCAGGCTGGACCCCCTTGCAGAAGCTAGAACCCTAGTGTCTCCTTCTAATATTCTTCTGACTGTTTACACAGGTGCCCTGCTGGAGGTGTGGGTGATTTTCCAGCAGAAGTGGATTTTTCTGAATAAAGTTCTTTATGAGATGAAGATTCAGTTTCCTAGTGCTGACCTGGTAGGAGTTGGGGCAGAGATGGCCAAGGGCTCCTGAATAGCAGGGCTCAGGGAGGGAAGTGATAATTGCCACTTCACATTAGTCCTTACTTTTATCCTCTCCCTCACCACAGAATGCTCGTTTCAAGGCCATGGATGATCAGTATCGAACCCTGATGCGCATCTCTTTAGCCGACCCCTTGGTTCTGTCACTTATAGTGCCCAATGCCAAGAGGAGCCCTTACTTACAAGGCCAGCAGCTACAACAACTGCTGCAAGCAGGATCAATGGAGCTGGAAGGAATCATCATAGCTCTGGAGGATGTGCTGTATGGGGTACGTGCCCACTTCCCCCGCCTCTTCTTCCTCAGTAACAGTGAGCTGGTAGCCCTGCTTGCTGCTCCTCTAGAGCCATGTGAAGCCCAGCTATGGCTACACCGCTGCTTTCCTCATGTACGTTCTGTGAGCTTCAAATCCAGCCCATCTGATGAGAAAAACATGCCTGACTGGGAGTCAAGCTCAAGTAGACAGTCTCATGTGGAAGCACTTGCTGTGCTAGGGGCAGGTGGAGAGGAGGTGAGGCTACAGGAGCCCCTTCTTCTGTATCCAGATCTCCCCAAGTGGCTGGCCTCTCTGGAGAAGTGTCTGCGCTTGACACTGGTGCACCTGCTACAGGATTGTGTGGCTTCCCGCCTTGCTCTGGGCCCATTTCTGTGTGAGGCCTTTCAGAATCTGCCTCAGCAAAGCCAGTTGCCCCTGCAAAATGTCCTGAAGTGGCTAGATTTAATCCATGCCTTTCCATGGCAATGTGTACTGGTAGCAGAGGAGGTGGTGTGGTGGGCTGAAATGGAGGAGGCTCTGCTTAAGTCGGGGGCCTTGGCCATGACCCATACACATGTACACAAAGTAGAGGTACTGGTTCAATTAATGAGAACCCAGAGGAGCATCCAAGGTAAGCAGCCCCTGCCCTCTGTCCGCCAGGCCAGCCTGCTCAGTGCCCTGCTGGTCATGGCAGTGACTCAGCGGGATATAGCACAGTTGCTGGAGAAGCACCAGGTCAGTGATGTGACAGATTTCCATTGGGCCCGGCAACTCAAGTATCACTTGGGTTCACCTCACTTGATCCCCAACAGCCCCCTGCAGAGTCTTAAGACTATTACATCTACTGAGCCCTCTCTGTCACCAGTTGCATGCTGGATAGATGTGCTGGGCCGGTCTGTCCTATATAATTATGAGTATCTGGGTCCCAGACTGGGGTCTCTACCTGGTCTGTTGCCTGAGCGCCCAGTGTTGGCTCTGTTATTGGCCTTGGAGGAGGTAGCCTGTGGGACCCTAGTGGGCCCTGATGGTGTGGGCAAGACAGAAATGGTGAATAGCCTGGCACGGGCCCTGGGCCGCCAGATGGTGATGATACCCTGCTTGTCTCAGATAGAGGCCCAATGCCTGAGTAGCTACCTGAACGGTGCCCTTCAGAGTGGTGCTTGGCTACTGTTGGAGGCAGTTCACCGCCTGCCTCCTGGCTTGCTCTCTGCCCTGGGCCAGCGCCTAGCTGAACTGCACCTCCTTTATGCCCCACTGTGCCAGGAGGCCTTCCGAAGGATCAGCACCATAGACCCCACTGAGCCCCAGCTCCTTGGCAGTGGCTTCTTTGAGAAGCATCATGTGTGCATGCGCCTTGGCTATGGCTGTCTCCTGACAATGCGTGCATTGAGCCCCACTGTGCCTGCCAATCTGCACCTGCTACTAAGGCCTGTGGCGTTGGCACTGCCTGACTTAAAGCGAGTAGCAGAACTGACTTTGCTGGGTGCAGGGGTGCAGGAAGCCTCCCACATGGCTACTTGTCTATCCAAATTCTTTTCCCTAGAGCTTGAGCTGCATCTGGGCCCCTGCCCTGCCGATTGCCACTGCTCAAGCAAATACTGGAAGATACAATACAGACACTAAATGTGACCACAGAGGAATTCCAGTCCCAGCAGTCCCATAACTTTGCTGCCATGGAGGAGGCTGCTCTACTGCGTGCTCTGCTGCATTCACCACTGTTCAACACCCTTGATGGGCTCCGCCTCCAAAACCTCCAAGAGCTGCTCTGTGAGATTTTCCCTAGTGCTAGGCAGCTGCTGGCGGAACCTATGATCCACAAGCTGGTGAAGATGATAGTGGTGGAAGAAATGCAGCAGATAGGCCTGCTTCCCAGTCCTGACATGTTGAGGTCCTTGGAACAGCTCAGTCAGGCCCTGAGCCGATCCTCTGGCATTTTACTCCTGGGCCCTGCAGGCAGCGGCAAGACTACTTGTTGGCACAGCTTATTTAAGATTCAGAATCGGCTGGCAGCCATGGAAAACACCTCAACCTATGGCTGCCAACCTGTGGAGATTACTCACCTATACCCCAGTGTGCTCAACTCGCAAGAGTTCCTAGGATGGCTAGAGGGTCCCTGTTGGCACCATGGCATCTTTCCCAGGCTACTTCGTGCAACTCCTCAGTGTAACAGCATGGGCCCAAAAGAGCAGACAAAACAATCAATGGGGATCCAGCACTGGATAGTATGTGATGGGGCCTCTAGTGCTGCGTGGCTGGACTCCATCACTTGCCTCCTGAGTAACCCCCCACAGCTTAGCCTTCCTAATGGTCAACAGATAGCACGGCCCCCGGATACCTTTTTCTTAATGGAGTTGGCAGATGCAACAGGCATGTCCCCCACAGTGGTGGGCCAGTGTACGCTAGTCTGGCGTGGTGGGGAGCAGACTTGGCAGAGTATGCTTAGCATCTTGATGGCATCCCTGCCCCATGATTACCGCCTGCAGCTCCAGACAGTCACTGAGCTCAACCGCCTGGCTGAAGTTCTGGTGCCTGCGACATTCCGATTTTTTACCCACAAGGATTTCAGTTCTCTGCTGCAGGTACATGGGCAGAGGGCTGTTTGCCCAGGTGTGGCTGAAGTCACCAGCTTGGCACGTATCCTGCGTAGCCTGCTTGACCCGCATCTGCGCCTGTATGAGGAGGAGAAGGTACCTGACCCAGGTAGGAAAATGGAAGGGCTGTTTTTTAAGAGACATGAAGACTTGAGGGGAGCCGGGATATGCCTGAACCCAGAAACAGGGGTCCTTTGATGTTGGTGGAGTTGGGCCAGGGAACTGAAAGTGAAGAGAAGTGATATGGTCAACTTTTACCCATCCCTCTGCCCTTCACTTTTTTCTTCTGGGGCCCCTATTCTGGCCATGGTGATGATTGCAGAAGACCTCAATGAACCTGTGGCCCAAAGCTTCAAGTCTTCAAAAAGCAGCTCTCTAAACTGGTCCCAGGTTGACAGTGACGATGCGCCAAATAAACATAGGGAGCATTTGCTAGCTATCAGCAGCTTTCTTTTTGCCCTAATCTGGGGTTTTGGAGCCCACCTTCCCTCCAGGTACCTTCAGGGAGAAGATATAGGTGATGCAGAGGGCAGGTGGACTAGCCCATGGGAGTTAAAATGCATGTGATATCACCACGGGGATATGGTGGAGTGTGTGAGTGTGTTACAGATGAAACTGTTATAAATGTCTGATGGTTACTTACATGTGCATTTGAGCAGGCTCTGGCCCCTCTTTGACACCTTCATGAGGAGTTCTATTAGTTGCCTCTCCAACTACCCTGAGCCACCACCCTCAGCCTTGGTATTTGATCTACACGTAAATCCTGAAGATGGGACACTGGTCCCCTTCACTGGCCAATACCTGAGCAGCCGTATCAAGGAAACTCTGGGAAATTTCTACCCTTCTACCCAGGTATGAGGACAGTGGGAAAATAGCTAAGGTTGGGATTTAAGGAGCCTATGCTAGGGAGTAGCCCATGTTTAAGGCCCAGCGGAGGCCTTAATATGTTTGCTATGTTTCACCATCACAAAAATATATGGTATGTTCTCTAAGTATAGCTTTAAAACAAGTCCCCTAGACCTATATTTTTATTTAGATGATTGTCTTACCCTGGAGATGCCACAGTAAGCCCTGCTCCTGTCCTGCAGACTGAACGGCTCTTGTATGTGGTGGACCTGCTTCTGTCAAGGGGACAGCCAGTGCTGCTAGCTGGAGAGGCAGCTACAGGGAAGTCAACCTTCGTGGAGGTGCTAGTGGAGCCAAATCACCCTTATATATACATCCCTATCCACCCTGCCTTCAGTTCTACCCACCTTCGCCTCCTCTTAAGCAGAGCGGTCCAAGGCCAAGCACAAGCCAAACCATGGCCTGGAAATAACCAGGATTCCTAAAGACTCCTTCCTTTTTGTGCTGGAAGATCTGCACCTGGCTACTTCTGGTGAGTTGCTGGGAGAAGGGAAAGAAGGAACTATTGTCATTTTATGAGATTATAAAATCCATAGCAATGTTTATTGACTCTTACATATATATGTAGAGATCAGACTTCAGTGTTCTAGTCTTAATTTCTCTTCATTCTACATATATTCCCTGAGCAATCCCATCTACTCTGATGGCCTCATCCAGTGTCACTTTCCTTTGACTGATAAATCTCTATGTCTAACCCAGAATTATCTTCAAAACACAGACATGTTTATCCAACTATTTAATGTAACTTTCTACCTTGTTGTCCCATTGGCACCTCAGACATAACCATGAGTTCATCATCTTACACAAGCACACACACAAACACACACAAATTTGCTTCCAGGTGTTTTCTTAGTAACTAGTACCACCATCCAACCCGTCACTTAAGCCAGAACTCTTGTTGATATTTTCTCAACCAATGTCTAGTTACCATGTCTTTCAATTCTGCCCCCTAAATATCCCTTGAATCTTTCTACTTATTTCATGGTTCACACAATCATTATCTGGAATTTTGCCAAATGCTCTTGCAAAGCTCTTTGTGACAAGGCTTTCTTGAAACTCTAGCCTCTTACACTTTTATGCTCTAACTGGTCTCAATAAGTCAGACAGTAATCCTGTAGCCTCTGGGATTACTGTCTTCTGCCTTTTCTCCTCTGTTTATCTGGCTAAATCTTACTTACTTTTTCCAAATCGTCAAAAGCAATAGTACCTCCAAGAAGCTTGGGGCTCCATCCTATGCTACAGACAATAATCTGTAACAACCATGACTTTATGGTTGTATGCTCTTGTTAATTCATCCCTTTTACCACATTCTGAACTTCATGAGAATAGAACCTCACGCAGTTTGGAAGACCCAACAAGAGGTAAGTGTTCAATAAGAGTTTATAAAAAAAAATCTAACAAAGAGCAGGAGAAGAGTTGTGATGAAAGTCCAGGACGTTAAGTTTCTAGAGTGTTGTACCTCCATATGGTTAGAGCTTCTACATGTGACCATTGGGATAAGTAGAATTAAAGTATAAGTAGAGATTGATAGTGGCAAGGAAAGTAGTGAACTAAAGCATTGGATGGGCTATCCAAACACTGAAGTTTTTATCAGATGTAGAAAACCTGAGCCAGATAAGCTGGTATTTAAAAATAATACCAGGTACAATTTATTGAGTACTATGTGTTATTTGCTTTATGTCAACTTTAGTGTTTGTAAGATGGAGATTTTTTTTATGAGTAAAGATGAAGAAACTGAGATAAATTTCATAACTTCTCCCAGATATCCTAGCTATTATGTATCAGAATCAATATTAAAATTCAAGTCAGTCTGGTTCAAAAACCTATAGTCTTTTTTTAAAACCCATTTATTTATTTATCATTTGTAGTACTAGGCTTACACTCAGAGTCTCATGCTTGCTAGGCAGACGCTCTACCACTTGAGCCACCCTGCCAGCCCCCAAACCTGTAATTCTTTCCAACTATATTATTTAACTTTTGGAATTAATTTGCATAAGTAATTAGTGTGACCATGGAAAATAGAAGGAGGGGGGTGGTAAAAGATGAACTGAACTTTGAGTTCACAGAAGTGGTACAGGGAATTCTGTGAAGAGATTTCAGCTGAGAAGAGATTTCAACAGGAGAGTTGAAAACATTGCAAGCAGCATTGTAGAGTGAAGCATATTACAGCTGATAGAGTTATGTGACAGCAACCAAAACAGCTAGTATAAAATTTAAAGAATGAGTAAAACATTTTTTAAATAGAAAAATGTGATTCATTATCAAGAAGAAGCAGTCAACAGAGACTGACTCTGAGATGGTGTACAGCTTGGATTCAGCAAACAAATGCTTTAAAGCAGCAATTATGAAGGTATTTAAGTACTTAAAGGATGTATGATCTTAGTGAGTGAAGAGAATCGCAACAGTGAAATTGAAACCTCTGAAGAGTACTAAAAAGAGTCTTGGACCTAAAAAAGCATAATAAATGAAATGAAAAGTTTCCTGGATGGGCTCAATAGCAGATTGGAGATGGCAAAAGAGTTAGTAAACACACTGAAGAATATAAAAATATTGACTATGAGTAAAGCTTCACTCTAACACACATATATGTACATATACAATCAGTCTAAGAGAAGTGAGTGCTAAAAATATGTTTGAAGAAATAATGACTAAAAATTCCTTTAAAATATTGACTTTCAGATATAAAAATCTCAGCTACCCCAAAGCAGAATAAGAAAAAGAAAGTCACAGCTAGACACATCATAGTCAAAATGGCTAAAAACCAAGGAAAGAAAAAAGTGGTCAGAGGAAAAAAGACCCAATTTATAGATAAAGGACAAACATTAAGAATGATGTTTAGCTTCTCACTAGAAAAAAAATGGATTCTAGATGATGGTGGGACAGCATCTCTAACACTTGTCAGCCTAAAATTCTTTTTCTAGCAAAGATATCCTTCACAGATGAGGGTGAAAGAAAATATTTCAGACACCTGCATGTTGAGAGAGTTCATTGCTGCTAGAACTTAAGTACAAGTAATGCTAAAAACTACTCTTCAGGCAGAAGGGAAATAATAGCAGATGGAAACCAGATCTACGGAAAAGTATGAAGGGCATCAAAAATAGTATGAATGTGTCACATATAACTATCTTTTCTCCCTGTACTTTCCTTAAAAGACAGTTAATAGTTTAAAATAAAAATAATAACATTGTTAGAAGAGTTGGTAATGTAATAGAAGTAAAAGAGACAGTAAAAGGATGAAGTGGGGAAATAAGTGAACTGAATTATACTGTCTCTCATTTCTTATATTTGTGAAATGGAGAGTGTTAAGTATGAAGTAAGAAGGGTGAAATAAGAAATGGGAAAGGTCAGGTATGAAGTGTGAAGTAGTTCAATATTATTTCTAATACTGGTAATTTAAGGGAGATATCATTAACTGTAGAAAAATTACTAAATGATATTAATAATAATAAAGAGTGTAGCAAAGGCTGGATATGGTGGTGCATGCCTTTGTTCCAAGCATCAGAAGACTGAGGCAGGAGGATCTCTTGAGTCCAAGAGTTCAAGGCTAGTCTGGACAATACAGTGAGACCTTCATCTCGAAACTTTCTTTTAAAAAAAGAATATAGCTTAAGAACCAATAAATACAATGTGATAATAAAATATTTAAGTTAGCAAAAGGAAGTAATAAAGCTAGAGAGGAATAATAAAAGAAACAAGGGCAGGAGGTATGACTCAAATGATAAAGCACTTGCCTAGCAAGCTCAAGCCCTGAATTCAAACCTCAGCAACACCCCAAAAAAGAAGGAAAAAAAAACCCCAAATAACTGGGCACTGATGGCTCATGACTATAATCCTAGCCACTCAGGAGACAGAGATCAGGAGGGTTACAGTTTGAAGCCAGCCTTGGGCAAATAGTTCTTGAGGCTCTATCTTGAAAAACAGCCATCACAATAAAGGGCTGGCGGAATGCCTCAAGCAGTGAGAGTGCCTGTCTAGCAAGTGTGAGCCCCTGAGTCCAAACCTCAGTGCTGTCAAAAGAAAAGGAGAACAAGTAACAATATGATAGATATAAACCAGGCATATCAATAAGTGCATTAAATGTAAATAGACTAAGCACTCCAAATAAAAAGCCAACAACATTGTCAGACTAGCTGAAAAAAAATCAGACAAGCTGAATGTTGTCTAAGAGATGTGCTTTTGTGGGTTGTGGGCATGGTTCCAGTGGTAGAGTGCCTGCCTAGCAAATGTGAGGCCCTGTGTTCAAACACCAGTACTGCTAAAAAGACATGCACTTCTCTTTTTTGTGTGTGGTTCTGGGATTTGAACTCAGGGCCTACACCTTGAGCTACTCCACCAGCCCTTTTTCATGAAGGGTTTTTGCGAGATAGGGTCTTATGGTGCTATTTGCCTGGGCTGGCTTTAAACCACAATCCTCCTGATCTCTGCCTCCTGAGTAGCTAGGATTACAGGCACGAGCCACTGGCAACCAGCACCCTTTTTTTTTTCTATTTTATTAGCATATACTAACTTTATAACATAATGGGTTTCATTATGACATTTCCATACATGTATATAATGTACTTTGATCTATTACCCTTTCTTATTTTAAAATTTCAGCTTAAGATTCCAGAAGAAGGGACAGGATATAGGTGGCTCATGCCTGTAATCCTAGCTACTGAGGAGGGTAGAGATCAGGAGGATCCATTAGAAGCCATCCCCCAGCAAATTGTTCAGGAGATCCTATCTCAAAAAAAAACATCACAAAAAAGGGTTGGCAGGGTGACTCAAGTGGTAAGAGAGGCTGCCTAGCAAGTGTGAGGCCCTGAGTTCAAACCCCAGTGCTTCCAAAAATAAATAATAAAATTTTTAAAAAGAATCTAGAAAAAAAAGAACAAGTTTAAACCCAAAACAATTAGAAGAAAATAAATAATAAGATGAACAGAAATCAATGAAATAGAAAAATAAATTATAGAGAATTTCAACGAAGCCATAATTTTTTTTTTAAAATGGTGAAGATGAAAATTGAATCTACTAAATCTACTACTGAAACCTACTGAAGCCAGGTGTGGGGACACATGCCTATAATGCTAGCACTTCAGAGGGCGAGGCAGGAGGATTGCAAACTTAAGGCCAGCCTTGACTACATAGTAAGACCCTGCGTGAAAAAAACAAAACCAAAGCCAGGTGCCAATGACCCATGCCTGTAATACTAACCATTTGAGAGGGTGAGATCAGCAGAACCATAATTTGGAGCTAGCCAGGGAAGGAAGAGGAAGTAGGAGACTCCATCTCAACCAATAGCTAGACTCAGTAGCATGCACCTGTCATCCCAAGCTTCTCAGGGAGGTTGAGGTAGGAGGACCTCGGCTCCAGGTCAGCCCTGGCCAAAAAAAAAATTTTTCTGAGGGCTTAACTAGTAGAGCACCTGCCTTGCAAGCTGAGGCCCTGAACTCAAACCCCAGTAAACCAAAAACGATAAAAAGTTTGTGAGACCTCATCCAAAGTAAAAAAGCTGGGAAGGTGGTGTATGCCAGTCATTCCACGATTGTGGGAATCTTCAAATAGGAGGATCACAGTCAAGGCCTGCCCAGGCAAAAAGCAAGACCCTCTCTCCAAAATAACCAGATCAAAAAAGGGCTGGAGGTATGGCTCAAGCAGTAAAGCGCCTGCCTAGCAAGTGTGAAGCCCTGAGCTCAAACCCCAGTACCACCAAAAACAAACAAGGAAACCAAAAACAACAAACCCTACAGACAACTAGTACTTAATGGTAAAATATTGAACACTTTTTTCCAAAGATTAATCAAAAAAGCAGAGGTACACAGTCTCATTGCTTCTATTCAGTATTGTACTCAAGACCCACATTAATGAATAAGATATGAAAGATAAATAAAAGTCCTTAAAATTGGAAAGGACAAAGTAAAACTGGATTAGCATATAACGTGATTGTCTACATAGAGAATCCTAAGGATTCTACAAAGGAAACCCTACAAAATAACTAGAATAAATAAGCTTAATAAGGGTCACTGGACTTAATTAAGTGAAATCACTTGTGCTTCTATAGCCTATATTCTATATATTCTATATACAATTGAAATTTTAATTTATTATTTAGCATCTAAAAACTTAAAATACTTAGGAATAAACGTAATGAAAAAATACAAGATTTGTGCATTGAAAATGATGAAAGGTCACGGTCATGGATTAGAAGTATATTTCATTAAGGTGCCTGTTCTTTCCAAATTAATGTATAGATTCAATCTACATTTGAATAGAGGGTTTGTTTGGGGCTTTTTGGTGGAAATTGACAGGCTCGTTCTGAAAGTTATATGGACAATCCAAAAGACCTACAAGGGCCAAAACAGCTATGATAAATGCATATATCTGACAAAAGACTTATACCCAGAATACAAAAAAGACTACAGCCTATAGTCAACTTCCTTGCCACTGCTACAGTGCCAGGGTGTTGTGAGCACCCACTTTGCCCTTTTGACTCTTCACTGTGCTGGTCCTAGACAGCATGACCCAGGCCACCCTGTTGAGTAGGCATGCATGTTTGCTGATGAAAACAAAAATTATCTCAATATTTTCAGTGGATGAAAGTCTTGAAACACTTCACAAAAGAAGTACAGGTGGGCCAATGACACATAAAAAGATGCTTGATATTAAGCAACAGTGAACTGCAAATTAAAACTACTCTGTGATAATACTTCTCATCCATTAGGAAGCTTGCAAGTAGAAAAACTGACACATTTTTTTGAAGAGGTAAGTATGGAACTCTCACACTTTGCTGGTGAGAATGTACAAACACAATTTTTTGGCACTACTGGGGTTTGAGTTCAGGGCTTTGAACTTGTGAGGCAGGTGCTCTACTACTTAAGTCACACTTCCAGCCGATTTTTAAATTTTTTTAATTAAATTTTATTTTATTTAAGCATTTTAATTTAAAAATGTTTACCAGTTTTCCTACTAAGTTAAATATGTTTTTGCCATATGACCCAGCAATCCACTCTTAGGTGTTCACTCAAGTGAAATGACAACACATATCCACAAATAAATTTGTACACAAATACAGCATTATTCTGACTAGCCAAACATGGCAACAACCTAATGACCACCAGGGTGTTGTTGATGGATCTACAAATTGTAGTGTTTTCAAAATGGAATACTATTCAGAAATAAAATGATACACACTACTGATACACAAAAACATGGATGAATGTCAAAAATGCTAAGTGAAAGACGACAGACATGATGAAGCACCTACTGTGTGATTCTATTTATATAAAGTCTTAGACTAGGCACTGCTCACTTACAGTGATAGAAAACAGATCAGAGAGCAATGCCTGGAACAGTGATGGCAGGGCACTAGGTCAACTTTCTAGGGTGTTGAAAATGTTCTAAATATTATTGAGGTGGTGGTTACACACGTATGTACATTGTCAAAATCCATTGAACAATATACTTAAAATGTGTGTATTTTATTTTATGTAAATCAGGTCATGAAGATGAATTTTAAAAAGTCGACTCTGATGGAAATCATCGCCATTTTCCCCCTAACTGTGATCTGATCCACTTTCCAACTGTCTCGACTTCCAAATCTTACTGCAGTGTTCATTTTCCTTAAATTAATGAATAATCTATCATAAGAAGTAGGATCTAGGGGAGAAGAGAGAAGAAATTACCCACTTTCAGGGAATATGTAGAGAGAAAAATGACTGCTTAGATTTCACCAAGTCCTAACACATGAGATCTATAGAATCCCCTTATAACTCTGTATACATCTAAAATAGAGCCAGGAGGCAGGAATAGGAAAAATAGGGGACACTTTCATGTAGACTTTCACACATATTCACTGTTTTTCATGTCCCACAGACCCACAGAAGAGCTGCCAGCCAGTGTTGGAAACTCTGCGCCAGGCCATGGATGGAACTGTGTATGCCCACATCACCTTGGAACTGCAGACACTACAGCCTGCAGTCAACTTCCTTGCCACTGCTACAGTGCCAGGGTTCTGTGAGCGCCCGCTCTGCCCACGTCTCTTTCGACTTTTCACTGTGCTGGCCCTAGACAGCATGACCCAGGCCACTATGTTGAGCAGGCATGCACCTAGCATCCAAGCCTGGCTTGAGCACTTCCCCTCTGTGGAGCGGGAGAGCATTTTGGCAAAAGCACTGGTCTGGGCCTCAATGGAGGCCTGGGAGGCTGTGTGCAACTGCTTCATGCCTTCACCCCTCCACCCACACTACCGCTTCTCCCTGCACTCTGTGAGCCACCTTCTGGGGAGCCTACAGCTACTGCCTAGCAAAATGGGCTCTCGAGGCTTTGTAGACTGTTGTGACCATGAGGAGCACCTACGCCGGGTGTCAGGCTTGCGCGGCACTCGCCTGGCTGTCATGATGGTCATGCGCAGCATGGTACGCCTTTGGATGCACGAGGCACAGAGAACCTTTTGTGACCGGCTGGACAGCCCTAGGGAACGCTCCTACTGTGCTAAACTGCTCTTAGAAGTAGCTCAGGGTATCTTCTGCTGTGGGTCATGGACCCAGCACTCAAACAAGGACCGTGAGGAAGAGGAGGAAGAGGAGGAGGAGGAGGAAGAGGAGGAGGAGGAAGAGGAAAAGGAGGAGAGGGTTCCTGAAGTAGAATCTGAAGGGGAATTGGCCCAGTGGGAGGACTTAAGCAACAGCAACAGTGAAGCAGAGCAGGAAGAGGACCCTTACGGCTTTCAGCCCACCGCAGTCTCACACTGCAGTGAACCAACTGTAGCACTATCCATAAGGTCAATAAACAGGGAAACCACAGAAAGAAAAGGCCACAAAATAAAGCAGGAAGAAGAAACAAGGGCTCCTAGCAGTAAGAAGTCAAAGAAATCCAAGATTTGTTGGAAAAAGGCACTCCAGGCAGACTTGATTTCGCCCTTGTTGCTACCTGTGCTACTACTCCGTCCCCGGGAAGAGCCCTCAGATATAGTCTTTAGTCAGGAACTGATACTAGGATCTGACTCTGAGAACCCAAACTTGTACCTAGAACGGGAGTGGAAAAACCTAGAAGAGCAGCTGGCCACTTCAGCTGCTCAGCTGAGGTTGAGTCCCCACCTTGCCCGGTGCCACTCCATGGTCCAGCATGTGGCCCGCCTGGTCCGGGTGATGGCCAGACCCCGGCAGCATGGCCTACTGCTTGCAGGTGCTCTGGGTACTGGGCGCCGTACTGCCATCACTCTGGCCACTAGCATTTGTCAGGCCCATCTCTTCCATCTGCCATCTGGGTCAGAGGAGGCCATTTTCCAGTGTCTACGAGATGCCAGCTGGCACGCAGGCATGTTAAGCCAGCCAGTGGCCCTACTAGTGCCCAAGAGTGTGGATCTCATTACCCTTCATCGCTTGGTGGCTCTGGCAACCTCAGGCAGTTTCCCTGACCAGTACACAGAGGCAGATCTGGATAATATCGAAGAACATCTCCCCAGGGAGAACCTTAGTATCAAGCATAACATTAAGAAGGAAACGATTTTGCAAAGGTAAGGCCCAGAACTTCATACCTGAGTCTGTTCTGCTCTTTCTCTTTCCTGGCCAAAGTAGGGGCTCAGAAGGTGAGGGATAAGGGGGACAGGTGTGGAACTGGGACCTCACTGGGGCAAACAAGGGTCAAGAGGAAGACAGCAGCTGAATTCTTCATGTACAGGTTCTACCAACAAGTGTGTAGCAATCTGCACATGTTTTTCCTGATTGGAGATGACCAGACCCAGAAGCAGCTGCCCTCTACCCTTTTTCTGAGGCTGCTTCAACTGGCCACTGCCAGCATTGACCGCTATGAACCCTGGGATCAAACTTCCCTGGTCATGGTTGCCCAGTACCACCTGAAGGATGCTCATAGTCCACCCCTTGATGACGGTGAGCCATTTTCACTTGTCCTCACCACTTATCTCAATCAGCTTCCAATGAGAGTTATTATCTGTCTTTCCTCTCCTCTCCTCTCCTTTCCTCTTCTCTCTTGCCTCTCTCTCTCCTTAACATTTTCTGCCCTCCTTTCTGACCTAAGAAAGGGTCCCTTTTCATTTCTTATCCCCTACAAGTCCACAACACCAGGCTAAAGCCATGCCCATTGCAGGCCCCTTGAAATGCCCAGACCTCCAGGCCTCAATTCCCAGTGTGGCCAAAGCCATGGCTCTCATCCACCTTTCGGCTACCTACTACTACGAGCACCTGTGCCCTGGATTGCCACTTGTCACCCCCAAGACCTTCCTAGACTTCTTGGACACCTTCATACTACAGCAGCAACATATGATCCTGCAGATAAAGAATAGTGGCCAGCGGTAAGTGGCCCCATTCTCTGTAGTTTACCTCCTTCTGCCCCCTTGAGTTCACTCACTAGGACATTGTGTCTCCAGGATTCACAATGCCCTGGAGAATCTGAGAATGCTGATTGAGCAGCACAGTGTTCAAAGTAACCTGGTCTTCAACTTGGAAGAGGAGCTAAAAGGCTCCCACAAGGTAAGAGGGAAAAAATTGTGAGACTTATACAGTATGTCAAAGCAGGAGCACAAAAGGGGACTTGGGAGAAACCAACCAAAGTGAACCTTAGTTTGTATTTCCTAGAGTCTCCCTTTCCCCAGGGGATCTCCCTAGTCCCTGCTGCCTTTTCCTTTAGGGCACAGGCTCGAAAGTCTCCCACCACACAGCTGAGATCAGATTGATGCTTCGTGACGCAAGAATCCCAAGTGTCTGTTTCTGATTGCTCTTAGTGTCTTAACTATGTGAAGTTTGGTATATTCCCAAGATCTCTAAATTGTCATGAGAGATCGGGCAGGGGTTACATTCTCACAGTCACCTCTCTTATCCTCTTCCTTTGAATTCATTATCACTACTAATTAGCTCACTTCCTGTAGCCATCTTTTTTCCCCCAAATACTACTTTGTACTTACATCTCTTTCTTCCAAAAATGCACCAATGCTGTTGTGTACAGTGAAGAAATGTGGATAGGTGATGATGGCAGGGGGAAATGTACACTTAGAGCAAAGAAACAGAAGTATATTTAAATGCTCTACTAGACATCAATGTCCTAAATTTCTTTAGTCACCGCCCCCCTCCCCCACCACACCAGGCATTTCCCAGTGACCAACTTTTCTCTTGACCTTCTTCTCCCAACATCTGCTCCACAATATTTCTTTAGAGCACCCCCAATACAGTTTTCACAGAAGAAGAGATAGGTTGTTTTTCTAGTCCACAATCCAAATCCTTTTGCTTTATTATATAGAGCAATCATTTTTGACTAAATAAACCTCTTGTATCTGGTTAAAACTGATGGAGTGGAACACATCATACCTTCTATAGCCAAAACTCCCAGTTAAAGATATTTTCCCACACTAAAGAGTTTTGTTTTGTTTTTAGGAAGAGGAATTTTGAAATAGCGTTTTCCTTCCTGCTGCGTAAGACTTTGGAAAAGGTTCAGGGTTAACTATAGAGAAGTTGAATGAGCATCTATCTCACTATTATGTAATCTTCCTGACTTTCTAGTAGGATTTCAGCCATTACAAATCCTAATACATAGCTGACTTTTTCATATGGGTGCCCTCAGGACTGTCACCTAATGTTACATAACTCTAGAGGCGTGGCTTACATCGATGGTGAGTCCACCTGCCATGGTCTGCCTAGTGTTCTTTGTAAAGTGTGCCCTGTGGAGTTCTCAAGGTGCTTGGGGTCCTCCTGCTACCCACCACCTAGGATGACCAATTTATATTAGACCTTAGGACTAGGTTGAGTTGCAAAAAGAAGAAAAGAAAGTAAGAAGGGTACAGGAATCCCCTTGTTTCTCAAATTTCAGTGTCTTGTCTTGGGCCCTACCTTTTCCTGAGATGACTGATACCAGGAATTGTTAACCTGGTTTACAAGTCCTGCCATTCCTTAGTCATTTATATAAGATTACAATATAATACACCCAAAATATGGTTAAGAGACATTTATAGTCTCATAAGTCATTCACAGATCTCTTGGTTATTCACTCAACAGCCATAATAGTGTTTATGTCTTATAATGTTCTCCACCCCAGGAAGTGGTACCCCCATCCACTTAGTCATGTAAGCCAAATTCTAGGAATCATTCTGGGACCTTCCCATTTCCTTTCTCTCTCACATTCAATTGGTTCATTTTTTTCATTACTACTTTCAACAAAAATAATTGATCTCTATAATTTTTCCAGGCACTCATTAAAATCTATGTTTATGTTTATAGCTGTGTCTACGTCCAGATAGATAGATAGATAAAAAGATTCCTTGCCACCACCTTCTGAGGCAGCTATCCCTTTCCAACCTTATTAATGAGAAAATGGAGATTCAAAGAGGTTAGAGAAACTTCCCTAACTTCATGAGGTTATGAGGAGGATTAAATGAGATCTTACTTGTAACATTTAGAAGTGCTGACATACAGTAAGAGCTCAATACATGTGAGTTACCATTAATATTGTATTAGATTGCCTCTAATAAGAAGAGCTAAGCACTGTGCTTGCTTTCCATTAAATGAAATTAATGAAGTGCATCAAAGTTGATGCCTATTCTTGAGTGGTCCTATGTGTATTTGTATTTCCTTATTAACACTTGGAATTGGGAATTTTATAGTTATTACAGTAAGTAGTTTTCTTTTTTGGGGACTGTAGGTGTGCACCTCCATGCCAAGCTCCCAGTAAGTAATTTTCTAAAGTTGACAACTTAGAGAATAAAATAAATCTGTTATTTCGTTTTACAGTCTCATGTTTACTGTTATGTAAGTATTCGGTATGTGAATTACACAGTTTATTAAAACTTCATGCCTTTTCATTATCTCTAATTTGCGCTCTCAACTTAATGTTATAGAATGCTTCTTTAAAGATGCTTTAATGAAAATTTAAGAATATATAGGTATGTGTGTCAATTAATAAATTAATAAATATTTTTCATATTTATTTTTTAAAAACACCCCTAATTGCCTGACTAAATGGTATTTAAAATGAACCCTCCAAATGTCTGGTAATAGTATCAAAAATTTCTTGTGTTGGATGCTTTTAGCCATCCATGTTAAATGTTCCTGAAGTAGTTTAAAATTGTTTGCATTTTATATTACTATGGTGTCTGTGTGTGCCAAATTTCTAAATATTCAGTATTAACGTAGTACCTTAAAAATCTTTAAATTACTTTGCCTTTTAGTGTTGAGATGAAAAGATATAGTGTTGTATATAAAGTGCTTTCTGCCTCCAAGAAGAAAGGAGCCAGCATGTAATTTATTAGCAATGATGTGAGAAATGCATACATTATGAGTTACTTCCTGACAGTGAGACAATTTCAATTATTAGTCACAGAAGCCAAATTAAGAAAATAAAACAGTTAAACTCGAGTTTAACTGCTGCATCTTCCCAAGTTATAGATTATTACCCCTGGTACAAATTGTACCAGGTAAGTTGTTAACCTGTGTGTCCATAGTGTCCTCATTTGCAAGTTGGGGAGAAGCTTTACTCTTAAGAGTAAAGAGGATTAATATATTTATATTACATTACATATTAATATATACTATATATTAACATATTAAATTACTGAGAACAGTTCTGGCACATAGTAAATAACGTTAGTTGTCAGCATAAACACAAGACTTAAAGTTTTGCAGTTGATGCATAAGATTTGATTTATATATGGGTTAGCACAGACATCAGTGATAGTCTTGATAGCAAACAAATAGAGGTCAAATATTAATGCTTATATATAGATAGCTGAAAATATGTTTGAAACAAAGTAAACAAATGAGAGCTATGCTACCTTAAAGTTGTACTACCTTGCTCTTTGCTATTCACTGCCATTAGGGAAGTAGCATAAGATAAAATAATAGATAAAAGTCTCTCAAGACTAAATCTCAGGTAAACTCACATTCTTTGGAAGTGCCTTTCTTCATCAATAACATTTTTTGTAATTATGTAAATTGATAAGATATTTCTCATCAAATCCCATTTATATTCTATAAGAACCTTATGCCTTAATGTTTCTATCTTGAATAAAATAGCTGTCAAAAAAAAGTTGATGCCTGAAGATTAGGTAAGATTTGGTCAGGTGGAGAGGTGGGTGGAAAGGAAGAATGTCCCAGGCTGAAGCAATAGTATATATAAAAGCCCTGAGGAAGCAAGTGAAATATGCCACATTAGAGGAACTAGAAGTCAAGAATGGCTGGAGAGTACTATGCCGGGAGAGGAGAAAAAGATGGGGCTGGAAAGATGAGTAGGGGCCCGGGCAAGGAGGCATTTCTTTAGCCAAATGTAGGAATCACAAGTGTTAAGGGACATGATGATGATGAGATTCAGTTTTTAGAAAACAAATCAGGCTGCAGAGTGGAGAATGGATGAGAGGTCTGAAATAAGAGCAGAAACTGAGAGACTGGTTAGGAAGCTAGTGCAGGTAAAGAGAGATCCTGAGTGTGTGCGACAGATATTGGTGATGGAAATGTACATAAGAGACATTTAGAAGGTAAAATTGAAAGATCTCAGAGATGGGCTGGGTTTGAGGAAATAGAGAAGATGGGACAGGGGAGCTAAGGGGCATAACCAACATATTCATTTGGGGTGCATGTAGGGTCTGGGGGGGCCTGTGAAAGGTCAAAGTAGAGATTTTCAGTAAGCAAATGGATACATAGTATAGGGCTTAGGCAAAAACATGGAGAGAGAGAGAGGAAGGAAGGAAGGAAGGGAGGAAGGGAGGAAGAAAGGAAGGAAGGAAGGAAGGAAGGAATGGGAGGGAGAGAGGAAGGAGAGAGAGAGGAAGGAGGAAGAGAAGAGGGAGGGAGAGAGGAAGGAAGGAGAGAGGAAGGAACGGAGGAAGGAAGGGAGTGAGGAAGGAGGGAGAGAGGAAGGACAAGAATGACAAAGAGAGATTTGGCAGTTTTTAGAATGCAAGTATAACATACTTAAAATGAAAGCCTGGGATTAGGGAGAGTATAGGGTAAGAAGATTAAAATGGTAGGGTAAGAAGAGAGGGGGGGCCATGAAAAAAATTGCTGAGGAATAGTGAAGGGAGAGAAAATGAAGAGATTGAGAATGAGCAGTTAGAGAAGTTGGACAAAGTCCAAGGTATGTGTATGGGGGTGGGGATGGGGGTGGGCACAGCATCATGAAGGCCAAGGAAGCAGAATGCTTCCAGAGGTAGGGAACTGTCTTCTGAGACAACTTCTGCTAAGGGTCAAGTAAGATAAGGAGTCACACACACAGGCTTTAGAGTCAGATTGCCCATGTGTTAGTAAAGTGACTGCAGAAAAAACAATTCACTTGGGGCTGCATTACTGGATATATAACTGAAAGACCAAATCCTGACAAATCCGGAACTCAGTCTCTGTCTGTGGCCTACTTGGAGTTCAACTTGTTCATCCTGGAAGTCTCCCCTGGGGTGTTCCCACATGGCCCAGGATTTGGAACTGTAGAGTTTGGATCTCTGTTCACAGATTGTCAGCATGTTTCAGCAGGAGCTAGAGCAAAGCAAGCTCCAGCACAAGCAGCAGTTGTCAGAGTGTTGGCATCAGGAAAGCCTCATTGAGAACCTGACCAAGCAACGGGATGCCCTGCAGGCTCAGCGTGATGCTTTCCAGAAGCAGGTAGACTCTGATGCCTGCCTACCCCGCTCCTCTCTGGGAGAGGACAACCCCTCATAGGATGCACAGAAGAGAAGATGGGGTGACTTGTGGCAGGGTTCCTGAGGGAACAAAGATAATAGGATAGTTTGGGGATGTCCCCTCATGAGAACTTCTAGAAGGAGATTAGAGTTACTGGAAACTCCTTGAAGAAAGAGAAACATCTCAGGAGTTCTCTGCAGCATGCGTCTCTTTCCTTATTTAGATGGGCAAGGCATTTCTGGGTCCTCTGAGCAAGCTGCAGGTGACTGACTTTGAAGAGATACGGAGCTATCGAGCACCACCAGAATCTGTAGTCCAGGTGACAGATGCATTATGTGACCTGTTCCACCGGGAAACGGGCTGGGCCAGTGCCAAGCAACTCTTAAGCACTGAAGATTTTTATCAGGTAGGGAAGATGAGATAGCATGAAGGAGGAGAGGGGAGGCATAAAGTGGAGCTCTGGCAGGGCAACACTGTTGGGTCACGGTCCAGAGCATCTTTGTCTTCCCCTTTCCCCTTAACATACATCCTCTCAGGAGCTGGTATTCTTCCCCAAGGAGAAGCTGACAGACTCAGAGCTGATAAAGTTAAACCAAGCTCTGAAGGCTCCAGGTATGAGTGATGCAGCCCTACGAGCAGTAAGCATACCTGCAGCAAGCTTGGCAGGCTGGCTCTGGGCGGTTCTGCACTATGGGTTGGCACAGCGCCGGGGACTGCCTACGGGCCTGCTGCTGAGGCAGGTGGAAGCAACACTGACTCGGGAGCAGTCCCGCCTAGGCCAGTACCAGTTTCAGGCTCAAGAGATGTTTGAGCATACTTTGGCCCTGACTAAGAAGCTGGAGGATGCCCAAGCTTCTCACAGGCATTTGATGGAGACACTCTGTCAGGCACAGTATGGACAATATCACGAATGGCCCGTAAAGTCTGCACTGCTCACCCCCATGCACACCTGGACTACAAAGCTCCAGGTAATGAGCCCCTCCCAGATGTCTCTCCTAGTTCATTCTATGCCCCTCCTTGTGTCCTAACTACTTCTTTCTGTCCTGTTCCCTCCCCTCACCCTGTTTTCCTCCATATCCTGCCTTGTTCCTCTCTGTGTACCCTCTGGCTGGCCCTCTCACTGACCTACACACCTTTTGGTCTTTCCTCTACACCAGAAGTTGAGGGGGCAGTGCATAACTATGTTTGGAGATGCTCTGCTGTGTTCAGCTGCTATCATCTACCTGGGTCCCTTCCCACGACTGCGGCGCCAGGAGCTGATGGACAAGTGGCTGGCTCTGTGTAGGGGCTGTCAGGAGGCCCTGGGCCCAGATGATATAGCACAGGCACTGAAACAAGAGTCTGTTGTCATGCCACCAAAGATGCCTCTGCTACCCACAAGCTGTCCCTTCAGGATTCTGTCTTTGCTGAGCTGTGAATCTGAACAGTACCAGTGGGACCGAGACCAGAAGCCCCAGGCAAAGACTGCCCGCTTTGTAGGCCTGCTGCTGCGAAGCTGCAGCCACTACTACAGTTGCCGTTGGCCTCTGTTGCTTGACCGCAGCAACCAGGCCCCTATCTGGTTGAACCCACTGCCTCTGGAAGACAACAGATTCTTGGCTCCAGTACGCATTGAGGACATAGGTAAGTCAAGAATAACACAAGGCCTCTGGGCATCTGAACTGCCCAATACTCTTAGCCTTGTGTGGTCTTTCCTTTCATAGTGGAGACACTGAATTTTTATGGTCAGGATATCCCAAATTTTACCAGCCTATATTAATAAATTTGGTTACATTTACTTTTTTGTTGTTGTTTTGGCACATGTTACAATGATCTGAATCTATTTGGCCGACAGACCAGTCTATAATCTTTCACTTCTTTGGCCTGTTCAGAATTATTGGAAACTTTGCCTACAACTCAGAGCTTTACTGCCCAAATTTATCCAATGTTTGAAAATTCTAGGGGTATACTTTCATTGGCTCTCTTTGGATCAGGGATCCATCTGGGTGGCATGATGGAAGGAACATTTCCTAGGAAAAGGAAGAGGGGGGGTTTCTTTCCTGAAAGAAGGGATTGAGTAGATGAGGAAAAATGTAACCGTCTTTAGAAAAGATGTCTTTGTACATATAATGAAGATCAGGATGTTGAAATGAGATCATCCTGCTCATAAAATGAGCTGGCCCTAAATCCCACAACAAGCATCCTATAAGAGATAGAAGACAGATACACAGAAGAGAAGGCCATCTAAAGAGGGAGACAGATATTGGAGTTATATAACCACAAGCCAAAAGATACCTAGAACTATCAGAGGATAGAAGAGACAAAAAAGATTCTCCCCTAGAATCTTTGGAGGAAATGCATTCTTGCTGACATCTTGATTTCAGACTTCTGACCTCCACAACTATCAGAGAATAAGATTCTCTTTTTTTCAAGCTGCTAAATTGGTGGAAATTTGTAATGGAAGCTAGAGACTAATCCATACATCTTAGTTGCAAGATATCTGCCACTCAAGTATCACGTCAGAGTTGCTGTTGGCCATTTATATCCCTTTTATCAGGGAAGCAAAAGCTCTTCTAGAAGTCTGACTAGTCAAATTTAGTAGGCAGAATTTTGGTCCCCATGACCTTTCCCCTTTTTTTCCCCCCTACTGCTGGGGATTGAATCCAGAGCCTCACACATGCTAGGCAGGTGCTATACCACTGAAATACACCCACAGCCTATGACCTTTGCCTTCTGGTGTTACTCCCATGATTCTGTTACATGATAAGAAAGACTTTGTAGATGTAATTAAGGTTACTAATCAATTGGTCTTAAAATAGAGATATTCTGGATAATTCAGGTGGGCCTGATGTAATCAAATGAGCCCTTCAAAGAAGAAAGGAGAAAACAGAGATATTTGAAACATAATAAGGACTCAATAGACTGTTGTAAGTATAAGAAGGAAACGAATTCTGTCAAAAATCAGTTAAGAGCTAGGCACAAGCTTCAGGAAACTAAAGTCTAAGGATTACACAAGCCCAGGAGTTTGAGGACAGTATGAGCAATATAGTAAGATACCATCTCCAAAACAAAAAAATCCAAGAAGCCTGTAAGAGGACCTCAAGCCCCAGATGGGACCTTGATTTTAGTCCAGTGTAGTGCTGAGTAAAGAATCCAGTGATGCTGTGTTGGACCTGTAGTCTACAGAACTGTGGTGGTCATAAATCATAGTCTTTTGAGCTGCTAAGTTTGTGGTAATTTATTTCCAATAAAAAAAAATGTACCTAACTGTGAACCCGACAATCTCCACTTGTTAAAGAATCTAGGGGGAAAAAAGTATTTTATCTTTTACAGCTTCTGCAGTAGAGGAGGCAAAGGGTCAGGAATAACGCGTTGGGTATTCCCACCACACCACCCACAGTTTATAGCATTTCACTTATTAATCACTATTTCTAGGCACCAATGTTCATATTAGTGGGGACTCTTTTAATTATAACCAAAATTCCTTTAGGTATAAAAGAGAAAGGTACTGACTTTTCTAATCTACAGAATGGGAAGGAATGGGCCCAATGTCAGAGATGATTAGGATTTTACAGTAATAATGATGATAATCAACATTTGTTGATCATTTGCTATATGCTAGTCTAAGTGCTTTCTATATATTGTATTTAATCTTTACAGAAACTCCTTGCAGTCAGCAATAATACCCACTCCATTTTGTCGACAAGGAAATTAAATCATAGAGCTTTAGGAGTTTTCTGAGAGTATCTTCTTGCAGACCTCCCCTCATGATATGGAGCCCTTGAGTGAAGGATGCTCCCCAGGAGCCCAATTCCTCCACTAAGAAGCACTCCTGTTCATCTTTTTGTCCAGGGAAGGGCCTCACAAGAAATCAAAATGGAGATGATAAAGAGTGGGAGGATATGGAAGAAGATGATGATAGTGAAGAGGAAAGCAAGGATAAGGACCAGACAAAAGAGCAGAAGGCAGATAAAAGGGAAAATGAGAAGGAAAAAAAGCAAGAGGAGAAAAAGGAAGAAGAGAAAGAGGTGAAGGAGAATGAGACAGAGAGTCAGGGGTCAAATGTGGCCTCTGGGACTCGGTCTCTACCTCCTCTCTGCCTTAGTGTGCTCTCTGGTGCTGATCCAGAATTGGGTCCTCAGCTCCAGGAGGCAGCTGCCAGTGGTGAGAACTGCTCCCTTTTGTCTTCACCCAATTTTGTGACCCCACAGTCCTCTCACTTCTCAGTATGACCTTAACTCCTATCCTTCATCCCACCATGTTGAACAATCTTGAGGGAACCCTCTGATGAGCCAGGGGAGAGCTGGTCAGAACCAGATCTTGGGTAGGGGATGAGAGGCATGGGTGTTGGTGTTGTGGATAGGTTGTTCTTGTTTCCCCTCACAGGCCTGCCTGTGCTCCTGACCAACATGGAGCTGGGCCTAGGGTGCCAAGAACTGCAATGGCTGCTGCAGCGGGAGCAGCTGAGTCCACCCCAGGTGCAGTCTGGCTTCTGTCTCTATCTGAGCACTACCCTCCCACTCAGTGCCTTGGAAAAAGGTGAGACCCAGAGGGTAAGTTGCTAGCACATCTTGGTGGACACTCTAGGCTCCTGTAACCAGCCCTGAGAGGGCTTTACTGCTTTGGGCCAAAGCAGGCTCAGAACTGTAGTAGGGAGCCATACTCCCTTTCCACCTCACTCCCTGTCTTTGTCAAGGGGAAAGAGTAAAACATCTTTCACGTGACCCCAAGTGCTAGGTTACGAACTGCTAAAGGGGCTGAATGTGCTGGATCTGGGCCTGAACGTGGAAATACTAGAAGAGCAGATGCTGCATGAAATCTTGTGCAGAGAGCGTCCTGAGCTTGAGACTCGCTGGAAGGACCTACAGACCAGAGTCCTGGATAATTCTGAAGCTGTGATGGCTGCTGAGGTGCTTGTGGACCCAGCCTATGGAATAGGATGAGCATTAGAAGGATCTGAGTAGGGAGTTGGAGATGAGTATAGATGTTTGGGGACTGTGGGAAAGGACCAGATCTATCCAACAAATTACTATGTGCATTATATACAGGAGCGGTTGCTGACGACACTGCTGCTCCAGAACCCAAAGCATCAGAAACCAGCCAAGTTTCTGCGGGACTTGGTGAGGGCTCAGGCAAGGATATGTCAGCAACATGCCCTTTGTGAGGAGATAGAAGATCAGAAGCTGCGTGAGATAGCACTGTGGGCACCCTACCAGGATGTAGTCTGGCATGGAATGGCCATAATAGAAGCCCTAAGCACATTACAGAACCTGCTGCCATTTTTCTATATGAGCCCAGAGAACTGGTTGGCAGCCACCAAGCGGACTCTAGACAGCATAAAGCCACATGACAGTCAGCATGGAGAAGACTTTGCCAGCCATCTGTTACAGCTGAAAATACACCTGACTCGCCACTTGCTGGACAGCACCATGGCTGCCTTATGCCCAACCCAAGTATCCTTGGTGGGTGCCTTGGGTGCTTTGGCTCTGCTGCAAGTAACAAACAGGGCACCAAAGCTAGAGAGATTGGCGCTCTGGCCTGGACTGGAAGCCTCTCCCAGTACAAGACACAGTAAGTCAGTACCAGGTGTGGTTCGCCCCGCCTGGCTAGGGCTGAGAACGTGGCAAGCATGTGGAATATTAGAGCTACTGCCCCCATTTGTTGGACTTTGTGCATCCCTGGCAGGCCACTCCAAAATTTGGCAAGATTACCTGTCACTATCATCCACAGTGCTGGGTCCTGCACCTGGGCCGGGACCTGAGCCACTCAGCCTCCTTCAGAAGCTGATCCTGTGGCGGGTGCTAAGACCTGATTGTCTGGCAGGTGCCTTGGCAGACTTTACCACCAGCCTCCTGGGCCGGCCCCTGGATGAAAACCTAAGTACCCCCATCTTGCCCTTTGAACAAAGTCAAGCTACTCAACCCATACTAATCTTGCTGCCACCACCTGGTCAACCCACAGCCACCCTGCATCCTATGACTGTCATCCAGAAACTGGCTGCCCACCATGAGCAGGTTTGAACCTAGCCTCTTGGGCACAGAGTGAGCAGGCTCCCATGGGCTTGGATAGGGTGTGGGAGGGACCCCTCCGAGCATTCTTGTGGATCTTTCTGTATTACTCAGGTATTTTTGGATCATTGTGTCATTACTCTGAGTCTTTTGGGTCACCCCAGGATCGCTGTGAATCACTCTGTCATTTTTCTATTTGCTCCCAGGGGCAGAAGCATGTGCAGGTGATAGCCCTGGGCTCTGAAGCCTGGGATCCGGTTTCAACTGTGGTCAGCACTGTATGCCAGGCTATGCTCAAGGGGCACTGGTTGGTTCTAGATAACTGTCATCTGATGCCCCAGTGGCCAAGAGAGCTGCTACAGCCCTTGCTGAAGCTGCTGGATGGAGCCAAGGGTAGGTTTGCTGTGTAGAGATGGCTTCCAGGATCTGACTCTATACTTCAGCCTCAGCTTGAACTCTCAGGACTCATGGCTAATCTGCCAGCTCTAAGTCTGTCATTTTGGCCTTATGTCTAAATCCTATTGCCCAAGTCTCAAGTCTGATCCCTGGATTTGCAGATCAGTCCATTATCTGAGGACTGATCTCAACCCCTTGTCTAACCCTAGTGGTCTCAGATCCGGAATTGGAACTGCTTTTACCTCAACCTGAAAGCAGAAATGTGACCATTGTCCACAGAGATTTTCGTCTTTGGCTTATTGTGTCTATAGAGGCTATAGCTTCCTTGCCAGGTGAGGAGGGTCTCACTATAGGCTATCAAATCAGAGGTGAGAGGGTAACTGTACTGTGCTGACTCAGCACCCTGATTCCTCCCCAGCTGTGCTGACTCACCACTCCATGCCTGTTTCCTGGGACCAGTCCCTGGAGCTGGGCCACATCTTGATCAACAGTGTGGAGTTAGGCCAGCAAGAATTCAACAAGCAGCCCCCTACCCAGACACTGCCTCTGCTTCTCCTACATGGCCTTCTGATACACCGGCAGCTCTATGGAATGAAACTCCAGGCACACAGGGGACACTGGTAAGGGATCCATCCATCCAGTTAAGTCACTCAGCAAACACTAAGTATGTCTGGATGAGTAAAACTAACACATCTTTGAGAACTCCAAAGAGTGAGGACAAGGGAAAGTCAAGGAAGCCCTCTTTAGGACTTTGGGATCTCACTTTGAATTGAGTCTTAAGAGCTGAAGCAAATCAGGTAAATATATAGCCTTTCTAAGCAGAGGAAACTAAGCTCGACAGAAGGGAGACTTCAGTGTAGCTGAGGTGGACGTGCTAAGGGTTATGTAGAGAAAGGTGAGGCTCATCCCAAAGGGTCTTTAAATCCATGGCAAGGGGCCTGGTGTTATCCTGAGGACAGTAAGAAGTCACAGAAGGGTTTTAATTAGGAGAGGAAACTTGATCCTATTTGTATTTTGGAAGGATCACTCTTGCAGCAATGTGAAGAATAGGTCCGACGAGGTGAACCTGGAGGCAAGCAGAACAGTTTTACCCTTAAAACTCTGGTAATCTCCATGGAAGAGATCATAGTGTGGGTGGCAGGTGCTAGAGCAGGGCTAGAGAATAAATATGAGGTGAGGAAGGAGGAGTCAGTGTTGACTTCCAGGCTTGCTTTAGACAATTGAGTAGCTTGTGATATCTCACTGGGATAGAAAATGGAACAGGTTTTGTGGTGAGAAAATGGAACAGGTTTTGTGGTGGGAAAATGATCATTTCAGTTGAAATGAAGTTGAATTTGAGGTGCCAAGTCCAATGACTAGTGAGCCCTCAGAAATCTGGAGCTCGGGGGAGAGGTTTGGGCAGGCAAAGATTTGAAACGCTCCAGCATAATGATTTTATTTGAAACCCTAATTTTGGTGTCCCTCCCCAGGAGTCAAATGACCTTGACCCAAGTCCTTCAGACACAAGATCAGCTGTGGACCAGTCTCAACAATCCTAGGGCTGCCATGCAGGAACTGGTTGGTGAGACCCGCCCCCCTCTTGTTCTCCATGCAACCATCAGATCCCAGGAGACCAGGAAAAGGGTGGGGATGGGAGGCATGATAAGGATATAATTCACAAATTTGGTTTGAGGCATAGTGGAAACTGGAGGGGCTGTAACTGAATGGGTCTGACCTCATCCTCAGCTTCAGTTTTCTATGGGGGTCCCGTGGGGGACGCAGAGGACAGAGAGGCACTGATTAGCCTCACGCAAGTCTGCCTGAGCCCCAGCAGCAGCTCCAGCTGGGTCCAACAACACACACCTCAGTATCTGCTGGCCACTCTGATGCCTAGTCCAGGTAAGCTCCAGACAGGTATTTCTGTGTTGGGGTGAGGAATAGTGCAGTGCAATGCCAACCCCACGGGAGTGAGGACTGCAGTACCAATAAAGGTATGTGAGGGGGCAATAGTCACAGTTATGGGAGGAGGGCGATAGCATAAAGAAGCATACTCCCTCTGCTCGGATGGGGAGTATCCATCTTGTTCCTCACCCTTCATCTCCAACCCCAAGAGTTCAGGGAGCCCGATGCTGTGGCAGAGTTCAAGGCCCGGATGCACCTACTGCCCACATTATCTGATCCCCGGATCTGCGGAACAAGCGAGGGTCCCAAGGCCTGGCTGTTGCGACGCCAAAGTCGTGCTCTTCTGAGTTCGCTGCTGCGGAGTTCACCCACGTGGGTTCCTGCAGCTTGTGGAGGCTCCCGACGTGCAGAAAGGAGGCTGCGGCAACGCCTAGTGCAAGCCAGGCGGAGGCTGGAGTCACTGCAGGCTCTGCTGACACCCTATGCTCGCAAAGATCGTTCTGATGCCGGCTTCCTGGGGCCAAAAGCGCAGCGTCCTCTGCAGGGCTTCTTAGAGACGGAGGTGCTGGAACTGAATCAGCTGGTGAGAACGCTACAGTGTGATCTTGACTGCCTGTTGCAGCAACTTATGGGTGAACTCCCGTGCGCCAACCCCCGCTGTGTCGCGGTGTCCCATGCTCTCTGGACAGGCCGCTTACCCTCACCTTGGCGACCCTATGTGCCCGCTGGTGCGCAGCCACCCTGGCAGTGGCTGCGACAGCTGTCACGCCGTGGGCAGCTGTTGGTCCGCTACCTGAGTGTGGACGAAGGAACCCAAGTACCAGAGCGTATCTTTCACCTGTCAGCCTTTCGCCACCCCCGCCGCCTGCTGTTGGCACTGCGTTGGGAGGCTGTCCTGGCCAGCTCAAATGTTCCTGGTAGCCAAGGCTCAAGCTCCAATCATCCCCCACATAAAATTCAGGAGCTGACTAACAACCCTCTGCATCTCCGGGTATCTTGGTGTTGCCTCTTCTGTTCCCCATTCCACCCCTCAAAAGTCCCTGATTGTATCCCCATCTCGCCCTTTGATGATCTTGCCCCTCAGCCACCCCAACTCACTTGTCTGATCTCACTCCACCAAAACACACCCTCATCCCCACCTGCCCGACCCATCTTCCCTGCCTAAGCAGCCTTTGGCATCTCCAGGTGGAGAATGATCCCAAACCTGCAGTTCCGGAAATGGGACTGCTGCTGATCGGTCTACAGCTCCTACATGCCAAGTGGGATCCGACAGAAGGGGTCTTGCAGGACAGCCATTCCAACCAGCCCAGCCCTCTGCCTCCTGTCAGTGTCAGAGCAGGGGCCCCAGGAGCCAATGACCTGCCAGCCAAAGACATCTTGGGTGTGTACTCCTGTCCTGTGTACATGGCAGGGCCCTTTGGCACCACTAAGCTGCACAGCAGGAACGTCCTAATGCACCTGCCCCTACCCACGAAGCTCAGCCCTGCCACTTGCATCCAGCGGAGAGTCCATGTGTGCAGCCCACCAGTGCCCTGAGCCCTCTACCAAAATAAAGCTGTCATGATTTCATGAATGATTTCTGGGATTTGGAAGGATAGTTAAGTGTGCACATAACGGCAAAATGTGACACAAGGCAAGAGTACAGTGCGCACAACTGAGGAGTAAGGAGATGTAGTCACACTGAGGTAGAAGAGACATGTGCTGAGTGCCTGGGGAGAGGACAGTAGAAGTGTACACTTTGGGGGGAAGAACCTGGTGTTAGTCACCAATACAAGGGGTTAAGCAGACCTGGCAATGGCTAACAGAATCTTTCTCAGCTCTCTGTTGTGGCTGCATAACACTTGTACTAAATCCCGAAAGAATATGGAGATCATATTCTGAGGTTTGAACTCAAGGCCTTGCATTACTAGGCAAGCCCTCTACAACTTGAGCCTTGCTCTTGGCCCTCCCCAAGGGATATTGTTGGAAAGAACATCAAAATTCAAAATGCTTTGGAAGTATTGGGAATGTATTGGGAAGTACTGGGAAGTATTGAGCAGTATTGGGAATACCCCGATCCTGCCCTACCACTCATATCACATCATCACCTATGATAGATTCTCTGAATGGATCATACACCTGAGAAAATGAGATAAAAGGACTTTTTTTCATTCAACAATTATTTATTGGGCCTTCTTCCAGATAAGGTATTCTTCCAGACACTGATGAGACTGTTCTGATGTAGGGCAACAGGAATATAAGGTCAGCAAATAATTTTAATGATTTTGGGATGCTATAGAGAAAATAGGCTGATAGGCAATAGTGACTAGAGGGAAGCAGTTAATATACCCTGGATGGTTAGGGAAGACTTCCTGAATATTTGAGAACAAGCTACATGAAGATCTAGAATGAGTATTCAGGTAGAGCACTAAGTAGGTGAAAAGGTCTTAAGAGCAAAAACCTGGAGTGTTCAAGTGTAGCTGGAGCATGGTGAATGAGGGGCGAGGCAATGCAAAATGATAAAAGGCATAAAAAGGGGCAGATAACATGGTTACGGTAACGAGCTTGTACTTTAAAAAACATAATGGAAATCTATTGGAGAATTATGGAGGGGGTGAATTCAACAATAATATATTTTAAGAACTTTTGTAAATGTCATATACCCCTAGTATAATGATAATATAATAAAAATTAAAAAGTTCAGAAAAAAAAGAAAATCTATTGGGGAGTAATAGATAGGAGATAGTATGACCTAATTTTTGTTTTTCATAGTCACACTGGCTAGTCTATGGTGGATGGAGGGTAGAAAAGCTAGAGAAACAAGTAGGAAGATCTGATTGGGTCCAACTGAGGTAATTCAAAAAAAGAGATGAAGGAACTTGGACTAGTATCAAAACAGTGGAGATGGAGAATTGGAGGAAAGCCAGCAATAATAATGGAATGGTTATGGAGAGTGAAGGAAGAGGAAGAAGCTGGGATAACTCCTAGATTTGAGACTTGAGCAACTGGGTGGATCATCAACTGAGATGGGACACTTAAGGAGCAAGAAGTTGGCGGTATGGAGCTAAGAATTCTGCTTTTTGCCGGCTCTGGTGGCTCATGCCTCTAATCTTAGCTGCTTTGGAGGCTGAAATCAGGAGGATCACGGTTCACGGCCAGCCTGGGGAAATAGTTCTTGAGACTCCATCTCCAAAAAAAATAACCAGAGCAATATGGACTGAAGGTGTGGCTCAAGTGGTAGAGTGTCTGTTCTGTAAGTTCAAACCCCAGTACCACACACAAAAAAAAAATCTGCTTTTATAAGTTTGCTTACTAGTTGTATGTGTGCTACCCCAGGGTAAGAGCTGGATAAAAAGCTAGATATGGTGGCACATGCCTGTAACTTCAGCACTTAGGAAGCTGAGGAAGATCTGGAGTTCAAAGCCAACTTGAGCTATATAACTAGACCCTGTCTCAAAAATGAAAAGCGTTGGACTAGAGTATGGCAGAGCTACAGGCCTACATGAGCTTTCCTCCTTGTTCCTAAACAGCAACTTCTTAGGTACAATTTAGCTCCCTTGATGTATGGCTAGGTTCCAGTGCCAGGGTGGGAGGGACTGCAAGCAGAAGAGTGTATGAACATCACTCTTCACAACATTTTCACAAGCAGTAAATAACTCAAAGTTGACTGCAGTGCACCTGATGTCCTTTAGCAAACTGCCAAATAGAGGCAAAAGATCCACCTTCCTTAGAAACCTGTTTCCTTTCCCCTGGCCAATTAGGGCATGGCTGTTCCTTTGGGAGAGGAGATTAGCAGAGTACTAAAAGAAGTTCTTTTGGATAAATGAGCTTTCCAGCCGTGCTTACCATCATTTCCATTTATGTTCCAGCAATGGAGAGATAACTGTAAAACCATCTGAAATTGGTTAGTATAATTTCTATATATCCACACTATTCCCTAGACTGAAATTCATTCTTGAATTATGTACAGCTAAATTAATAGACTGTCAATTCAAGAGTATAAAATGAGTATCATCTAGCACTCAGAAGGCTGAGAGGAATATTGTGAGTTCAAGGCCAACCTGGGCTACACAGGTCTCTCTCTCAAAAACAAACAAAAAAACCTACACCTTAAAAATAAGTACCATATGACAATGTAGCCGAAATACAATGCCTGCCAGGTAAAAATGTTCCAGATTTGACAACTTCTTTGTAAATTCTACCAAATAAAATTCCATTAGGAACTTAAAGTACCAAACAATGAAATGAAGAACTAAGACACTTCACAAAAGGGAAGAAATATGTCTCCTTCTATCCTGATGAGCATGGGAGAGCAGAAAGAGACAAGAAGGGAGAGAAGGATGACATAATCTGATCTGAGTCTGTGAAACCTCAGAGGAGAAAGGAACAGATAAACTGAGGTGACAAAGGCAAACGGGCTTTTGCCTTTTCCCCACTTGGACCCTTGAAGGTGTTACATGCCGGTGTCGAGGGTCCTTGCCTTCACAGGCGGGAGAACTGGCTCGTGAGGCAGCTGAATGACGAGGTAAAGCCGGTATATAAAGTGGGATTTATTAGAGAGAAAGGAAAGGCTACAGCTAGAGAAAAGTGGCGCATCCCAGAAGCCAGCTGCTTCTGGGATTTTTATGGACGTTTTAACTCTGGGTTAGGTGGGTTTTTCTCATTGGCCATGGATTCGAGGGCTTTCTCAGGTGAACTGGTTTGGTTTGCACCTTTACTGGGGGAGGGGAAACAATCTTGAGAGCATTTTGCACATCAGTTCTGTGGCAGATCTGTATCTCTCCTTAAGGATGCAGGAATGCGGGCCTCTAACTCCTCAGGATGCAGGAATGATATTGCTCTCTGTGGGGATGGGATACTCACTCATCTGCCTCAGGCTATCAGATCCAACAGAGGGAATTGTTCTCCAGTATGGACTCACTATGGCTCCAAAAAGAGGGCAGAGTGGGAGGGTCAGGAAGAGGTGTCCTTTGATGCCTATATGGTGTGGATAATGAGTAGAGAGGTTTTAGTCAAAGAAGTATAGGCAGAGAACTATTAGGGTCCTTAGCACTAAAGAGTTGCTGAGAGAAGGCCAAACTGGCAGGGAGGAGCACTGAACCTCAACAACTAAAAAAGATGACCACAGATTAAGCATAGTAGGTTCTAGTAATTCTACTCCTGTGTTTATGTCTCAGAGGGTCACACACAAAATAAGTTGGGAAGTATTTTCTCCTACTTTTCTTTCCAAAAGACTCTGTGTAGGATTGACACTATTTTATTTCTTTCATACTGATAGAATTTTTCAGTAATGCCATCTGAGCCTGGAGTTGTTTTGTTTTTCTGGGGGAGGTTTTTAATTACAAATTGTATTTCTTTAGTAGCTATAAGGCTATCTATCATGTTTTCTACTTTTTGAGTCAGTTGTGCTCATTTCAAATATTTTATCTTAGATGAAATCTAAGTTGTTGAATTTAATAGCGTAAGTCATTCATAATATCCCCTTATTATCCTTTTAACATCTGTAAGATCTATAGGGGTAGTCCCTCTTTCATTCCTATCATTGGTCTTTTCTTAATCGGTATAACTAGAAGACTTCCCAACTCCACTGATTCTCCAAAAACATTAGCTGCTTTTGGTTTCATCAGTTCTTCTCTATTGTTTTTCCAAAGTCTTATTTCAATGCTTTCACAATTATTTTTGATTTTTCTCTTTTTTCCAGCTTCTTAATATAGAAACTTAGATGATTTTAGGTTTTTCTTCTTTTATATATAACATTTAAAGTTATAAACCTCCCTAAGGACTGCTGTAGCTATATCTCACAATTTTTGATATAGTTTCATCATGTCAGATACAGGGGATCATGTCTGTAATCCCAGGTACTTGGGAGGCAGAGATGAGAAAGATGTCAGTTTAAGGCCTGTCCCAGCAAAAAATTAATGAGACACCCCCCATCTCAATCAATAGGCCAGGCATGGTGGTGCACATCTATAGAATCCCAGCTATGGGGGGAGGGGAGAATCAGATAGGAGGATTGCATTCCCAGGCTAGCTCCAGCAAAAAGTGCAAAACCCTATCTAAAAAATAACTAAAGCAAAAATGTGTGGGGGCATGGCTTAAGTAGTTGAGCACTTGCCTAACAAATATAAGGCTCTGAGTTCAAACCCCAAAACTGCCAAAGAAATTTTTTTTCTAATTTCATTTGTGATTTTTTTTGTCTGATCCATTCTTCAGAAGATTATATTTATGCCTTTCAAATGCTGGGGGCAGGGGTCACTTTTCTAGATATCTGCTTAGTATATTTCTAATTAATCCCACTGTGACCAGGAAACTTCTCTATAAGATTTCAAACTATTGAAATCCATTTAAAGGATTATGGATTTTTTTATGGTCACACATATATCTTGCTATTTTTTCATGCACACTTGAAAATAACAATAAGACCCTGTGCATTCATTCTGTAGTTTCCTAGTATAGTATTTTACAAATATCAATTAAGTACGTTGGCTAATAGTGACTTTTGGATCCATAGCCTTTCCGATGCTTTTTTTGTCTAGTTTATCAACTACTGAGAGATG